CTTTTGACGTGAGTAATAAACAAATTAGTCGTTATTAGTTTAGACATGTATAAAGATTACAAGTTTCTACCTAAAATTGTCTACCTGTTGTTTTTTTAATGATTATGTAATCAATATCAGTTTATGATTTTAAGAGAAAATAATTTTTAAATTATTCTACCCTCTAAAAATTCAGATGGTATCCTTGAAATCAATGTTGCTGCATTCAAATTCTAAAAATTTTTTAATACTCAAATACCAAGGTATAAATGTAAATTATTTTTATAGTTGAAATCATTAGTCAATTGAAGCTAGATCATCATGGAAAACCTGAAAGCACTGGACGTCCGTTTCGTCTTATTGTAGTACTCCTCAGAAGTGAGCATCCACGATCCCACCTTGCGAGATTCGAATTCAGAACCTACCAGTCTTCTGAAATCTCCACAAAACCCCTTCTGAAAATGTTATACTGTATATATAATAAACCATCTAGAGTAACTAGAGTTTTATGTTAGGCTGATTCCTATAATGAGTAGTGATGAGATCAGTCGAAATTGGATTAAATACTGAATCATGTCAAAATTGTAGTCAACGTTATTTCTAGTCGATCGATCTTATTCAGAGTTAAAAATAAGTACAGAGCTGTAGTTGAAAATCCAGTTACATTAGAATAAGACTAAAAGTTTATAAATTACTTATATATTTTAATATATAAATTTTTTTCTGGTAAGCGTTTTTTAGCGAGTTGATTTTCTACGGTATAGGGTAGCTAACCCTATGTCCAACCCTCCTCCTTTACTCGGGTCGGGGACCGGCAGTACCCCCCTGGAGGAGCTACAGGCGGAGTTATATTTTGATATCATCAATCTATAATCATATTTCATTACAATGACAATGATAAGAAGAATTAAATATTAAATATAATAAAAAAAAATCAAGAATTTCCTAAATATTTGGATAGATAGTCTGAAATTTTTTATTGATTATTTTATTCTCATCAATTTAATCATCCAATCAGAATAAAGTTAAGTAGATGTATGAATGAAAAACATACACACACAAGAAAAAACGGTTTCTATTTTTCTCTTTCCATTTTTATCTCTTTATCTCCCTCTCTCTCTTTTCTAGGATAAGTAGATATACTCGTTTATATAGAGAATAAAAAAGAATTAGTAGATGAGATATTTTCAGAATGAAGATTTATGGAGATCATAATAACTGTGATAGTTCATTTCATGAGTCAATGTAAACTAGAACACGATTGAAAATTCAAAAGCACTAGACAGTCGTTTCGTATTAGTATGGGACTTATCAATGATCTAGCATAGGAGACTCGAAACAAGGACATTAGGTCTCGTGCACGAACGTTAAGCCTCTAGAACACTGAGGAGGCATCCATTGGTGTTATTGTTTAACTTCAATTGATCCATGATTTTACACATTCTTTCATCCCTTGTCTAAGGTGGATAACTGTCTCCACCCTATACGGATTGGACTCCATTGGTTATGGCTTTTCACTAGAACATAAAGGAATCCATTTTGAAGTTTGTCACTAGTGTGCTCAAGATTATTATTAGAATGGGGATTTGTGGAGATGATAGTAATTTAAATGGTTGAATTCATGAGTCAGTTGTGGGTGAACACTGCTAAGGAGTTCCATACTAGGACGAAATGGTCGTTCGGTGCTTCCAGATTTTCAATGGTGGTCTAGCTTAGATCAACTTATGAATTCAACCATTAAAATGAAATATTTATTCAGCCAGCATTAATACAATGAAATAAATCAATATAGTAAATGATATAACGAGAAAATGTATTTCTCCTAGTCGACAATAGCTTAACATTAGACGTTTATGAACTTTTTATCAAAACTGCTAAAGTAGAATACGGTTGAATATTAATAATAGTCGGAAAGAACAAAAGATTAATGTCAAATACCGTAATTTGTTTTAAATGATAATTAGTTTTCTTAAATCTTCATTTCTCAAAACAAGAGAGACAAATATACAATTCAACCTGTTCAGTGTGTCGTTCTGTAGTACACCTGGCATACACAACTACAATAATCAATAAAAAATTAATAATCACAATTGATTGATCACTGGGTGATGATCATTGTCATGCGTGTGAAGTCCTTCTTAGTGCTGATCGAATGCTATCGATCAAGTTGCAATGTGGCCACTAGTCTAGGTGGCTCGACACCCAGGTCCAGTGTTTCCTGTTGACCACCTCCAACCACCATCTTATCTAAAAATTAATAAATATACAGTAATTTCTGGTAGTCATATCAGTCCAGGGTTGACATTGAGCTAAAGCCATAAGAAAGTCAACAAAAAAGTATTTTAATTCACTGAGAATTTTTTGTTCATAAGAGGGTTTCGATTGAAAAAAATTGCTTTAGGAAATTGCTGTCGAAATTGATAGATATCTTTTTAAAGGATAGAATATCTCATGGCTTGAATAGGTCGAAGATATTGTTTTTTTTTTCATGGAATTAATTAAGAAGGACTGAATTCACTAAAGGCTTAACCGGCTTTTAGGGTGAGTAAGGAAATCTTACTGATTAATGTTAATCAGCATAAAACAAGAGATCAAGTTCAATATCTTGTCAAATAAATTTTATTCCCCTCAATGATCATGAAAATTGTGACATTTCATTTTTATTCACATGAACGCCAACAAACACGTAAGCAGAATATGAAGTGGAACAAATTGAGTTTTTTGAGGGTTTATTAATGAACTTAAGGGAAATGTCCTCCATATTGTACACATAATCTCACCCAGATTAGTGCTCTTAATATTACAGTTATCATATCTAGAAAATCACTGTCAACATCGGTTATCAAGAGTGGTCATTAAACTAGGAGAAGGCAATAACAGTCTTAATAACCCATAAAACAGTGACTATTGGATTTCGCTTGTGCAAATCTTAAGTAAGTAATACCAAGAATGAATGTACGAAATAGTTGGTTTTTATTCAAATTAGTCTGTATATCGGTTACTATGTTATATTTAAATATTTCTTTCGGTAAAAGACAATCAACCGCAGTAACATCGGCGTTGTTTAATTTTCATTTCTAAATTATCCGTGTTTATGGTTTAAGATTATGTCCCGATATGTATATATGTATATATGCCGCTTATTACTGATTCGAAATTTTACTGAAATTATTAGAATCCAAGGAAATTCTAAGAAAAACCTACATTCATTTATCAATTTTTTAAGATTAATATACATCTTAGCTAATTAATCATATTCAAAGGATTGAAATTGGATCAATCTTCTTGATCAACTTTACTTCAAATTTAATTCAACCTATTCGTTTTATTTTTTTCCTCGAAACATCTGCAAGAATCATTAAGTGAAAGCAATGTTGACATCATTCTTTTACATTTTAGTCTTTCATAATAAGTAGTATGTTTTGTTATTTTTCTATGCATATCCTTGTATATTCTAATAAATTAATTTTTCAGTTGTTGCACGTTTTTAACAAATCAAGTTGTAGAGATGATAGTACTTTTACTTTCGAGATCCCGAGCTGATCTAAGCTAAACCATCATTGAAAACCTGGAATTACTGAATGACCGTTTCGTCCTAGTATGGGACTCCTCAGGGGTACGCAATACATGATAAGAGGAAAATAGTGTCTTCGGAAAACTAGAGTTCAAGATCGTAATCTAAAAAGACTCAGTCAACGTTTCTTTGATATACATATTTCTGGCTTTCCTAAATGTATTATAAAGGTTCCAGTAATACTAAGAAAATGAAAGTATATTGTCTTTTACAGGTTTCTGTTCACCATGCAGATGACTTTGAACTCTAAGTCCGTTTTAATCCAATGATCCTTGTTCGTAAGATGCTTGACCTTCTTGTCATTAATAGATTTTCACCCTTTTTTTCAATTATGCCAAAGGATATTCTTGAATCCTCTTAAAAAGAAATTAATGTACAGTCTGTAGAATAGAAAACAATGAATAAGTTAAGCTATATTTGTATGTATTACCTTTCATTCACTGACAGTTTTATCTAAATAGATTTTAATATATATATACAATTACATAACCATAAAGAAATTAATAAGTAATCAATCAACATGTAATTAAGAGTAAATCAAATTGTAACCTTTTGGTAATATGTGGGAAGCTATTGCTGACATAATATGTATTTCATAAATCATTTCATGGTGGAAAAAGAAACAATTAACCAATAGATTCATCATCTAGATCAGCTCTTTATGAAAAACAAACTAGGAAAGGAAAATCATTTAACCATGAATAAATGTATAAAGCTTGAGGTTAGAATATAAGGGATAATATTTGATCTGTTGTTTGGAAAAATGATTTGATATAGTCCAAAAATTGATTACATTTGTCTAGTTACTGTATTCCATCCACAAACAAATTTCTTTATCAAACCCACATGATTAAGTTAGTCTATCATAAGCAAATTAGAGTTTGGGGCTTATGTGTATCAGTTCACGTTATATCTTAACACATTGAGATCAAAAATATCAAAATATAAGTCAGAGTGCTAGAAGTAGTAATAATCTCACAAGCTAGTCGGAAATGTTGGGCGTATACGTTGTGATCCGTGAAAAATGAATCTAAGTATATGATAAGACATATAAAACAATTTTAGAACTTTTGATCCAAGTAGAGACACGTAGTAGAAGCACCTACTCCATTGAGGTCGATTATAAACATTATCATCTAACATCGATAATCATTGCATACGGTAATCATGCAGCCAATTAGGTAGTCTGCACTTATCCACGTGATTCAGTCTGATAGTTAATGAATTCACGGACTGATGCAATCACTTAATCTGGCCGCCCCCAGGCTTTATTCAAACCTACTCGTACACTTATCAGCATTATGTGTTGAGTTAGATCGTTACTGGTTATATGTTGTACACCTCACTCTTTTCTCCTTAGTTACATGTTTAAATATATAAGGAATTCAAAAAAACATTTTCTTACTCTTTTAAATATTTGACCGTATTTTCTAAATTTTCTTTGTAGGATAATGCTTCGAACAGCTGCTATGATCAGTCTAGCATCAGTTAGTATGAATACACCGGATACATTTAAACAAGTTCCAGTATTAATGTATATTACTTTCATCTTGGATTTGATGGTTGCATTATTATTCACAGTGGAAATGATTAGCAAAATGTATATTGAAGGCTTATTTGTTCCTGCATCAAGTCAGGTTAGTAATTAGTCAGATATCTGAAATGGTTCCCACAGAATTTGTATTATTATTCATTAGAACAGTTTTGTACTATTATAATTTAATGGCTAATGTTTATGAAATTAAACAAGAATGTTCAATGTTCAAAATTTAACCTATTTTATTGACCAGAGATAAAAGGGCAATTTGAAACTAATTTGGAAATAGAACGGGAAATACTAAATCAGTCATTCCATAGAATTTTGCCATATACATAAGACTTAGTTGAAAAATCAAAGTTTATCGAAACTCGCAATTTTGGTGAAACAATGAATTAGTACAAATGTAGTGGTTGCAGAATTTACGATAGACATTAAAGGGGACAGACGGTAAAACATTAGAATTTAGCATACCCTTATACAGTAGTATCGACTAAGTTTAGGAAGAATTTTGTGTACTGAAATTGTGACAAGCAATAAAACCCAAGATACTTGTTTAATTTTACTTGGAACTCATTAGTTGGATGTACCTTCATTTTATTTACCTACATTTCATATTCACAATGAAATCCTACTTCAGTGTCTTCTGATACAAATGTCAGCATGCTATTCACTAAGCTCCTTAGTCATCATAGCCGCTAATATTTTTAATAAGTCTAATAATTTTTTATGAACATTTTAATCACCCTTATCGTTAGTATTTTGAGCTGAATTTCGATCATTTTCTGTTGTTATACATACATTTTGAGGGTATATCGAAGCATACTTCAGATAGTAATGAGAAGGATATTAACAAGATTTATGACATATGAGTCGAAGCAATAATGATGACTACAATAACGATGGAAACTAAACATAAAAAAATATTGCCAAAAAACACGATGAAACCGATTATTGAAAATCATAAAACAATCCTAAAACTCAGTATATGGTCAATACATCACTAGAACACATGTAAAGTCATGATATCTCAAGTTTTCTGATAGTGACTATGGTTATGTAATTGACTAAGATCAGAGATATACACATCATGACAAGAGTAGTGAATGACTTCATCAACTATTATAATTCTTTTTAGCTTGATTTGTTAACTTTATTATCACTTATGGGTTACATTACGGACTGAACTTAGTTAAACAACCAGTGAGCAGCAACGGAAGTTGAGAATTCATTTTGTCCAGGTAAGGTACATCGCATATTCTTAGTGAACAAGAACTTAGTTAGGGAAAACCTGAACAATCACACGGTGCTTTAGTAAAATGTGAAGATCATAAATCAAATACATTATTTTCACATCTTCTTTGAACTACCTCTTAAAAGCTTCATTGTTTCTTAATTCTTGTCGTTATCTTGATCGCTTTCAATTTCTTTTTCTGTTTTTTTCATTTCAATATTCTAAACATCTTGCTCTCAGACATTCCACTTCCAACTAGTGTTATATGCTACTATAAACATAAGTAGCATACACCACATATCCACAATACTTTTTTAACTATAAAATTCAACAATCTTCACAAAATCACAAAAGGGTTTTCGTGGAGATTTTAGTAATTTTACGTAGTTGAGATCATGAGTCAATTGAAGCTAGACCACCATGGAGAACCTGGAATCACTGCTTGACGGCCGCTTCGTCCTATTGTGAGACTCCTGAGCAGTGCTCATCCACGATCCCACCTCGCAAGATTCGAACCCAGGACCTACCAGTCTCGCGCCAGAGCACTTAATCGTTAGACCACTGAGCCGGCATCCAGCGGTGTTAATGTCGCAATTTCGTGGATTGGTTGAGGTTAGACATAAACACCCTTGGATGCCAGCCGGTTCAGTGGTCTATCGGTTAAGTACTCTGGCTCAAGAATGGAAGGTCCTAGGTTCGAATCTCGCGAGGTGGAATCGTGGATGCGCACTGCTGAGGAGTCCCACAATAGGACGCAGCGGCCATCAAGCAGTGATTCCAGGTTTTCCATGGTGGTCTAGCTTCAATTGACTCATGATCTTAACTACATAAAATCTTCACAAAACCCAATTAACTAAATAAAGTATAGAAACTATTTTAATACTGATTAGAAAACGTATCAGATTTAGAAAACTTAATCATAATCAATGAATATATTCCTTGGTCAACTGAATTAATAAAAATAAAAAATAAAAAAATATATATCTCATTAAGTAAACTATACAATATGATTAAATTTACGGTTGAAAGGTCAAATAAGGAATATTTACCTCTATAGTTACCACTCCACTTGCTTCATATTATTTTATATTCGTAGAACATAGATAAACAAATCAATCGACAGAACCCTATGAATATATAACATTTTATGGAAACTTCTATTGCTTTAAACTTTTGACATTCATAAATTCAGATGACCTCTTTCTTTTTCTCTTTTTTTTTCTTTCTGTAAACAATTTCTATTCTTGTTAAATAATGATTGGTTTATTTAACATGCTTCAGTGATGATTTCTTGTACTTACTTACTTATTTACGCCTGATTAGTTAGCGTGTTTTAGCGAGTTGGTTTTCTATGAGATGGGGTCGCTAACCCTATGCTCAACCCTTCTCCTTTATTCTGGCTTGAGACCGGCAGTAGCCCCCGAGAGGAGCTACAGGCGGTGTTATGATTTCTAGTAGTTACAGTTAAAAAGTTATCCGATATAAAGGTAACTATAAGCATATTGTAGTGGGGCCTACTTATATTCTCATAAGTAGTATATGACGATGGTCAAACATAGAATGTATTTTGGCAGAAGATCGATAAGGGAGGAACTGAAATGAAGCGCAATTGGTAGGAAAATGCATAAACAATGAAATTAGAGGAAATGGATTGATATTTACATAAAGAACTGTTAAGATTGATACGATTGGTTGTTATTCTGTAAACTCACTGTTTGCTGTATGGTTATCAGAATTTACTGTGATAGTCTGTAATTTGTGCTGAATTACATTCGATGGTCTCCACTCGTGTTCTCATTCACTACACTTTCAAATATTTTGAATTGATGTAAAATTGTGAGATAGCCAGTGAATGTTCAAGAAGTATCTGAAGTTTGAGTATGATCTTATTTTCTAGAAGACAATAATTGTTCTTAAAGTATTTTCAGTTTTATTTAAGAATTATTACTGCTTGAATTTTATGGAATGAGATTTGTTGAATGGACTTTCGATTGTTAAAATGAAAGAAAAAATTACTAATCAATCAATGATATACAATGATGCGATATATAACCTAGGAGTAGCTTCTGACAAGGTAGTGTTATAGACACATGCCCCTAAAAGACTTCAAATCAATAGCAAAACCGATAACCAGAACAATAATTTTCTTTTTTCTTACGAAATAACACGCTAATACAAAAAATATCGAATACACGAATAAACATACTTAGATAGCACTGAGTAATATAAACGATTGGAGGATATGGAAGCTGCATACCTCTAAAGGGATGAATGTTTAACTACCAGAATTCATTCATACCCTATTACATTACATCACTACGACTTTTCAATAACTCTTTGGGCACAAGAACTTATGATTACCAACTGACATTTGAATTGTTTTGACATGATGGAGAAGTTTTATATCTACAGTGGATTCTTTTCTTGGTATTACGTCCTCGAAATTGAATGGTTTGATTGAGAAAATTTCATCAGTGTTTTGGACTTCATTAATGGTTTAGTCTTATGGTAGATACTTATAGTAATGTTGAAATATAGATTATCAGAATATAATATCAGAAAAAGCGATGCTGCTTCTTAAATGTCATAAAAAATGAACTGAATAGACGATCGTGGACTGGATCCTTTCTATGGTTTGTCTCATTTTAACAACGTTTATCAGTTAAATTATTCAAATTTTTGATGTACAAGTCTGTATACTTGGATCTGTATATACTTTCATGTATCTCTACTTCTAACTATTTTCAGTTATAGAATATTTGCGATCAAAGCAAATGATTTTAATTAATCGTTCCGTATCTCCGGTTTACAACCGAAAACTAATAACTTACATTAATATAGGGTTCTATGCCATGTACTAATGAGTTTCATGGAGAATATTAGAAGATAAGAAAGTAATCATACATTATGAGTTGAATTTTGACGAACTGAGATCACAACTTAGTGGACAGTTTTGGAAATAGCCATTCATATGGTTCGTCTCCGTTTCCAAAATCTTTGAAAATTTGAACGATCATTTTCTAAGTCTCTTTACCAACATTGAAGACGTCAGTGTTCTTGTTTATTTCACATATTTAATGACAACTCCATTTACATTGATTGATTATTGAGTACAAAATAATGTCTTCTTTGTCTAATTGTTTTGGATTGATTTAATTCCATCCATCAAGGTATTATTTAGCCACAAGTCTAAATAATTCGAAACAACGCGTATTGTGTTGAAATGTTAGTTGATTGGAGGGACTACCTCTAACGTGTTATCGCTCAATATTTGATAGTAATCAAGTTTAAATATCTCAGATATACAGGAGGTCCGTCACACCTTTGAATAGTTCAGTGGTAGCGATTCAAACTGTTACTTTGAGTAATAAGAGTTCAAACCCCACCAGGGATATCAGTCCCCTCAAGATAGCAAGCGTGCAACGCTGGTGGAGGTTTTCTGCCGACTATATCAAACTATATAACCTAAACTGAAAGATGGTAAGATTCGACCCTGTCAAGTGTGAATCAGTTATTTAACCACAGGCAATGAAAGTTGATCACACGAGATAGTGAACAGATTGAACTTAAAAGCATACGCACTTATATGCTAGCTTGGTGGTTCTCAGGTTAAGCATTCTCGAACGAGACTGAAATTCCCCAATTCTATTCTATGTAGTACAATCGTTGGTGAAGAGCCTTAAACTAGGTTGAAATGGCAATCTAGTGCTTCCACGTTTTCAGTGGTGATCTGGCTAAGATCAGTTCTTGATCAATGAAAAAAAACAGTTCATATGAATACTTTTTTAGAATAACATGCATCGAATAAGCCAAACTGTACACGTAAAAGTATTTTGAATCTGTAACATTTTACATTGATTATTATAAATATAATAATTACTGAATATTACATTGCACTTTAAATGGTGTTAGTTTTCTAATGATAATTAATGTTTCTTCTTTCCTGAATTTTGTTCGTGATTAAAGTTTCCATGTAATTATTCAAATGTGTTCTATTCTATGTAATTTCTAATGATAAATACATTCTAAACTGTTACGTCCTTGAATCTGTCTACCCACTTTAGTGCCGAGTATAACTTGTCTAATGTAGATTAAGACCTTGACGCGATAGTCTGACTGGTTTAAACTTGAGGCTAGTATGCGTGAGTTCGAAGTGGAGGTAGAGAGACGAAAACTATTCTATCCCTGACTGGCTGGCAAGCACGCGAAAGAGAGAGAGAAGACTAGGACAACTGGAACACTAATCACTTTATTCCAATCCCGATCTAGCACCCGAATTCTCAATTCAGATTAGTGTAAAAAGATACATGAATAAATAGATGACTAACCTCACCACGACGTACAATAGTCAAGAAAATACAAATATGTCCAAAACTGGGGAATTACAGTAGAAAATAGAGTACCAAAGGTTACGTCCAAATTACAATAGCTTTGGAACAGAATATGCTATCGCAGTGAATCAATCATCAAACGAAAGTTTATGATTTGTAGAATAGACTAGGCACAAAAGTAAATGTTATAGTTTTACAAGCTTTGGATTAAATGTATAACGTCCCCAAAACTAGCTTCCATAGTTTTTTAAGGCTTCTTGTTTCGCGGTTCACATCATAAACATAATACACTGTATTATCATTATGTTCATATTGTTTTCATACCAATTTACTTGAGTGTAAACAGGGATCATTTTGATCAATGATAACCTATTTTCGTTTTAATTAATTAATTTATTTATTAAAACACATAAATATTGGTACAAAGGGGCACCAGATAAATTTGCGCCTCACAAATGTCATTTTATTTTGTGAGGGCTCTGATACTGCCCGGGTGCTCAGACTGAAGTAGGTGGTGTTCTTAGGGGGCCACATTTGGAGCCTTTGACCTGAAGGTCTAGTCCACAAGGCAGTGGAGCATCGTGAGGAGATACGGTCCCATGGTAGCCGGTAACCAACGATTGATTCATACTCCATTTGTTTCTTCAGGATACTGGAGCCCATGTGCATCTTTGGTTTGGAATTAGGGTTTTCCAACTCCCCTAGGTGAATTTTAAATGTCCACCATCCCAGTTGAAGCGCCGGACATTCGCTTTTCGTCCTCTCAATTTCATAGACAACACTACAGTCACGAGAAGGCAGTGAGTAGAACTTCCCTTAAATCACATTGTAGCGATTGACATACATTGAACTCTTGGTAGAAATCCGACTTGTTTGAAATAAAAAACAATATGCATTTGGTTCATAGTATCTATACAAGAAACAACTGAGAAAACAGTCTTTAGCTACGTGTCTGTGTATTTTACTATTCTTTAATAGATGATATCAAACTAATTGTTTTCTAAACATTCTCACACTTTAATGTTAGCCTAATCAAAAGAAATTATTCATTTTTAATGTGATTAACTTATCAAGATTTATGGTTATGTGTAGTAATTAAAAGGAAAAAGCAAGATTCCCAAATGCAACACGGAGAACACAAACTCAATCACACTTGATGATGAAACTCTGGAAGAGGTGGAAACATTCACATCCTTTGGGAAGCATCATTGATAAACAATGAGGATTGGATGCACATGTAAAGGCGAGGATTGGCAAAGCAAGGACAGTATTTCTACAATTGAGGAACATATGGAACTCAAAACAACTCTCAACCAATTTCAAGGTCAGAATCTTTAATACGAACGTCAAGACAGTCCTACTGTATGGAACTGAAACGTGGAGAACTACTACATCCATCGTCAAGGAGGTACAAGTATTTATAAACAGTTGTTTAGGCAAAATAATCAACATTCAATGGCCGGATACTATCAGCAACAGCGTTTTTTTGCGAGAGGACAAACCAGTTTCCTGCTGAGGAGGAAATTAAGAAAAGACGTTAGAAGTGGATAGGACTTACATTAAGGAAATCTCCAAACTTCGTCAAGAGGCAAGCGCTAACTTGGAATCCTGAAGGGAAGCGGAAAAGAGGAAGGCCAAAGAACACATTACACCGGGAAATAGAAGCAGATATGAAAAGGATGAATAACACCTGGAAAGAACTGGAAAGGATTTCGCAGAATAGGGTTGGATGGAGAATGCTGGTGTGTGGCCTATGTTCCTCCACGAGGGGTAACAGGCGTAAGTAAGTAAGTAAGTAGTAATTAAATATGAAAATGATCCTGTTATCAGTACAGACTATTGTTTCTACGAAAATCATTAAATTGGGTGATTTGACAAAAATATTATTGGATGATCAACATTGCTGATTTTCAGATGAGAGAGAAGCCGTGTAGCCCAAATGGTAAATTGTTTCTTCTCATAACTGATTAGTTTAATCATCAAATTCACAATATCTTACTAGACAATATCATCAACACAAACTTTGAATAATTTCACTTTTATCTGACGTTTATTTTGCTGATATTGACTAGAAAGTGTATTATAATCAGGAGTTTTGTGGAGATTTCAGTATTTTCATAGTTGAAATCACAAGTCGATCATATGCTCACTAGTGACTGACTTCAAGAGATGTTTCCTGGAGTCCTAGTGGGAAGCAGTAACCAGTGGAGTTCAACCACATCTGTTGTGAGATATCAACTCACTTAAGACAATCGGTGAACGGTTGCTCAAACTTCGTGGATTGGTTGAGGTTAGACATTAACACCGTTGTATGCCAGCTGGCTCAGTGGTCTATCGGTTAAGTGCTCTGGCGCGAGACTGATAGGTCCTGGGTTCGAATCTCGCGAGTGCAGGATCGTGGATGCGCACTGCTGAGGAGTGTCTGCAATAGGACGAAACGGCCGTCCAGAGCTTCCAGGTTTCCCATGTTAGTCTAGCTTCAATCGACTCATGATTTCAACTATAGAAAGTGCGTGAAAGCTTCACTATTGAAATCATTCAACTTGAACAACTCAACTCCATTAAAATATAACTAATGATAAGTTAGTGATAAGTCGAATATTTTATTCTATGGAAATATTCATTTCTTTTAATCAACAACAAAAAATTTTTTTTATAAATTTTAAAATGTATGTAGAAACCTTGTGTTATAATTGTATTTTGCTAATAAACAACGCAGCTACTTACTCCTATTGCTTAGTATTGTTATACAATGACACTCAACAAGACCCCAAAATCAGAACACGTCGAACAGGAATGAAGGGTGGGTGAACAGCAATCAATGGTTAGAAAAAACTTTCATATATTTATAGTATATGCATAAGAAGCTTCTAGATGTTTCTCCAATAATTTGCCAGGGCTGATTGGTTTAGAATTAGCTAATCAGCGTGCGCCATCACGACCATACACATGACATGCCTTAATCCGGTTTATTACCCCCTAACACCTTGTTTATTCAATTAGTGACTGAGTAAAAAAATTATTTCTTTTATAATAAGTTTAGGATATAAAAATGAACATTAATCAAATTAATGTTACCACTTTATAAAATTAATTATTAACAATTTGACCGTGAAGTTGGCCAGGGTAAAAGGAGCGGCTGGACATATTTCTTTTGGATGCAAAGCTCTCGCTTTTTGATCCGAATAGCAATTACCTCAGCCGTCTGCAGAATTCGCAGTCTGACGGAATTAGGTAGACTGCTGTTAACAAGATATATTATTGTGGAAGATTACTCGATGTTGACTCTATGTCCCGTCTGAACTAAATGGGCTAAAATGGAGCTGTTCACCGTTTTGACTACACTTTTGCTTAACCACACTAAGAGGTGCTCACGAGCCCGAGTATACAAATTCTTAGAACATTTGCCTATATAACTTACCCCACAGGAGCAGTTGAATTGATAGATACATAAAGAAGTGGCTAGTCTAGGCAATTTATCTTTCAACATCGGCGTGATCATTGGACGTTTGAAAAACATTAGTTGTAGTTTACCTGCATTAAAAGTCTTTTGGATTGATCTTCTTAGCTTCAGTCTTAACATTTCACTAGGTACATCGCCTCTGAATTGTAGATTTATATACAGAGGTTTTTTATTCACAATTAAACATTCTTTATACTCTCTTTTATTACCTATGTTTTTATTTATACATTTCTCCAGGTATCCATTTTCTCTCATAGTCGTGTATAATACTTTTATTTCATCTTCGACCATAACTCCATAGCATATTGTTTTGATTCTATGATGTAATATCTTAATCAGGTTCCTTTTGTACTGTAGAGGAACAAAACTAAGAAAAACTTTTTGTATACTGACCCATCCACGTTGTTTTCCTGTTTATGTTTATGACCAACTTCCGGGTCAACTTGTTAATAATCAATTCATTTTATATCCTAAACTTATTTTTATCTTCACACACCTTACCAGTCATTATAATTATTGTTTTTTTTTGTTAATAAAATTAATATATGTTTATCAAATAATATAGAATTTGAATCAACTAATTCGAACACAAATTGCTGCCAAGGTAATAATATTCATTTATATTTATCATATATATCTATTACATATTTATAATTTATATGATCCTTACGATTATATCCCATCCATCCATCCATCCATCTATCTATCCATCCATCCATCCATCCATCCACTCATTCAGATACCACGAATAATATAAACATATGCAGATATATATTTTATTTCTTACACACACACACACACACGAAATGATCCAGTTTAGTTTCACTACCGAATTAATTTGAGTTCAACTATGTTTACATTTTTTGTTTGTCCAAGTTCCCATTCATTTTTCTTTTTAGTTATATATATTTTTGGATTATTTTCTTTTCTTTTTGTTTGAGTTAACACATTGTTTATGTGTATGTGTTTGTATGTTGATGTAATAATGGGAAATGATTTTTTTTGTCTATTTTTGTTTATTTTATATCTGCATTACGATTGGATAATAATTTAATAGAAGAGTGTAATACATACATAGAAACAAGTTGTGCATGTCATATTTATTATTCACTGATAGAATTTAATTTAAACAGGTAACTTGTCACTAAGTTCTTAAATCGGAAATCGTTTTGTTTTATAACAAAAACAATGAAGCATTTAATATATATGGTTTTAGAAGGGGGTTTTGTGGAGATTCTAGTAATTTTATAGAGTTGAGATCATGAGTCAATTGAAGCTAGAACACTATGGAAAACCTGGAAGCATTGGACAGCTGTTTCGTACTATTATGGGACACCTTAGCAGTGGTTTCAAATTACACTAAAATTTTATTTTAAACAAGATTAATTACCTAATTTCGTTAAACAAGCACTTTTAAAAACATGTGAACCTATTACGAAACAAATCTTTACCTATTAAGTTACATTTTAAACTATTTATCGTGAAAAGTAAACTATACAAGGTATATTGTGCTGTGGGCCATTGATATCCACATAAATAATATATGGTGATGGTCAGACATAGAATGTATTTTGGCAGAAAACCGATGAGGAAAGAACTGAAATGAAGAGCGATTAGCCGGAAAATGCATAAACAATGAAATTAGAGAAGATGGATTGATATTTACAAAATGAATAATGAAGATTGATACGATTGGTTGTTATTTTTCAAATTCACTGTTTGCTGTATGTTTATCAGAATTTGGTGAGATAGTCTGTAATTTGTGCTTAAATACATTCGATTGTCCCCAGTCGTAATCTTGTCCACTACGTTTGGTGTCGCTGCCAACCAGGAAGGGAAGGGTGCTGTTTGTGGACGCCACTGCGGGTCTGGAGTTGAGGTGGTGATTGGGGCAGTCTGGTACGGGGAAGTGACGTCGAGTGGAGTGTTGTGACGAGGGCGGCGTTGGCTGTACCAGGTACTGTCGATGGAGAGGAGCAGTGGGACGTGCGGCTGCTGGGTGGACATCGGATATGGATGGCTCAGCAGACCGGTGGAATACGGGTGCTGAACGTCCTAGGTGCCGGGTGGATGTCGTATGTTGGTGGCCCGGCAGGTCGACGGAGCTATGGAGGTCAACGCGCCGCAGACTCGACATTTTGACGGAGAGATTGACACAGACTGCAGCATAAGAAGATAGTATACACGGCAAACAGAACAACCTCAAAGACGAATGCTTTAAAGAGGGGACGAGTGTGGTGTGGGTTACTGATACCCACATAAGCAGTATCTGGTGATGGTCAATCATAGAATGTATTTCAGTAGAAGATCGATAAGGAGAGAATGGGAACGGTGCGCAATCGGTACGAAAATGCATGAACAATTATAATCGGAGATTATGAACGGATATTTGCAGAAGAAACAGTCGAATTGAGACAATTGATTGTTATTTTGAAAATAACTGTTCACTATATGGTTCTCATATTTTAATGAGATATTCCTTTAGTGTCGTGCTAAAATGCATTCGATGGTCTGTAGTCGTATTCTTGTTCACTACAATATCACATGTTAAGCGGTCTGGGCCAACTGCCCGAATAGACAATAGACATAATCATAAAAAACTGTTTCATTATTTACATTCTCACTATAAATAGTTGAGAGAGTGAATAAATACTTAGGAATATACATTTATTACTGATAACGATGAAAAGCATATGGATACTTATTGGGTAATTCAATGAAACTAAACAAATACAAATATTAGGTAGCTGTCGAGCAAATAATATCCAATGAAAGACTGATTAGTTCTCATTTTGATCAGTTGTTTTTCATCTGATAAAAATAAAAGGTATTAGTAAAACTTACTTTATCATTATTCATTATTTAAGCACCGATAGGACGTTCTCATTCACGATTTTTTTGATAAAAATAGAATCAAAAATGGTTTTCTTTTGTGATTTTTCGGAATACCACTAGGGTGTACAGAATTATCAATGAGGTAGCCATTACTTGTTATGTCAAGTCAAAATATAATATGGATATTTTTTCTCAGTCTTTTTGTTAATCTAAATTAATTCAATATTTCTTATACTGGTCAAATTTCATGTTATATATTTTGCATAAGAATGTACAATTGTGTCACAGAAAATAACTCGTATTTTGTCTATAAATGATTCTGTTTCTCACTATATGGATCAAATATTCTGATCGCTGGCTTTCAGCTCCCAGTTCGGTTTTACAAGGGTGAAAAGAAAGCAGTTAGGAGTTCGATACTTGAACACTTAATCGACTGTAATCATTCTACGGATTTACAGTCTGATTTTAATGTTGTTTATATGATTCATTCAAATCTACCTAGATTTCTTCGTATCAAATTCTGATTTGTGTATACCCATCACTTGGTCACATGAATAATATCAAGTAAGGGAGATTGATCACGTAAATCAGCATAATTCATACGAAAAATGCCTCTCTTTATAGCAAACCCACAAACCTAAATAAAACTCGAAAGAGCAATCCCGGTGAATTAAAGTATGAATAACTGTGAATTATTTGATATATTAAATGTTCTAATAGTGATAGATGAATAAGCTGATATACAGAAAACCAAATTAAATGGCCAAAAATATAAACCTCCTTTTAAAATCAAAATAATGATTATCTTCTTGATCAAAATGTATAAATCTAAAAGTATAATGTGACCTATACAGTGAATCTCATGGGACTCTAATGCATAGTAATTTGTGTCATATGTTTGACTTCAATTAGCAGATAATCTCTTATTAAAGTTTAAAGAATATAGTTGTTCATTATTCTTAAATATTAAAATTTTAAATAAAATTAAATTCTTTATAAGCAAAGATGGACAGTGGCTACAGTAGAAGCCAGTTCACACGTTTCGTCCTATTCGGGACTCGTCAGCTGGATGTACCTGTATCTCAGAGTTAATGTTCACTTTGGAACTTGAATTCAGTATTGGGTCTAGTCCGAAATACCAATGGGAAGATACAAGTAAACAACAACAAGTGAATAAAAATTAGATTCCATTTAAAGTAAATACCACTGTTTTTCGGTGAATTCATGTTAATGATGAAGATGGTTAATAAATATTTAGTCAACATGTACATGAAGTAGAGGTTATTAAAGATATCCACAATGACAACGAAAGTCTTGCAATTATAAAATTTTGAAAAGCGAATAGAATTCTAGAAAAAATTTACAATGATAATATTTCAATTAATCAGTTAGGAAGAAAAAACCATAATAACAGTGCATGGAAATTGTTATTTGTCACATAATCCCATCAAAATTGTAAAGTTTTCAGTTTTAGAGATAAATAACCTCATTATCATTTGATAATGAATATTAGATGTAGTTGGGAGAGCAATCTTAATATGAAACTTGGTGTCAGTTGATAAAACTTCCACAGATATCATTTAGTGATATACAGACTGTAGTTCATAGAACTGGTTCTCAATATCACTAGTGACATACTTCAAGATTTCACTAAGGTTTCAGTGAGAAATCTTAATCAAGAGGATTCAAATATGAAAGGAGTGAAACAAATATGATCACTCGTCATGACTGGTGTTACAACTATGCTACTAGACACCAAATTAGCAGATCTGTAGGTTAAACGTACAGCATGAGAACTAAAAACTCCGAGTTCAATCCGTCACAGATTATTCATCCGCAACTCGGAGAAGTTTCGTACTACAATGAGATAGCTCTCCAGTTCTCTCTTGTTCCATATAATACCTCATATGAGATCAATCTGTAAAAATATACATTATTCAGAGAAGTCCCAGTTAAGTAGGTTAACCTTAGAAATCAAATCACACTAACAAAATGATCATCTACCTAATCTCTAACTAATGAATTACCGAAAGTGCCATTATCATTACACCCATATAATGCATGAAATCTTTTATTTATCATTAATTATACACACCACACATATAATTTCCAAATTATCTTCTTTTCAGTTCTTTTTTTATTTTTTTATTTTTTTTTGTTTTTCAATACACTTTTTGTTTATTATTTCATCCATTCAGTTTTAGAAAACCGAAAAAAAACCATATATATAATTTGGGTTTCGTCACCATTCTGAGTTTCGTCAGCAATTTATTTATTTCTGCCGCTAATATGTATAATTAAATATTGATTTAAAAGATTTTTCGTTAATATTTTTAGTTCGGTTTATTTTAATACAGCACCATATAATTTTAGTTTCTTTTGCTGCATGCTATCACTTTGGTGTACTACTACTACTACTACTAATAGTAGTAGTAGTAGTATGGTTTTCTTATGTTTTATAAATAAATCAGTTATATTCTGAAAATAATTACGGATTGCATGCTTATTTACAGATATGTACAAGTTGATATAGAAAACAATTTTACATTTAAAGTGGGGGGGGGCGAGGGAATTAACGTTAACTTGTTGGAAAAGATGTAATAAATGAGTTGTTAATATGAAGCAGCGGTTGAGAGCCATTAATTCTTAGTTGGTAAACTTGTATATCATGGTGATGTATGGATAGTGTTGTTACTGAATCATTACAACTAGAGGAACGAAAATAAAAACAGTTAGCATGAAACATCAACATTTACTGTGATAGATCCTCTACCATGCATATGTTATGTTGTTTTCTGACGCGTTAATTTGAATAAAAACTGTTTGAATTAAACAAAATAATAAGTAGTGTAAGTGTAAACCATCTGCTGGAATAGAAATTTAGTAGGTATGATCAGTGATAACAATGACAGAACAGTGTTTGACGTTGACATGTGCGACTTCTGACCTACATAGCAACCATAACAACAAAGAGATATAGATATCAAGCATTGGGTCAATTTTATTTACGATTTTTAATGATTTATGTGTCCTATTACAATATATACCAATATTTTGATTTTTATGGCAGTTAAAGTATAATGTGAATTTATTATAGAGGTTGATTAAAAATATAAAATATATCCTGATTCAATAACTGATGCATATTACGATAGAATGTGATCTAAGTACTGAGTGCTCATGCGCAAAATCAAAGGTTCTGGGTTCGGTTCTTACTTTCTAGGCCGTGGATACTCACTGCTTTGGAGTTCCATACTAGGATGATTGCTTAACTCAGATCGACTGATGATTTAAATGGTCTGCTAAAAGATCAGCCACACAACTGAACCATTGATGTATACCTGTTCAGACTACTGGTTTAAAAAATTTCCAACACAAATGTCTAGCAAACAAGTTTGCTTTTCGTCCTAGTAAAACGATGAAATCGTATACATAATATATTAACATATACATTAAACGATGAACAAATGGCTGTGATAACGTCTCCGACTTTGTCAAACCATTCATGGGGCATCAGTCCCCCTTAGATTGCAAAAAAACTGATGAGTGCCGAATAGCAAGAAACCTAATTTCTAAGTTTTTCGTAAATCACCTTCAACCTGCAACTCATATTTCAGCATTGTGTACGTGTTGTCAAGTCAATCAGTCTAATGACTACATTGTGATTTGATCGATAGAATTCGATCAGTGAATTGTATTTTCTTCAAGGTAACCATATTGATATCTTAGTTTATATCATTGTCCCTTACAAATCAGAACTAATCTCTTAAAAAGAAAATTGTATGTACTTTAAAAAGTTGAATAATAAATAGATTACAATATGAAATGACTGTAATTCGAGAACCGACAAAATTAGGGATTTACTGAATAACTTTGGCATTCTAACACAGAACTCCTAAGTAGCGTGCATTTGTAGCTCCAATCGAGACCAAACCTATTAATTATTAATTGTTGTTGTAATTTAAACGACAGAAATTTTCATGGAATTTCCGATGTATTTTGTTGGACAGTATAAAAAAAAATATTTAACACACAGTTCTTAATTAAGAAAACAGTTATTTTAGTTAACTAACTTTATTCACTTTAAAATGGAATGCTGATCCATTCACTCTGCACAAATTTCTTTCATTGTTCAGCATCTTGAGGTGCTACGACTAGATGATTTAAACTAAAATAGAATATGGTAATGACTATTCGTTTTTCAGATTATCCCACTGGATTAATCCTACAAAATTTTGTCGAATAAAATTTATCAAACAAATGTCTTGTTTACTGTATCTTTTTTTTATTCAACTTTCGCTAATTTAGTATTTGAACAGAGGTTGGATATTGGTTTACATTAATCTCGATGATTATCCTCATTATTGAATTGAAGCACTTTACATCTTTGGTATATTTCATAGTATTGTTTGTCTCCTCATAATACATAACGTTTATCACTGCTTTTTTCATCGATCAACCTACGGCAAACAAAAAAGAATTTTCAATCAAAGATTTTTTTACTTTAATTAGTAACAAATCATCAGGTTGATTTGGTGACCTGTCATTAATCAGATATTATGGCTAATAAAAATGTATTCGTTACTTACTTTTATTCATGTTCATATTGTTGTCACTTTTTCCTCTATCTATCTCACTTGTTAATTACGAGTGCTGCCGATTGGTGAGCCTTGAAATTCAATTACGTTCAAATAATTAATTATATGAATTAACCCGATTAGTTATTGAATTCTATCTATAGTTTATAATAAAGCATTTGAAGATTTATTATTATTATTATTTTAATATGAAAAGGGATTTTGTGGATATTATAGTAATTTTAATAGTTGGGTTCGAATCTTGCGAGGCAGGATCGTAGATGCACACTGCCAAGGAGGAGTCCCACAATAAGACGAAGCGGGCGTCCAATGCTTCCACGTCTTCCATGAAGGTCTAGCTTCAATTGATTCATGATCTCAACTATATAAAATTATTATAATTTTATTTACATTATTCAACATAATATCTAACTATAGTAATGATACCTCATTTCTTTAATATATTTAACCTGAATACTTTTCACTTTTTGTTTTTTTTTAGTCATCTGGTGGCATTGATCAGAAACGTAATCGTGCTTATTTTCAAAAATCATGGAATTATTTTGATGCATTTATGTTATTCTGTATATGGTCTTCATTAGCTTTACAATGTGTAGAATTTTATGTAACATTTCGTTGTCCAATTACTAGTAATGATGGAGGAAATATTACTTACAATAGTAATATCAGTAAAGATTATTACTCATGTCCAAATAATGAAAATTTTCGAAGAAATTATGGTTTTTTAAGTATTATACGTTGTCCAAGACCATTGATACTTATACGGGTATTTCGTGCAGTATTACGACTACAATTACCTCAAGCACGGGTAAAAGCTATATTTCAGTAAGTAAATCTTATATATATATATATATATATATATATATATATATATATATATATATATATATATAAGCATTTTATTTGCATTGAATTATGATAGTGATTTCATATGCCTAGAAATATACTTCATGTTATATCGTATGGGTGCGTGAATGTTCCCTATTTGATATATGAATGTGCTGATCCCCGCCAATGAGAGAAGAGCGAATTATCGATAGAAGCAATGATACACAAAAGCTGTATGAGCAGTCTTGAGTATTTATCAGTTCTACTATCTGCCTAGCCCAGCTAGTTGAGTCCAGAACACCAATAACAGCCTCGACAATATATGAATCATTATTCACAAACATACTGGGTTTATATACCAAACAAACTGACCACATTGTACCATAAAATAGAAAATAATATTTGTACAAGATTTGGCCAAACGTGGATGTGAATAAGGGTGGAAAGTAATCAATAGGCTGATGATAACTCAAGAATCGTATAATAATAGTTCAAATGTCAAAATAAAGCTTATGATAAGAGGAATATGAATATGAATAGTTTAGTTGCGTAACAATTATACAATATGAAATAGACATATTACGTTGGTCCATAAATAGTCCTCAAAAATTACTATTCACAATTCTCTTCGGAATACAACACTTCACTTAGTAAAGCCAGTTCTTCCTGGTTTTATTATTATTTTCAATACTAAACTGTGAAAAGAAAAACAATAATTTATGGTGTAAGACCAGTAAAGACTGTAAATAAATGAGTCTAGATTTTCCCCTTAGAAACACTTAGTGTTGTGAATTATTCATGGAGAAAAACTTTGAAGATCTAACAGAATATGTGTTTGTATACATATAGCTCTAAGTCAACGGTATTGTGGATGGTCTTTCACATTACAGTCCTGAATCAATTTTTTTTTTAAATCAATCTGGGAGGACAATTATCTTCTGCTAATACTAGAATAACCAAGTTAAACCTATTCCTGATATCATATTAAAGAACTAGAGGTTACTTGATTACAGTTTTCAAATGTCCCTCATTTTTCTTGTCTTATAAAACAGAAAATTTACGAGGGCACTCCAAAAATGCTCACAAGCCCAGAACAAATTACTTGTCAGCTGACTATTGACTTTCCCATTGAATCATCAACGAGTGAAATTCTTTACCTCAACATGTGGTTGAGGCTCTATCCGTCGACTTTTTGAAAAGAAAGTTGAATCGATTGAGAGATCATCATTGACGGGACTAACACAGGTCATCAGGCCTACTTTTCTTTTCCAAACTGAAACTGAGACAAAATAAAATTCATCCAATTTATCACCAAATTTTTATTGATCCAATTCTAGTATTCAATGTACTAATGAATATTGAATAACTATAATTCTAATGCTACAGCTTTAACAGATGACATCTATAGGACGACCACTTGTATTTACGAAATTGTTTAGTTTATTACTTGGAAATCGGCAAATTCTAAATTTTCTAATTATGAAGTTCATCCAATTAGCTTTATTTATGCTGACTATACAAATGAAAAATTCTACTCTAGAAAGGTATAAAATGAGTAAGATACTTACTTACTTATGCCTGTTACTCCCAATGGAGCATAGGCCGCCGACTAGCATTCTCCGCCTGTAGCTCCTCCAGGGGTTACTGCCGGTCCCAAGCCCGGATAAAGAAGGAGGGTTGAGTATGAGATTAGTGATCCCATTCCATAGAATACCAACTCTCTAGAAAAAAACGCTAACAAGAAAAACTTATTCAAACCATTTAAATGAGTAAGATGAATAGTGTAAAATAGTAAAAAAAACTACTTGGAACAAGTTTCTCGAAATCATACATTTTCATTTACTAAGCATTACTTTGACTCTTATTGTATTCAGTAATATTCTTTTCGTTGGTTACTAAGATTTAAAAGCAAAATCGCTTTAAAACCTCATGTTGTACAGGAATCATCATCTTATTTTACAAACTATTTATACATAATCTCAGTTTCAAATTACCGTTTGTTCTCATGTACAAAATAAATTTAATACATTTTTTATAAACCACTTATCATTAATTAGCAAAGATGGATAGTGGCTAGCAGTGGAATCCAGGTTGAAGGGCGTTTCGTCCTATTTGGGACTCGTCAACTGGATGTAACTGCATCTCAGAGTTGATGTTCACTCTGGGACTACAACCTAGTACCTTTCGCTTCAAACACCATCGCGTTATCCACTCGGCCACTGAGTCGTGATAGCCACGTACTTGTACAATGGGGTGAAGTTTAAATTCACTTATCCTTAACCTTTTTTTATATTTTAAATTTTAGACGATCCACACATCAAGTATACAATGTAACAGTATTTCTACTATTCTTTATGTCACTTTATGGTTTTCTGGGTGTACAATTTTTCGGTGACGAATTAAATTATCATTGTGTTTTAAAAACAGCTAATGAAACGTAAGTTCACTCAGAAAACTTTAGCTTGTGTTCGTTTGTTCAGTGAATTTCTCCATGGTATCATAAAATTTATTCATTTATTAGTAATTCAGTATGTTATTCTTTCATATTTTAAATGGAAGTAGAACTTCTGAACGTGTAACTCAATAATTTAATAGTTGAATTCATGAGTCGATTTAATCTTGATCACCATGGAAAACCTTGAAATACTGTATAACCGTATAGTCCTATTATGGGACTCTTCAGCAGTATACGTTCATGATCCCTCACGCAGGACTCGATTTGTGAATTCAACTATTAAATTACTACAATCTCCACAGCCCCCCACTTTGATAATTCAATATTTGTAAATTTGGAATTATATCTCATCATCACATAATACTGACCATTATAAATCTGGAAGCATCAAAGAATTGTTTCTTACTAGCTTGTAACTCCTAAAATCTATTGAGAGATTAAATACTTTCAAACCATTGAAATTAAACTTAGATCACGGTCAAATCTCATAAGTAAATCCTATAAGATGTGAAAAATAAATACAAACTTCAACTGTTTGCCTTCTTATTGCATATTTATTTTATTAAAAGTAATGAAATTCCGAATTCGTTTCACATTATTATTATTATCCTTGTCTACTCTTACCCCTCATCTCCAGTCTAGTTATATATATAAATGTTCTTAACAAGTATATGTGTGATCAGACTGTTCGAAATGTATTGCGCTAATCTGTCATCACATAGTTCTGATAATGTTCGTCTACCTATTGCACTGTCGTAATGAAATTCCGTTAGAATGTCAAACAATTATCTAAAGAAATACATAAGATACAATTTTAGAAAGTAACCTATTTAATGAATTTTCCAATCTCTTTTTTTAGTATCTTTGCTTAAGTCTTGAATGCATTAATCATTTCAAACTGAAAACTTTTGTATGCAAATAGTACACATAACTGCTAAATGCTTACCACACATTAGTCATCTAAATGAATTCTTTGTTATTAAATTTTAACCAAGTAATTTAAAAGTAACAGTAACTTGGCAATAATGTAAATTTCAATCCAAGGCATGCCAATAGTAGTCGAAAATACTTCAGCAATGCAATGATCAAATTACTTAACAGTCTTAGTTAAAGCTTTATGGCTCTGATGAGTGTATTTTACTGTCTTAATATTCACTGTAGGTTGGAAATTTAATTTCTAGAACATTTATCGTTGTTCTAAGCAGTAACACCAAAATCTAATAAAAGCGGTTATGAACTGGAAGTAAATAAGGATGTTGTTGTTCATAATGATAATAAAAGGTTCATTTTTAATCATTCAGTTTATAGAAAATAAAATCACTAAAAACGATCCTGCCTAGCAAGATTTGAACCCAGAGCATATCAGTCTCGTGCGCAAGCTCTGAGGAGTCCCACAATAGCACGAAATGGTCTTTCAGTGCTCCTAGGTTTTCCATGGTAGTCTAACTTCAATTGACTCATGATCTCAACTATATAGAATTACAACGCTTTGTTTACTTTCATAACCAACTTAAAAACAATAATTCAAAAGTGACTGAATAGTTCAATGTATAAACATACTATACAGTAAGATTATTTTGAGTATACAACAAATATAAATCCAAATCTGGAAATTGTTTTAAATTCTTACCTCTTTAGCTAACAGATGAAAATGTTGATTTTTAATATGACAATTAGTCAAAAGCTTATACATTTCATCATGATTTCCTACTGATGTTTATTTAATTGAATATTTTTTAGATATATTACCAAACAAGATCTAGCTATACCAGATTCATATTGTAATCCAGCCAAAAATCCTGATGCTCAATGTCCTAGTAATATGAAATGTATAAGAATTGCTACCTCTATACAAGATGATGGCGGTTATGCTGGGTTTGAAAGTTTTTGTAAGTAAATACTTTTTACGTTTGGTGATAATATATTTTTTCACAGGAGTTCCTAAGCTAATTATGAACATTATTCTGTTGTCTTGAAAAATACGTAGAAATACGTATTTCTGTCAAAAGTCTAATAACATTATATAAGCGAAGTTTCCGCGTTTATGGAATTATCAAGCATCATTGGATTTAATTAGGAGAATGGTTTTGTACAGACGATGAACATACTAAAAGCAACTATGAAGTGATGTTTTATGAAATATAGATGATTCACTTTAGTGACAATTTAATGTTTTTATACTGCTTATCTACAACAGTCATTGACATTAAAATACAAAAAAAATGGAGAGGACATACAAATCGTTATGAGATCTTGTTCAGCATACATACAATATTACGCTTACACTGCAGGGCTAGAATCAATTATTGACATTTCAGTTGAAGAGACGTACGAAGACATCATTTAAATACATGTGCTTTCCATTGAAAGCAGTGAGATTCATAAAATCTTTTGGCAATTTTTTGGTTATGATCAATGCAGTTTACACAATGGATAACAGCTACTCTCCAACAGTGGCTTTCCGTTTATAGACTACATGGTTTCAAATAAGATCATGAACCGAATAATGTTAGACGATTATTGAAAACATAGCAGCACTGGGAGTCAGCTTCGTCCTAATATGGGACTGCTCGAAAGTGTGCATCCAGGACCTGGCACATGGTATTCTAAACTACGACCTTCGAGTCTCGACCTTGAACGCTAATCTTCCAGATATCTGAGCCGGCATCCAACGGTGTTAAAGTCTAACTTTAGCTAGTCTACAATGATTTTTATTGAGTAACATATGAAACTTAATGTTTGGTTTTTGATTTACTGAAACTTATGTTTATGACTTCAAGTATTTCGTCATACATGTCATCTCAGATACTTAAAACGGCGACACATTTTATGATGATCAATATTTATTTTTTTAATTTTCAGATATTAGTATATTTACAGTATATCAAGCTGCTTCTCAAGAAGGTTGGGTCTTCATTATGTATCGTGCTATGGATTGTCTTGCATCATGGAAAGGAGTTATTTATTTTATGTCTATGATCTTTTTAGTTGCATGGTTAGTTAAGGTTAGTAATGAGAACCCTGTATTATTCTGTTGCATAAACCTAAACATTTCTACCAAACTATTTGTTCACTTATACATATATATTACTGAAGAAAACCTGTCTTTGTTAAATTTGATGGGTAACAAACACAATGAGATTATAGAAGGTGTTTTGTGGAGATTTAGTATTTATCATAGTTGAAAGCGTGAGTCAATTGAAGCTAGACCACCATGGAAAACCTGAAAGCACTGGACGGCCGTTTCGTCCTATTATGGGACTCATCGGCAGTGTGCATCCACGATCCCGCCTCGTGAGATTCGAACCCAGGACCTACCAGTCTCGTTGGATGCTGGCTCAGTGGTCTATCGGTTAAGGGCTCTGGCTCGAGGCTGGTAGGTTCTGAGTTCAAATCTTGCGAGAGCGGGATCGTGGATGCGCACTGCTGAGGAGTCCCATAATAGGGCGAAACGGCCGTCAAGCAGTGATTCCAGGTTTTCCATGGTGGTCTAGCCTCAATTGAATCATCATTAAGTTTAATTACATTTAAGAATGAGAATAATGAAAATGAATTTCTTGCCCTTTGATAAACATTGATCAACAATAATTAACTTGAATTATCATTCTTTTAAGTGTCGGAATCTTGATAATGAAAGGGAGCAATGGATTTATCATCCTTTAGCATCTCTAGTATCCAAACTGAGCTCAAGTCACATTATTAAAATTGAAGGTTATAACGGTTTCTTATTTATACTGAACATAATCACTAATCACTATCGTAAACTGTTGATGAATTCACTTTCATTAACAGTATTACGTTTGGTGTTAGTTGCTTAAATGTTCCTGCAATTAATGTTAGGTATATTTTAACTCATAAGCAAATAGGTAACTACAATATCGAATATCTTTTTGCTGTCTTGGGGAATTGAATAGGCATCAATCACCATCAGCCCTGATCAATGGAGTTTAACTGTGTTGGTGTGGCACGGTTATCTAAAGAGAACAATGAAAGATAGTTGTGCAATATCATGGGCTGGTTGAAGTTGGATCTCAGCTCAGTGGTCTAGAGGTTAAGCGTTCGCCCAAGATCGAGTGTTTTGAGTTCGGAACCTACGTGAGTAATTGTTGATACGCATCGCTGAGGAGTCTCACCCTGGAGCGAAACTGCCATCCAGTGCTCTCAGCTTTTTCAATGATGGTTTAACATTGATCGGTTTATGGTTTTTATGAAACGCACATTATGCTTGATTTTATTAACTACAAATATTTACAGATGTGAATGACCAGTGAACGAAGACAAACAGAGACCCAGATTTCTGAATGTTATTGTACTACTTTGTTTTTTAAATGTCTATCTATTAATAATCTCTTTTTTTTAACTTTTTTTTAACTTTACTATAAACTTTGCCCTATTTGAGTACCGCTTTTATTGATTTTAAATCAATTATTGTTTAGTTCATTATCTGTTTCTAACTTACCGGTCATGAATCTTATAGTTAGGGATAATATGATCCAGTCTGTATATTTAGTAAATCAAATAGATGTACTATCTTATTATATTCTGTTATAACTATTGTGGTCATAGTTTTCCTCTTTTAATTGAACCTTGATCAAAAGACTTCAATCTGGTGGTTTAGACACTATAGTTTTGACTCTATGTTTAACAAATTTGAAAGTCACTTGAACTGCAGAAATTTGAAGGGCCAGGCAGAATAACTCAACCTTACAAAAATACTGGATTTAATATCTGAGTAATCGTACATGTATGTGATTCCCAAATTACATAACCAGTAGACTAACCAATATAGACTGCTTAAAATAAAGTGAATAGTGGCTGTGAAAATATATATTCCAAAAACTGATTTGAATTTATAGGCAAAGATGGATAGTGGCTAGCAGTGGTATCCATGACGCGCGTTTCGTTCTATTTGGGACTCGTCAGCTGGACGTAACTGCATCCCAGAGTTGATGTTCCCTCTCGAACTCGAACTCAAACGCGATCGCCTTAGTTCCGAATAGGACTGTGAAAATATATATTCCAAAACATAACTAATTTGAACTTATTTCATCATTTAATAAGCCGAAAATAGTAAGTTTAATTTGTTGTAATAGAGCTTAAAGGGTTATTATATAAGTGTACAAATATACATTATAATATCATTTTATTTCTTTTCTGATTTTTAATATCATCAGAATGTATTTATTGCTGTGTTAATTGAAACATTCGCTGAGATTAGAGTACAATTTCAACAAATGTGGACACCAAGACATACTGCGGATGCAGATTCTTCAAAGGTAGATATATATTCATTTCTATAATATTTAAACTGAACATTTCTTTTTAACAGTATGTGTATATACTATTTCTGAAATCGGACCTAAGGACTCCTTGAGATGCCAATGAATACTAGACGCAACCTTGCTAGCTCTTAATCTTATGTGCACCATGAAGTACTGAAGCAGTAGCCATCACATTTATGCTGTAGGTTCAAGAGCCTTAAAAATATGGAATCCATTCCAAAAGAGTCTACAGACCTCCCCAGAAAAGACTTTACCAACTAAATCTGGCTGGCATACCACACCACTCATATATTATTTTCAAGAAAAAAAACAGAAACTGTAACTAACCAAATGTCGAAATGAACACAATGAGATTCTGTAATTTACTTTTAATGTACAGGTGTTATCAATTAGGAAAACAAAATATTGTTTTGATCTTCAATACAAATTACTACAATTTATTTTATGCATTCATTTTGTGTATTTCAGTAATTATAATTAATGATCAAATCATTCATAATGTTGATCTGTTAATACACTAAAAATATAAACTAAGTTTACATTTAGTTCAATTACAGTTGAAAGATGTTTTAACTAAAGATTTTCTGGAAGCACTGGACGGCCGTTTCGTTCTATTGTGGGACTTCTCAGTAGTGCGCATTCACAATCCCGACTCGTGAGATTCGAATCATGGACCTATCAGTATCGCGCTCGAACGCTTAACCTCCAGACCATTGAAACGGCATTCAATGGTGTCAATATTTAACTTCAACTGATCCACAAAATTAAGCGACACATTCACAATTGTCTTCAGTGAGTTACTATCTTACAACAGACCCGGCGCACTGCTGAGGAGTCCCACAATAGGACGAAACAGCCGTCCAGTGTTTCCAGGTTTTCCATGGTGGTCTAGCTTCAACTGACTCATGACCTTAACTAATAAATTTACTATAGTAACTATAGTAGCTCACATACAATTGAGTTTGTTTATATCTAATTTGGCTAAGCCCTTTTGTTAACTTATTTAACGGACAGTCATTCGTAGGACAACAACAACCTATCTATACTATTGTACCTTTATTATGTACGCTTGAGCATTACTTACTGCCTATGCATGTATTCATTCTGCTAGCCTCAATATTATTCACTTTATTGATTCTATGATTCATGCGTTTCCATTTGTATGTATATGTACATCTGAATCGTGTTCAGTGTTCTGTACTCTCTTACTTGATCGATTGGTCTCTCGCTCATTCGACTCTTACGCTCACTCGCCTGCTTTACGGAGCTACTCTTTTATGCTTGCTTAACTAGCCTGTAATTTTGGATATCTGTGTGTGGTTCAATAATAAACTCAATCAACCCTTCGCATTCGCCTTCTGATTTATACATCGTTAGGACCTTATTGATTAAGCGTTCGCGTGCGAGACTGATAGGTCTTGGGTTGGAACCTCGTGAGGCGGGATCCTGGATGCGCACTGTTGTTGAAAGTGATTGTCATTGAGTGTATAAATTTAATTGAATTAAAGGAATAAACAACTATCAGAATGGAGATTCTTGAAGATTGTAGTCATTTTGATTACTGAATTTATGAATCGATTTAAGCTAGGCCACCATTGAAAATCTGGAAGTACTGGACGTCTGTCTCTTCCTAGTATGGAACTCCTAAATAGTACGCATCCACTAAATGACCAACCAGTGCTTCAAGGTGTTCAATGGTGATCTAGCTTAGATCGAACAATATACGAAGTTTAAGGATAATATCGACCACCACCTATCCACAAAAACCCCTACTGATATTAATAAACATTTTCTCTTAATCTATGAATTGATTAAAAGTGAAATATTCTGAAACTTTTAAAGGTTAAATTTTAAATTGAAATCAGTTTTTGTTTTTCTACAAAAAAACGTAGCAACTTAGCAATTCATAGTTTCAGTTTACTTAAGTGTTTCCCATCATTTAAGTATAATCTTAATGTCCATTTATTGTTTATTTTCATTTTATTCTCAATTAACATTTTTAAAAATAAAAACAAAACTGTACAGAAATAGTGACGAAAACTATTCACTGACAGATATTTATGTAAATTTAACTTCCTAGGAACTTGATAAATTTCAAAACTAAGTGAAAATATAATACAGTTCAATACATAAAATAGTACAGTCAGGCACTTTAACCAGGTTGATGGACACGGAAAGTCCACTTAGAGGATTTGGAAAACTTTGATTTCAAACAAATGATCACATGGGCTCCAGTATCCTGAAGGAACAAATGGCATATGAATCAATCGTTGGTCACCGGCTGCCATGGGACATCATCTCCTTACGATGCTCCACTGCCTTATGGATCAGATCATTAGGTCAAAGGCTCCGGATGTGGCCCCCTCAGTTTGGGCACTTGGGTAGTATCACAGCTCTTACACAAATCAAGTGAGATTTGTTTGGAGCATATATATTTGGTGCCCCCTTTGTGTTTAAATAAATAAATAAGTAATTAAGATCAAGCATTTAAACATTTATGTGCTATATATATACATAACAAATTGTTATCTTACTTCTAATTTCCCTCTTCTCTATTTAGATATTTCAGTTTGATGGTTTAACATGGAAATTGGTTCCTGTACACGAAAGTAATCCACGTGGTTTAGCACCAAAATTTTTTCAAGAAGTAAGTATTAATTAAATTTTAGTGAAATTCAATTAAAAGTGCTCTCGAGGCTTTTTCAATATTCTATTTGAGTAAATAGTTTTATAAAAGGTTACAACTTTAAAATTATTGTGATTATGCACAAGTACTGGTTCTAGTTTACAAATAAGAAACCTGTTTAGCATTATATTCTTTAAATACACTTCATTTACGATTGTACATGTTTATATAATTGACTTTAAGCTACATAGTTTACGTTTGAGATTGTAATACTGCTTCGTTGCTGAAACCAAACTAGATGGAGTGACTTTGAAACCCGTAATCTCCTGATTTAAAGCTTAACTAATTCACTCGAACACAAGCAGATTAGAACCTGCCACATATATACAAGTCCAAGTGATTTGAGTCCTGGAGTGAACATCAAGCCTGGGAGACAGGAGCATTCCGCTGACGAGTCCTAAATGGAAAGAAACGCGAATCCTGGATTCCACTGCTAGCCACTATCCATCTTTGCTTAAAAATGTTTATAACTTAATGGGAATACAAAGGCAATCCTCAGGGGATGCCCATATTCCAAGAAAAGGATTATTCAACTCTGGTCCTAAACAAGGATTTGGAGATTCAAACAGATAATGCGAACAAAGTGTATACATCTGTTTAGGTTACCACACCAAATCACTACATCTAGATAAAATTATCAATGTAAATGTTAGAGAAGTAGCAGTAGTAACTGATTTAGGGGTATTAGAATAATCAGACATAGACGATATGACTGGAGAGGACAAAAGATTTTTTTTTCGAATCAAAGAGCATAACATAATATGAAACTTGAAATCTAAAGAGAAGACAGAATACATCTACGCCATTGTTTTACTCAGTATGTCACCGTCTCATCAATATATATTCACGACATAACCAATGGTCGAACCCATGACTTCTACATTTCTCAGCGAATTGAATCAGAATTTCATGGTTTCACATCGAATTTCGGTCAATCCCTGATATTACTTAACCATCCTCCAGTGCGATTGGTGGTTAATTTTCACATTATTAAACTAGTTAAAAATCATTTGATCACGGGAGTTACAATTTGATCCTAGTTACTGGTAAGCATATAAAGTTATGTTTGAAACTCTGCGTAGCAACTTAGTAATCTAAAGGTTAGGCACCCACAATGACGTCTGAAGTTCCTCGGTTAGACCTCTAGTGAGATCGTGGATGCGTACCCCTGAAGAGTCCCTTAACATGACGTGACGTTTATCCAGTACTTTCTGGTTTCCATTGGCTGTCTAATTATAGTCAGTTGCTTAATTGAGACTTGAAAAAAATATTAACATGAATATTTATTCACTTTCAGATGTTGCAACGATATTTAAGACAATATTCAATATTGACTACTTTTGAAATCGTATATTTAAGAATGTCGTTTTCCAGTTCTTTAGATTATTGCCAGTTTCATAACTCACAAACGTTTAGTGTTTACTTAGTCTGACATTTGCTTTTGAAAAACACATCAAACAAAAGACTAAATTTCCTCACTTTCAATATTTGTCATTCTCAATTTATACTTATTCATCTAGTTTCTTGTCCCACCGTATGCAGAAGATATATCAATAGATCAATGGAAATAATGTAACACTATGCCTAAAACGAATGTTTGTTGCACGAGTCAAGCTAACACCGGTTCAAAACCAATATGACTAAAACATGCTTTCACCCCTCTGACTCTCGTACTGTATATTAACCCACAATAGAACTGACTATGTTCATTCCGACTTGGCATAATGTATATTTCCGATATTTATATGATAGAAGATCATTTTAAAATACGTTGTTTAGCTAAAATCAATAATTAAAAAATAGAAAAATTTCCGTTATAACAATAACCACGTATGCTTTAGTGACTAACTTAGATAAAAACCTCCCGTGGTTTTAGTGGTAAACTATTTCCTATAGAATCCAATCATATAGAACGCGAAGTCAACATTATAGGTGATAATGTAAAACTGTTGCTCGGTTATAGTTATGAATAAGTGAATGCCAACTGTATGGTTTAAATGTAACTCTCTTGTTGTTACGAGGCCTTATAATTTTGAGCACTTCTGATGTAAGTGATTACATACTGTTGAGGATATCAGTACTAGGGAGAAACCGAAATTTAATGTATCTTAATTCTCAGTGTTTGTTTAATAATGATCAGTCAGTAACGTAAACTAAATACTAGGCTACTGTAAGCAAAGATGGATAGTAGCTAGCAATGGAATCCAGTTTGACGCGCGTTTCGTCTTATTTGGGACTCGTCAGCCGGATGTACCTGCATCTCACAATTGATGTTCACTCTGGGACTCGAACTCAGTACATTTCGCTTCAAACGCCATCGCGTTATCCACTCGGCCACTAAGCTGTTTTCCATAAATTTCCTATGATAATTATCACTTACTATTTACATATTATATTTTGTATTCATTTACGTAAAACAAATCTTATCTATAAAAAAAAACAAATTAAACAATCACCTTTTGTTTCCCACACTTTTTTTATGAATTCTTGTAACATACATTCCATTGAAAATCTCTTCTTTTCCAATGATATTCTAATACAAAAGTACAGTGTTTTACTGCTTAAGTAATATTTATTATTGCATGAACTATTCACACTATCCATTTCATACAGATTACTGATTTCTATTCTCTCCTACAAACTTACCTAGCAACTACATTACCTGTCTTACATTTTCAAACTACTGTCTATACAGATTTCCTCACTACAAAAAAAAACCCAGTGTTATGAACAAATACCAATCGTCCTGTCTTCAAATAAGACAGAAATATATATATATATATGATTTACCTACCTAAGTATTTTGTCGTGTTAGAACATTTGGTATAGTGTAGAGTGGAAACAAAAAAATAACAACAACAACAACAAATGTAATGTGTATCTATGTGTGTATGTATGTATCTATGTATATTGTCCAAATGGTTAGATTAGACAAATGTTGACGGTGATCAATAAAAAATGTCTGTAATGTAAGAATTCTTCTTGTTAAGAAAAAAACCCATCTCGTAACTACTATACATGTCAAATAAATATATAGAAAAAACCACTTGAAAATTGATTTCGTAAGGATTGATTCCTTCCCGATTTGGATGTTGATAGGAATATTAAAACAAATTTATGTGGCGAGAGTATAATTTATGGACGAGCTAATCAAGAGAGTCTGAGGGATTTCAAGGTCACGGCGGAAATATCATTACCCGCTGCTCATGAACGATCGGTTTACAGAGGATTTCAGACAAGACATGGTAACGACAAGGTTATTCGAATTCTTTAAGCGCAGTTGGATAGTGGCTAGCAGGGCAATCTTAGACACGCGTTTTGTCTCATTACGAACTCATCAGGTGAATGTACTTGTATTTCATTGTTTATGTTCATACAGGCAACCAAACTCAACACTAACCACTATCAAATTTCGCTCACAAATCTTTTTGACTGATTTCAGCTGGCTTATAATTTATCCCCGTTTCATAACTCAGTGGTGACCTGAAATCAGTGTTTGCGTGGATAATGCGTCAGTCATTCGAAGTGAAATGCACTGAGTTCGAGTCCCAGAGTGAACACTGCAACAGGAATCCTGGCATATCGGCTGATGTGACTCATGTAATAAGAAACGCATGTCTTGAATTCCACCTCTATCCACTATTCAACCGTACCTAATAATACTAGCAACTATTGACAATATTGATAGAATTCTTAAATAGACTGATTAACTGCAGTCCTTAACTCCATCTATGAGAAATTTTAAACTCTTATGGTTGAAATATCTAACAACATTTTATGAAACATATTAGAACAAAAGCTATCTGATTATTCAATTTTAAGTATTGGTTTAGGGGGATTGTTGAATTTTGTTGAAATCCTTCACCTATCTAACTTTGATCTTGTGCTCAGTGAAAACTAGCTTTGAGAGAAAATTTATGGATTCTGATGAGATACCGTGACCAGGGGAGTTCAACCGTATTGGCTGTGAGGTAATCACTCATCGAAGTCAACGGAAGATGGTCACACAATATAATGGATTTCTCAAAGTTAGAAACTAACACCGCTGGTAACCTGGTCAATGGTCCTGAGGTTAGGCGTTCGCGCAAGACTAAAGTTTCTGTGTTCATGAATATGCACTGCCGACGAGTCCCATAATAGAATGAAACAGCTATTAAGTGCTTTTAGGTTTTTATTTAATTGAATAACTAAGATCGGTTGAAGGCTTCAATGACTACATTGTACTTAAAAATTGTAAGTATTTGATTTCTCTTCCCTTATCTTTAATTTGATTAAAAAGGACCATCTATATTTTGCATATTTAACAGACAATACTCAGATCTACTGGATTCAATGTAGTTATCATGGTCTTAGTGTTGGCTAATGCAATCACAGCAGCTGCATTACATTTTAATCATCAAAGTATACGAGATAATGATCATATGAAGGTTCAATTAGACGGTTTCTATTATGCTGAGGTATTATACATTTTTATCAAATGAACTGATTGTCATGATTTTTTTTGTTAATTAGTTAAATTAATTGTTTTATTTATTTTTATGTGTCATTTCTACGTGCTGAACTATAGACAACTGTAGTTGTTGGTTTTATCTTAAATTAAAATTAAAGATAGACAAAAGCTAACTAACATTCTAGTTACGATATACAGTTGTTTCCATAGTACAAATCCTGTTTACAAACTTAAAACTTTCTAAATTCATTTAGTATTGTTTGGTTGAATCTTCTCATCGATGTGTTAGGACTGCAACTAGTCAGTCTCTAATTGGCATATGTGCATACTGTGCGTATCGCCTCGATATAGCCTAAATTCACAAGCATGGTAAGCAGAGATGGATAGTGGCTAGCAGTGGAATCCAGTTTGACGCGCGTTTCGTTCCTTTTGGGACACGTCAACTGGATATACCTGCATATCAGAGTTGATGTTCACTCTGACACTCAAACCCAGTACCTTTCGTTTCAAATACCATCGCGTTATCCACTCAGCTCCTGAGTCCTGATAGTCACTTGCTTGTGCGATGGGGTGAAGTTTAAATTCATTTAGTATCTCTGCTTAAAGCCTTCTGTTTTTTTAGAAGTGTAAGCTGACACTATGATAATCTGAGTTATACTCCACTGATTAATGGTTCAATAGTAGTACTGGTTTTCGAGTTTCACTGGGAATATTAACACTGGAATATAAGCTCATTCATTATGCGACTAACTCGACTATCATCTATCAAACTGTAAAGTTTGTTTGTTTCATGTTTGAATTGCACAAGAAGTATCAATTCTTTAAAGATTGTAGGTGTACTTAAAAATCCCTACAAGTATGAAAGTTAGGTCATGTTTCTTATTGACAATCACTAACTGCATGACATTAGGTCTCGACTGTTTAATTATCAGTAATATATCTGTACTGCCGGGTTTTGTTAATCGTTTACTTCGATAACCGTTATAATTCTAATCTTAACGGTGCGTAAAATCAAAAGACAAAGGATAGCAGCAACTAAAGTTTATTGTCGAATAACTCAGGTCAGAAAGTTAACAACACCTGAGCGAATATCAATGAGCGAGCGAGAGAGCGAGTGAATAGGCGAACAAGCGAAGGAAACGAACGAGGAGCAAGCGAGCAAATAGCAAGCAATTACATAGGCAATTTATAGTCAAATTTAATAAGGGCACAGCAAAGCAAAACAAAGGCTGATAATAGTATTTGCGTAAATGCACATATGGGAAAGGAGTATGAGTCATCGAATGATATTTAAGCAGTCAACATTTCGGCTAGAGTGTCATGTGCTCTAGTGGTATAGCAGTGCAAAGAATATGCAAATTGTTACTATCCAAATGACGATGTCTGTTAAGTAAGTTAATAAAAAGAGCTTAACCAGATTAGGTGTAAACAAACTCAATTGTATCTGAGTTGCTATATATCTACATATTTTTGATATGATAAAACTACTTACCCACTCCACACAATTCTGTTTCGGATTTTTATTTGACGATTCTTTTTTGGTATTATCCCAGTAATAATTGGATCATCTTAAAAAAATTGAGGCTCTTCTTAAATTGCTTTTAACAACTGACCTAATTATAATCATAATTAAAAAGATTTTGTTCATAGTTTATCTAATGAAATGACTTCAATTCCACAATTATTGAACAAAAGAGAACACTGGGTACTTTTATGTTTAACTTTCAAACTCCATGACAGTGGATATACATGCTTCCGCTGAAAATTTGGATGAACTATTTTGACGCTATCAAGTTACAGTTTTATTGTTCTCATCTCTTTAACTTTTCCAATATTCATATTTGAAATAAGAATTAATAGGGTTGTAATCAAAAACCATTATCAACCATCTGCATTAATTTCTGTAGAGAAACATGGGTTATCAATAAAATTGGTTGATGCATGAAACATATATTAAATCAAATAACATTATAAATATTACCAAATGAATTTCAATGGTCTTGGTGTAATGCGCTTGCCACAATGCCTGAAGGTTTGGAGTTTGACCTATATTGGAGTAGATAGTAACATTTCGTAGATGATTACCAACCTATTATGTGATAAATGTCCAGTTCTCATACAATGAAATGCAAGTACATTCAAATAATAATCTTCAAATAAGATTATTTGTGATCATGAGTCAATTGAAACTAGACCAACATGGAAAACATGGAAACACTGGACAGCCGTTTCGTCCTATTATGGGACTTCTCAGCAGTGCGCATCCACGATCCCGCCTCACGAGATTTGAACCCAAGACTCATGATCTCAACTATCTAAAATTACTAAAATCCCCACGAAAGCCCCTTCTGAAGATGAATTGAGTTTCTCCGACTTTTCAGCTAGCCTCTATTCAATTTTATGTAAGGAAAGTGAACTGTATAGAACTCAAATGATAAGAAAGTCCATTGTATACATATTATTATTATTATCATAATCAAAACAGTCAACGCAGTTTGAGAAAAATGTAATGGATTGATTGAAGTTAGACATTACCAGCGTTGCATGCCAACCGGTTCAGTGGTCTGTCGGTTAGGGGCTCTGGCTTGAGACTGTTAGATCCTGGGTTCGAATCTCATGAGGCGGGATCGTGTATACGCATTGCTGAGGAGTCCCACAATAAAATGAAACGGCTGTACAGTGTTTAAAAGTTTTCCATGGTGGTCTAGCTTTTTTTCTAATCATCGTAACCTTAATTTATTCCAAACATAAAAAATTATTTTAAAAAACATGAGAGAAAAGAACTCTTTGGATATATTAATTATAATATAATTGGCCAAAATCATCAAAATTCGTATTATGTAATCAGAAAAAGATGAAAAAAGAAAAAAAAAGAAAAAAGAATTTGAAGAAAAAACACATTTTAATCACATTTTGTCTAAATAATTAGTATTCTATAAATATTCATTTGTAAACAAACAAACTCACTTAGTATTGTTTGTTTGAATCTTCCTATTGATGTTTCTTACTGCAACTGGATGTAACGCGCGTCCTGGATTCCACTGCTAGCCACTATCCATCTCTGCAAACAAACAAACAAACTATTTATGACTTTTTAAATAGATAGATAAAATCTTTGAAGATGAATTTTTTTTTAGAAAGAAATTGTTTATTATTATGACTAGACATTGATAGTTGATGATAATAGGTCATATGTGACTTATATCAAATTGGTTAGAGAATTGGTAGATGAATGACATCTGTAAAACAAAAAAACGAAAAAAAAAAACAGTACAAACGCATCTGAATATATAGTTTACACATGTGGTTTTATATGGTTGAAATCAAGGGTCATTTGAAGCTAGACCATCTTAGTAAACCTGAAAGCACTTGACAGCCGTTTCTTCTGATTATGGGATTCCTCAGAAATGCGCATCCACGATCCCGACTCGCGATATTCGAGCCTAGGACTTACCAGTCTCGCGCCAGAGCACTTAACCGACAGACCACTGAGCCGGCTGGCATGCAACGGTGTTAATGTTTAACTTCAACCAATCCACGTAGTTGAGCAACCATTTCACCAATGACTTCAGTGACTTGATATCTCCCAACAGACTTGGTTGAACTCCACTGGTCACTGCTTACCACTAGAACTCAAGGAAATACCTCGTGGAGCCAGTCACTAGTGAGCATATGATCATTATGAGAAAGGGGTTTTGTGGAGATTTTAGCAGTTTTATATATTTGAAATCATGAGTCAATTGAAGCTAGACCACCATGGAAAACATGTTGTGATATTCTATCGGGATATCAAAAAGTTGTCATATGTCTTATTCCCTGTAAATAAGTTTAATAAAAGGTTATCGTTGCGTAATCGCTTTTCCCTTTTCAAGTATTGTATATATTACATACTGTTAAACGATATTATAATTCATTTCCAATTAGGTGAAATATATTTGAATATTACTGAATGTTATCACTGATCTGATCTGTATTGTCTATACAAGTTAAGGTAGTAATGACAATTATATTACATTTGTAGAAACGATTGGAACTTACGTTAAATAAAAAAAACTGGACACAGTAGCTAAGTGGAACATCAACTCTGAGATTCAGGTAAATCCAGCTAACGAGTCACAAATAGGACGAAACGCGCGTAATGGATTCCACTGCTAGCCACTATCCATCCTTGCTTAACAAAATATTAATTTGCATCACGAAATCCCAGCTGGATAACCACCCACAATAGATATATAATATGATTGCTTTGTAGGTCAACCATTCATCAATGAAACTTAGAAATGCCCATGATGAAATCTGTATTCTACTCTCCTTTCATTACCTTTTTATTCACAATGAATTATTTTAATTATTTTTCTTTATACTTTGACAGGTTTTATTCACTATACTGTTCAATTTTGAAGCTGTTTTTAAAATTTGGTGTTTAGGATGGGGTAATTATTGGCATAGATCATTGTTTAAATTTGAATTATTTCTTTGTATTGGTACAACTATTCATTGTATACCAATATTGTATCGTACAGAATTCACATTCTTATCTGTAAGTTATTTAATAGTGTAGTTTAAAACTAGATATGAGTCCTTTTATTCCACATTAATCAGTTTCTGAGTTGTTTAAGTCACTTGCTACCACATGCACTATGATTGGAGATAGGTTTGAGGTAAATCCAGTACCTATGTCTCTTGTTTGTTGGTTCTGATCAACAAAGCATCGATGCAGTTTTGAGAGAATCGAGTGAATTTCACTTAGTACCACTTAGTTTCACAGTGTGAGGCGGTACATCTGAACCACTCATACAGCGACTGACTATTTGTAAGATTGAGGTTTTCACAAATTGATTGAGTACTTTTAGAAACGCTACACTAAACGATGGCAATTACTTAAAAAGTTTAAAGAACGTATGTTACATTTTTGTCATTATCATAGAGACTATAAATGTATTTGACATTATAGGGAACATAATTATATTTAGTGAACTCGTAGCAACTGAGCTTCATCTGATTTACGCTTAAAAAGTTATAAATTCAGTATATGAAAAACTTGAAAACATCATTGAGGATTAAAGTTTATGGAATGTAAATTAATTAAAAATATACTCTCTGATCATTTCAATTCTAAATATATATCATATATATAATAAAAAACGCTGACCTACTGATTTCAGCATTCAGCTTTTACTTATTTACTTATGCCTGCTACTCCTAATGGAGCATAGGCCGCCGACTAGCATTCTCCAACAGACTCTTTTCTGGACCTTCCTTTCTAATTCTTTCCAACTTTTGTTCATTCTTCTCATGTCTTTCTCCATTATTCGGAGTAGTGTGTTCTTTGGTCTTCCTTTTCTCCTTTTGCCTTCAGGATTACATGTGAGGGCTTATCTTCCACTTCCAGCGTTTCTTTCTGATTTCTTCCTCTGCTGGAATCTGATTTGTCCTCTCCTACAGTAGCTTGTTGCTGATAGTGTCTGGCCAACAGATCCAAAGTATCTTGCGTAGACAACTGTTAATAAACAACTGTATCTTTTGGATGAGCATTCAGCTTTTAATAAATTTTAATGTGACTGTACTTTATTTTTCAAGTATATATTCATGTACTCTGTTTTGAATCAGTTCATTTTATGAACTGCTTCAACACTTATTAATTCATTTCATAAACTACGGCAGAGGAATAGGAATTCACAGTTTTTACTCGATGATTGGTAGTCAAGTGACTGAATTATTTATTCGTCAAGCCATTACCATTTATCGAATCAATAACAAACATACACTCTTGTTTTATCTCATTCAGGTGGAGCACATATTTCTAACCTCCATTCAGGGAATTAAGCCCCTAGATTAATACGCTAAATAAAGACCAAAAATGGAGACAAACTGTAATACCAGTTAATATGAACATAGCATCATTTGAAGCATTTCACTGGTGAACATGTATTGATCCTAGAAAGCCAATAATAAGTAAACTACGTAAAGGAGATTGTTATCCGATTACACAATAGTCCATTAGACTGCTTGATAGATTGATTTGTATTGCTTTAACATAGATTTTCACTTCCATTAATGAAATGTAAGTATACTAACATTCTTTATAGATAGTACAGATGAAGATTAACATCTGTCATTCACTGAATTTTAGCAACCCATTGAGTTTTGAATCAACAAACTGTAAACTGTATCTACATTCCATTTTAACCACTATGATTTATACCCTCATACTACTTATTTATTGCAGATAACAAACAGAACTATTTATTTTTTTTGGATAAGTATAATTTATGGAGATTGATTATTCTTTATTTTGCATTTGTCGCCAACTGATAGTATTGGGGGCGGTATGAAAGAGCAGGGAGAATCAGACATCTTTCTCGTGCTAATATGTTACACCTCGGTAGTCCATGTCTACAACAATATAAGTGACCGAACCCAAGACCTTCAGGTTTTGCAGTTATCACAACCACTAAAACTGTTGAGTTGATTTGCAAAGTAATGTAGTCTCGATATCAGTCATTTTGAGATATAAAGTGACTATCGTTCAATGTAGCCGGTTATCACTGTTTCACTCCTAACATGTCCGAACTTCACTGATCACTATTTGACACTAATTTCATGAACATATTAAAGCTAGTTACTAGTGAGCTTACTATTTATCTTTTTATACAATCTATCTGCTTGATTTATCACTTTATCTGTATTAAAAAAATATGACTTTTAAACTAAATTATGTTCTTTACAGGTTTTAAGAATTGTGCGTCTGATTAAAGCCTCTCCAATGTTGGAAGACTTTTGTTTCAAGGTAAAAAAATCTTTTGAAAATAGAGATTTCAGTGTTTTTTCATTATATATATATATATCCTCCATATCGGGACGTACCTACATCTAAGTTGATATTCGCTGAGACTCGAACTACTAAGTCCTTCTGTAAATGCTAGTGACCATTGGAACTCAAAAACCTAGTGGATAACAAGTTGAGATTTAGAGTGTTAAGTTCTGAACTTAATTCTCAATGTAAATGTTAATACAAGTCTAGGTACTTCTAACTGTTCATTTCCAAATGGGCATTTTGGATTTCGCTTCTAGACACCACACAATTTAAAAAAGGTTTGCACTTGATTGTCATTGTTGAAGTCATCTTTTCAGGATTCATATATGCTTACTGGAATGCTTAACATTAACAATGGTAAAGTATAAGGCCTTAGAAATTGTTAGTAAAAGTCAACATCTGTAAGTATTGAAACGATTAATATATAATGTATACTTCAACTACAGTTTTGTGTGAATTGAACCATATGGTGAATGAAACAATAAGATAATTTGTGACTTTACACCACAGATTGACTTTATCTAGGCTAATAATAATGTAATTAGTAGTCAGATAAAATATATATTAACATAATGTGATTTAAGAAAGAGACATAAGAGAATGTGGGAAATTCATTATACTAATGATTACTGAATAAGATAATTTGAAGTAATGAAAATGTAGACTCGAAGTGAAGGGAACAATGGTTCAAATTAAAATAACATTTTACTATCCTTTCAATAATAATGATGACGGTTTTTATTTATTTTATTTAAACAAATAAATATTGGTACAAAGGGGCATCGGATACATATGCGCCGCACAAATCTCATTTGATTTGTGTCAGGGCTGGGATATTGCACAGGTGCCCAAACTGAAGCAGGTGGTGTTCTTAGGGAGCCACATCAGGAGCCTTTGACCTAAAGGTCTAATCCAAAAAGCAATGGAGCATCGTAAGCACATGCAGTTCCATGGTAACCGGTGACCAACAATTGATTCGTACGCCATTTGTTCTCTCAGGATACTGGATTCAATGTGTACCATTGGTTTGGAATTAAGTTTTTCCAACTCCCCTAGGTGGACTTTCCGTGTCCACTAAACCGGTTAAAGCGCCGGACATTGGCTTTTAGCCCTCTCAATTTCGTAAACAACACTAATGCCACGAGAAGGCAGTGAGTATGATTTCCCTGACACAGGCTTTATACGCGTGGCCATGTGAGAGCAGTTTGAGAGGGAAAGCGGACTCCCCTCACTCTCGGCCGTATCAGGGCATTTGGGGGCAATGATGACGGTACTAAAAATGATTAGAAAATTAGTTTTTTTATTATTGTCCTCTACTGGCTAGGATGACAGTAGGCTGGAAAAAGACAAAGAGTGATCATATCAAGTTACGTCTTCAGTTTATCATGTTATTAATTGTTGGCCTGATCTATATCAGGATATCCAAACTGTTGGATTGAAGGTTCGCATAACAATTATAATCTATATTTATATATGCTAAGTGATGTTGCTTCAAAATCTGCCATATTGACAAATGTGCGCACATTGTTTCTCATAAAGTAGGTTTTGAGATCAGGACAGTTCTATAGTTTTTAAGTTTCCATACGTCATACTATGCTACGTACTAACTTGGTGTGAATACTCCGATGTCACTTTTATAATCCAGCTGAAAAGTCCTATGATAAGACGAAACACTCCTCCACGATTCCACTGCTAGCCATGTTCCACTTATTCCATATAAATTCGTATCGTATTAGCTATATCAAGCCAATGCTCACAGATGTACAAATGTCAACCAAAACTGACAAACTTTCGGTTGAAATATCATAAAGGCGATAATGTAAACCATTGCAAGTAAAGTAATTATCACGATAGTTTGCTTGTTTTGTGTGTCATTACAGAATTGGACAAGATAAAATACTCATTTGTGCCACAGATCAGGTTATCTAGGGAATGACCTATACATACACAAGCACTCCAACCTAAATGAATCATATTTTTTTTACTTGTATTCAGATATTTGGACCAGCTAAAAAATTGGGCAGCTTAATTTTATTCACTACATGTTTCTTAATAATTACGTCAACGTTTAGTTTACAGTTATTTTGTTGCTTTCAAGTATTTGAACCAACATTTGATAGATTCGCTACATTTCCAAAGGTAAACGAATTGATTTGGTGTTTAATTACTTTGCATATATATGAATAAAATATGTTTCGATCCATTAATCTAATCTCAAGATTATTGAGTAGGGATTTGGCAGTGTTAATTTCTATCTTCAATCAATCCATGATCTTGCGCAACCATTCATTCATTGCCTGAATGGGATAATTGTCTCACACCTGACACGTATTGAACTCTACTAGTCACAGCTACTCACTAAAACTTCAGGAGTTATTCTTGAAGCTAGTCACTAGTTCACAGACAATTGTTATTAGTATGACGATTACTGGAGATTGTAGTATTTTCACTATTGAAATAATTAACCGATCTAAACTAGACCACCATCGAAAATTTGGAAGCACCAGACGGTCGTGTCACCCTAGTGTGGGACTCCTAACTTAGATTGGCTCGTAATTTCAAGTATGAATGTATTGCAATCTGCACAAAGACTCATACTGATAACAACTGACGTAATGCTAATTATCATGGTATTCGCCCTTTGATATTACAGTCTTCTGATAGTCCTTCAATTGTTATTGTAATCAATCTGTCATGAGTAGAATATGGTAAGAATATTAGTTAGTTTTACGTTGCGATAAACTGATATGTGGTAAAGATTAAGAACTAGATATAATTAAATTCAAAATCAAAATTTATTACATACAGCCACCAGGTTTCACTGTTCATTATTCAAGTCAGATTGTGGCTACCAGTAAATTCCAGGATACACTTACACTCTAATGTTGATGTTCTCATTAGGATTTGAACTAAAGATTTTCATGTCGAACATCAACACTTTATGGGACAGAAAGAGTCACCTAAATTCCATTACTTATCCCTATAGAACTTTAAAAAATCTTGAGTTTAATTTATTTTATTGTGACAAGCCTCTTAGAATGTGCGAATATTACTAAACCCTCATCGATCATAGTGTAGTGAACATGAACACGAGTGTGGACAATCGAACGTATTTAGGCACAAAATTACAGAATATCTTACCAAAATCTGACAACCGTACAGTAAATAGTTAATTTGCAAACTATCAAACAATTGTCTCAATCTTGACTGTTCCTTCTGCAAGTATCAGTCCATCGTCTCCAATTATTATTGTACATGTATTTTCATACCAATCGCGTTTCCTTTCCGTCCTTCTAACTACAATACATTTAATGATCGACTATCGTCATATACTACTTATGTAGATATAAGTAACCTACACCACAATAGTTCTTAACATCAATAACAAGAAAGTAAAGTTTTTATTTATTTATTTATTTAAACACATAAATATTGGTACAAAGGGGCACCAGATATATATGCGCCACACAAAATTTCATTTGATTTGTGTCAGGGCTGTGATACTGCCCGGGTGCCCAAACCGAAACATGTGGTGTTCTTAGGGGGCTACACCCGGAGCCTTTGACCTAAAGATCTGATCCACACAGCACTGGAGCATCGTGAGGAGATGCAGTCCCATGGTAGCCGGTGACCAGCGACTGATCATTACGCTATTTGTTCCCTCATGATACTGGAGCTCATGTGCACCATTGATATGGAATCAGGGTTTCTCAACTCCCCTAGGTGGACTTTCTGTGTCCACCAACCCGGTTAAAGCGCTAGACATTCGCTTCTTGTCCTCTCAATTTCGTAAACAACACTGATGTCACGAGAAGGCAGTTAGTAGAACTCCCCTAACAGAGGCTATATACTTGTGGCCATATGAGTTCATTTGGAGAGGGAGAGTGAACTCTCTCCACTCTCAGCCGTACCAGGGAATTTTTTAAAATATTAAATGTTCAAAGAAAAAACATATTTCAAACATAACATTTCATATAGAACATTAATTAACACAATTCCTTAGTTTTCTTCTTCTTCTTCTTTCAATATTATATCATTATAGGCATTTATGTCAATGTTTCAAATACTTACACAAAAAGGTTGGGTTGCTGTTATGCATGATACAATGGATGTTGTAGAAAATGAAGCTGTTACAACAGGAGTAGCAATTTATTTTGTATTTTATCATTTAGTTGTAACATTGGTAAATAATTTAATTACTTTATTTATTTATTTATATGCATAATGTAAATGAATCATTGATAGTGTTCGGGTCTTGTGGGGGTTTCATGTAAGTATATTGTGTAGAGAGATGACTCCTTAAAAAATACATAAAATGTAATAATATTTAATAAACAAAGTAATTGATAGCTGTTTGTAATAAACGGAGCATGATATTAAAATCATCCTGTAGTCGTAACTAGGTGATAGGGTAAGGTTTTATATTTATGTTACATTGGTACGATTTATTTTTCATAGTTGAATGCATGATTCAATTGAAGCTAGAGCACCATGGAAAACCTGGAAGAACTGGACGTCAGTTTCGTCCTATGATGGGACACCTCAGCAGTGCTCATTCACGATCTCGCACTTGCGAGATTTGAACCCAGGACCTACCAGTCTCGCTCTAGAGCATTTAACCGATAGACCACTGAGTCGGCATCCAACGGTCCTGAGGAGTCTCATAATAGGAGGAAACGACCGTCCAGTGCTTCCAGGTTTTTTAGGGTGTTCTAGCTTCATTTGATTAATGATTTCAACTATTAAAATACTAAAATCTCCACAAAACCCCTTCTGAACGATTTATTTTGCCAACATACTGTTACATGTTTATTATGATATGAATGTTTAGTGCCCCATTATTCAGTGTACCATATTCATTCGTATCAATATATTGTTGTGAAATGAAACTATATTTTATAGTTTACATCGCGATTTGACCTGATTCAGATATCCAATCAAAATCAAGAATCATTCATAATGTTTTTCGTTCCATCACTAGACTGTTCAACAGTGAGAGTATATGACCTTTAGGAGCATTATACGAGCACACAAATTATAGAACACTGAGATAGCATCCAATGTTTTACATATTTAGTATCAATCACTGTTATACTAAAAAATCATCATATAATGTCTTTTTGTGAATAACTTCCTGATATCCGACGCCGTTTCTTCTTTTTTCTACCCCCTCTCTCATTACTTATCATCTTTAAATAAGTCCAGTGATTATAAGTGTTTTGTTTAGCATTTTCTGTAAAAAATCACTTCACTTGATAAGCTTCAATCAATTAAATTAATCTTGTGTTTATTTTCAAATCAGAGATGAGACGAATGTGGAAAACTGTATTTTTATTTTTATTTTGTTCAAGTTAGCTTAGAATATCGAGGTCTTAAAGGACAAGTAATGAAACGTTAATTATTAAAACAAAACTGTTTCACAATCGATTTATTTTACTTTCATTATTTAATTTCCTACTTACATGAAAAATACGATGGCGTCATAGATATTAACACTTATCGCTCTTGTGAAAGACTATTCAATTATGGCTTAGGACGATTCTTTATCGTCCAACATCATTATGATTGTTTTATAAACCATTAAGAAAAATGGAGCACTTATAGCGGCTGGTATTATTTCAAGCCCATACAGGTTATCATTCTTCTCAAGCCACATTTTGACTTTATTCTTTATTCGCTTATTAACCCTGAATTTTTATATGATTATGTGTTAATTGCTTACCTTATTACTTACGTGTTTATAACTTATTTTTGGTTTGACTATAAGTATTGAGTGACACAAGTTGTCTCACTCACCTTCTCTGCTTCTCTCCCTTCACTTCGTTTCTCTGATTGTCTGTCTGAATTAACAAGTATATGAAATATACACATTCAAAAAATTCATTCTCGTATTTGGCCTATTCTATTCTGTTAGTCTCTAATGTAAACTAAGTCGATAAAATATGCAGGAGTTGACTGCATGTATATTTAGATAACCATGAGCATACGATCTAACTGGAGTCAGATACAGGGCTACTAGACACTACATAACTTTATTTCGCCAATTTACAACATCTGAGCAAAAGTATACATTCCTAATAAATAATAAGTGGTCTATTATCTTTGCATAGTGTGGTTTCCACCAAGTTTACTTAATAGTCATCCTCCTTTCCTTACATGGCGACTGATCAGTCAGATCACTTAAGATCGCCAATCATTAGTCATGACAACCAAGTAGACCCCGAATAGCTAGTCTGTAGTATTAAATTTTAAAATGAAACCTTATTTTCAAAATATGGTAATAATAAATAGCCTATATAGACTCATGAATTCAACTACTAAATCACTACAACGTCCACAAAACCCGGTATCAGTTTCATATTGAAACTAAAAAAAATTATTCATCTTATAATCAAAATCACGGTAACGTAAATAATTATTTTCGGTAGTCATATATTTTTTGAACTGCTTGGTTTTCTTGTGACGTATTGATTGTCTTTCTAGACAATATCACCAGTGCTTGCTTCAAAGAGAAGTGAACTGTTTGATAAGTGGATATATGTACAATCAGCCTATTCTGATGAACTTATATGTGAGTGGTTGTCTTTGTTAGTTTATAGAGGGATAAACAAATTACGTAGTGATAGATAAAGAAGGCAAAACACTCAGCAGGAATGCTAAGATATATAAAGCTGATAAAACCATTAAGAAAACATTCTACAAACGAAGTTATCAGAAAAGGCGGATTTATCACATTAATTAACTAGATAACTTAATTCTACTTGAGGTAGGCTCTGATGAGGTTGTTCAGAACGGCAATGAAAACTTGTCAATTAAACCACGCGATCCATACACAAAACACAACCAAAAGCATCTCCACCTAAGCTGTAAATTTTTTTCTGTCATGTCAATAAATGATCATTTCTACTTATCAAATACTGTTCGTGATACCATTCCTTTCTTGTTTAAATAGATTGTTCTTAGTTTGTTTGTTGCTGTCATCTTGGATAATTTGGAACTAGATGAAGATATTAAGAAACTAAAACAAGTACGTTTATATATTCAGATATTTCTGTCTTTGATATTAATTTGTATTTCAATCTGAATAGTGTATTGCGTTTTCTAAAAAATGTGTGTTTTAGCGAATTTTCTGTGTATGAACTAAGCAAATCAAATTTTGATGAATAGTTGCTAGCAGTGAAATCCAGGACGCGCGTTTTGCCCTATTTGAGACTCGAGGCAATACTCACAGTATGCTAATTACAGACTGACCAGTTACAGTCCTAAACATCAATGGGAAGATTCAAACAAACAATACTAAGTGAATTTAAACTTCACCCCATTGCACAAGCAAGTGGCTATCAGGAATCAGTGGCTGAAAGGATAACGCGATCGCGTTTGAAGCGAAAGGTACAGGGTTGGGGTCCTAGATTGAACATCAACTCTGAGATGCAGGTACATCCAGATGACGAGTCCCAAAGAGGACGTAACGCGCTTTATCCTGGATTCCACTGCTAGCCACTATCGATCTTTGCTTACAATGCTTGTGAAATAAGGCTATATCGAGGTAATACGCATAGTTTGCACATATGTCAATAAGAGACTGATCAATTGCAGTCCTAAACATCAATGGGAAGATTCAAACAAACAATACTAAGTGAATTTCAAATCAACTTTTGTTCAAGACAAACTGTTTTAGTCATTTAAGTATCACTAACATGATAACTGATCATGTATAAAATCGAAAATGACCAGAATTCTTTTGTCGACAGGCAATAATTAATCATTTGCTATCATGAATTCATGGGTGACCTATTCGACCCATAACCAATAAACAATGATCATTTAAATCAATTTATTCATGCTTGTTTTTTGTTAGATATGTTGTAAGTATAATAATTCATCGTAGAAAGCAACTCATATTTAGTGACAAATTAATCTGTTCTTTCACTTGGGTGTTGTACAGCAATGTATTTGGGTTTGCAGTTCGTTATCGCTCAGCAATAAAAACTGTCAATCCAGGAAGATCAGTTACAATGAATAAAATCTCATAGTCTTATATTATTTCTAACAAGGGATGATAAAGACTTGCAGTTATAACTTTTGATCTGAAATCTATTCCATAATTCAGGTAAAATCAGTTTCCGAAGTCTTCCGCTTCAGAACCATTATTAGTCTATAGCGTATCAACCACGTGCACTCAATAGATGACTGTTATCAAACACCTCGTAAAGAAAGCAATGATTCAGTTTATGGAAGCTCTATGACAATGTTGGAGGGGTTTAATGAAAGCAGTAGAATAGCTCAGTGAGGCAAGTGGCAGATATCCTGCTTAGAGGGGTATCGCGTGGTGACCGTTATAGAAAGAAATTTTCTGATTGCATAATGGGTTATCAATAATGTGTTAATAGGGGTACTACTATAATAACAAGTGTATTTATATGCAAATTGTATACACAAATGAGATGATCACGTCCACCTCGCTATAAAAATATGCGGCGGACCAAATAAAAGCAAACAGAAAAATTGCTTGACTAGAAGGTAAAATGTAAATACATTAAAAGTCAGTGTAAGTATATAACTGATGTTATTATATGAGTGTTCAAAATTATAACCTATGGAATTATTCCCAATCTCCAATTATATATAATTTTAAACTCACTAATTTCACGATGTTCAATACATATTATAAAGAACAAAGAATCAACCACGAGGTAAAGTATATATCATCACTGATCAATTACAAAAAATATATATTCTTACCACAAAAGTCACATTACAGTTTTAGGTGGAGTTTTATTCAATAAGCTGGATGGTTTGATCGTAGATGCTTCACCGTTATTCTAAACGATATCATTAGCACAAACTTCAGATGAAAGTGAAATGTTCTGAATTTTGTACTGATGATCACGTTCAGAAGAACAATGAAAGCTCCATGACCAAATCATGCAGCTCAGAGAACAAAACACCACTAAAATCATCCACTTCAGCTACAAATCTTCACCAATACAGTTTTAAAAATAATGTTTTATAATCAATAGGGGATAAAGTTACGAATTGGATAGGATTTAAATATTTAGAAACATTTACACAAATTATTTCGACACTATGTATTTTACTCATTTCTTCAAGATAAACGATTAGAATTCTTTACAGTCCAACTGATGTATATGTCATTTATATTGCTAATGTATTCTTTTTAACACACTACTGGTAGATTGTAACCCGACCGTTGCTGCCACCTTGAAGTAGTGGTCGGGCTTGCCTATCGTGATGAACCAATCAAGATATACTGGCTGGAACAATCATTCCTCAAGGTCCATGCCAGACAGGTTGGTTGAAGAGTGGTAAGACTAAAAGTAGCAATCCCAAGGTCCGAAGGCGAAGTCGTACTGCCGACTGTACAGAGGTGTGACAGTAGTAAGGTGTTTCCTTCAGACAACCAGCATGACAGTGATGCTGCCCTTCCCACAAGGAGGGGTGGGGTTAGAAAAGGTCGACCCTAAAAATGCACACCTCGCCCTATCCCACGGATTTCCGTCTCCGGCGGTAAGGTCCTTTGAAGAATGGAGTTAACACAAAAACTACCCACAAAAATGTCGTGTGACCGACCTCAAGCAGTTATCCCTTGGGCACTGCGGTCACGCTCTCAGGTCATTAAGATCACTTCTAACCCAATTTCTTTTTCAGGTACCCCTAGAAGAATCTTTCCACGGTGTGGGCAACCGGGAAGAGATAACTGCCCTCATACCTCTAACAGCAATCAAGACCACTGTATTCATAATCAATCTCGTGGTAGATTGTAAGATAGAAATTATTATATAAGAATATATATAAGAATTATGTATATTCTCAAGTATGAAATTTGATGGTAATCAGTTATGAAGTTTATTTATTTATTTATTTAAACACATAAATATTGGTACAAACGGGTACCAGATATATATTCGCCACACTGCTTCGGTCTGGGCACCCGGGTAGTATCACAGCCCATACACAAATAAATGAAATGATAATATATCTACTGAACAGTTATGAAGACAGGTTATAGTACCTTATTTTATGTCCAGTGTAACAATTTTTACTCTTTATTAGTTAATAGTTTCCCTTTATTAAAATTTTAGTTTGTTTTTCTTTTAAGTTAAAACTTAGAGAAATCAGTGCTGAAACACAACAGAAATTACCTATGCGTCTTAGAGTATTTGAAAAGTTCCCGTAAGTTCATTGTATATAATTGACCATAGTTTATAAAGAAATTCCCATTTTCAAGTATACTGACTTTCTTTAAAATTTCTAATTATTAGAAGGAGGGGTTTGTGAAGATTTTAGTAATTTTATATTGTTGAAATCATGAGTCAATTGAAGCTGGACCACCATGAAAAACATGCAGGTACTGGATGGCCGTTTCTTCCTATTGTAGGACTCCTCAGCAATGCGCATCCACAATCCCGCCTCACGAGATTCGAACTCAGGATCTATCAGTCTCTCGCCAGAACACTTAACCGATAAACCACTTAGCCGGCCGTCATCCAACGGTGTTAATGTTTGACCTCAACCGATCCACGAGGTTGAGCGACACATCCACCAATGTCTTCAGTGAATTACTAACTACCAAAAGACCTGATTGAACTCCACTGGTAACTGCTTCTCACTAGAACTCCAGGAAATGCCTCTTGAAACCAGTCACGGTTGTTCAATGCTTCCAGGTTTTCCATGGTGGTCTAGCTTCAATTGATTCATGATCTGAACGTCTATATTGTATTAACATTAGTTTTTCTGAGATAGGTGAGTTATTCTTCAAACTGTCATTGTCTTTCTGAACAACGTTATCAACAAAAGCGTAGAAAGAAGTGAACACTTGAAATTCCAGTTATTTCTGTCGATGTTGATCGTGATTAATTGTTGTCAATCTTTCTGTTGTCTCACTGTGGGGATATTTATATAAATTATCCTCAAACCCTTAATTCCCTTTCCTAATGTGGTAGTTGTTTACCGTTGAATGCCGGCTCAGTGGTCTATCGGTTAAGGGCTCTGGCTCGAGACTGGTAGGTCCTGGGTTCGAATCTCGCGAGTGTGGGATCGTGGATGCGCACTGCTGAGGAGTCTCATAATAGGACGAAAAGGCCGTCAGGCAGTGCTTCCAGGTTTTCCATTGTGGTCTAGCTTCAATTGACTCACGCTTTCGAATATGAAAATACTAAATCTCCACAAAACCCCTTCTGATAATTATTGTATTTTTAATTGGTTTATAAATCACATTTATTTCTTTGTGTTTATTGATTACTAATTAATTTAAGGATCAAACTTCTAGAAATTCTCCATTATTTTCTATCTTACATCGATAAAATCATTATCCAAAAATAACCCATTGTACCATTGAATAAAAAGAAAGAGAATTCAGCAGAGGCAGTTTTCCTTCTGACGAAATCATCAACAGTATAGGGTTGTGAAGATTGTTAAGTCTTTTGATTGATGTCAACATCAATTGATTCATGATCTTCGTCAAGAAATTGTTAAAAAGAATACTTCCTCCTCATCTTTTAGAATGATTATCATTATTCACAAACTTTCACTACTATGATTTCACATATAAAGATTGTATTACGTCATATGAAAGGTATTCTTACGTTTAGTTCTCATTATTCAAATGATACCATGACTTGAACACAGGATTTTTTTAATGTATGTAAAGTACAGTTTTTGTCTGTTCTAAAAATCACACAAATTTGTAAAATGCGGATAATCGATTGGAAATATATCTAATAGTTTTCTTTGATGGGAAGGAGGGGGGGCTTAAAATTATTGTCATAAATTGTAGAATTCCTCGGCTTGTTTTTTTGTTGTTCATTAAATATCATTATATCTAGGTGAAGATATATTTTATCGATAAGTTTAGTACTTAAAAGAAGTAAGTCTTTGAAATTACTTCCAAAATATATGTTACATATAAATTCACTTAGTAGTGTTTGTTTGAATCTTCTCATAGTGCCTAGTAGTTGAATTCAGGATAAAGTGCGTTTCGTCCTATTTGGGACTCGTCATCTGGATGTACCTGTATCTCAGAGTTGATGTTCAGTCCGGAACTCGAACCCAGTACTTTTCGCTTCAAACGCCAATGCGTTATCCACTTAGCTACTGAGTCCTGATAGCCACTTGCTTATTTAATGGTGTAAAGTTTAAATTCTCTTGGTATTGTTTGTTTGAATCTTCCCATTATGTTACACATATTTATGTAACAGTTATAATTAAACAAAGCAGTATAAAAATTAGTTAGAAAATAATAAATTTTAACATTAATTGTACTTTAAACACATATGAAATCGTAGAAAGCAAGAGTCAATTGAAGCTAGACCACCATGAAAAACCTGGAAGCACTGATTGACGGCCATTTCGTCTTATTGTGGAACTCCTCAGCATTGCGCATCCACAATCCCGCCTCACGAGATTCGAACCCAGGACCTACCAGTCTCGAGCCAGAGCCCTTAACCGATAGACCACTTAGCCGGCCGTCATCCAACGTTGTTAATGTCTAACTTCAACCAATCCACGAAATTGAACAACCATTGACTATTGTTTGAAGTTAAGTAACTTACAAGCATGTATAGCCTCCTCAGAATCATAAGAAACAATAACAGAAAAAAAGATGAATTGAGTGTTATATACAAAGTAAATGGTTAAAAAAGAATGAAACACTGTATTAGTCCAAGTAGTTACTTTCGTTTACATGAATATCATACATCAGTTAAACATTACAACTTGATTTTTTGTATACAATAAGAATATCTATAGAAATGAGTTCAACTAAGAAATTGTCGATAGACTAAATAGAAGTAACCAAAAGAAAATCAAAGACATTTCGGGACTAACAGTTAAAAGGCTCAGTGGAATAAACTCAATCTATAAGCAAAAAAGAATTTTATTAGAAATTATACAACGTTGCAATTAAATAAGGGTTGAGACTAAACCTAAGGCTATAATTAAATGTGTTATGTTGACTGTAGACTTTCAATGACTGAGGTATCAGAAATCTACGTCACTCATTGTCATCTACATTCTATCCTAGAAGGCTATGTTAGCCAGTATTCTAGTAGATGAGAAGAAAATTGGAGGGGGGATCCAAACAAAATGTGGCACTAGTCCATGAAGTCTACGATTCGAGAAGTTGAGAGAAACGGTTTTAATCAGCCACAGTTGTAACTACACTCTTTCTATCGCTCTTTACATCTTGAGCTTTGTATGATGTTTTCTGTTTCAGCTTTATCTTCTGAACAATATTTAATAATTTTTGCTTTCTTACCACAACTGATAACATCGTATCGACACCCGCGTTTTGTATTATTTAATTTCTGTTTAATGTATTATGATTTTTTATACTAATTCATTGGCTGTCTACGAATTATCAACTTATCTAAGTTGTCTGTCCGTAAAACTCTTATTTATCAACCTAAATGTGTCCTCATGAAATCGATTCAATCAGCGTCTGCTGGTGTAGACGTAAGCTCGATGGAAAACAAGAGTCGACGAACCTAAACGTGACAAAAGTCCATGAAGTCACTAGCTGTTATTCTAAGCCGTGTTAGTGGATAAAGATTATCCGTTCGGGATCTACTTAATAACCTCACGTAGGGGTTAAAGACTTTGAATGACATGACTTATAATTAATAACAATGACTGAGAAGTATCCACTCCTGGTATTCTTTTAGATCATTAGTTTCAGCATTCTTTCATATATATTTTTCTAATTTTTAATAATAATAATAATAATAATATATTCTGAAAATAATATTTACAGAATTCAAACCAGTTTACAGGCATGATCAGATTGTTATAAAAATCAACATTTAATGTAGAGAGCAAACATGAAATATGGTTTAGTAATAGATAAATAGTTTATATATGACAGGCCAATGCAACACCAGGGAACTTGTCATTTTTTCTTAAGTGGATAGCCTGATGTTCTGAAAGGTTATTTCAAGTGCCAAGTGCCAAGTGTTATTGATAATTATCTACAACTAGAGAAGGTAAGATTAAAGCAAAGAGTACGGAACAAAAAAACAATGATAGCAAGTAAGAGGTTAAACATTTAAAGTTTCGATAATCTCACTTGTGGAGTAAGATACACTTGCAGGCACTAGAGCATTTAATGCATTTTCAGGGGAGCAAAAGGCATTAGTTGAGTGAACAAACAATGAGAGAGAGTTTAATATACGGATAGTTTGAGGTAAATTATTCTAGAGCCTAGAAAACTTGCAGGTAAAGTAATTCATATAGAGAGAAGATCTAGAATATGTTTGTTTGGCTAAAGACAAGGAGTTACGAATGTCGTAATGTGAGGCTTTAGCATATTGAATCGCCTGGCTGGATGTGAAGGAGAGTTTGTTAAGTATTTTGAAAAAGAAGATAAGGTTAAGTTTGAGTCTCCTCTTCCATAAAGGGTCAAGCCCTAGTTTACTACACCTCCAATTATATGTCAAGACACTATCAGGTCCAAGAGTACGAAATGTTAATCGTCTCTGTACTGATTCCAGTCTTAATTTATCCTTTATGCGCGTGCTACTAAGGAGAAACGCGTAGTATTCGAGGAGTGGTCGAACACAGACTTTGTACATTAGAATACGAGATTCGCTGTTATGAAGGTTTCGAGTTATGAAACCTATAAGGCGTTGAGACTTGGACGTTTGTTTCATTATGTGTTCAGTAAACGACAAGTCGTCGGAGTACCTAAGTCCTAGATCTACTACTGTGTGTAACCTAGATAACATTTCACCATTTATGGCAAGATCGAGGTTGAGTGATGTATCACCGAAGCATAACCAACCACATATAGCTGTATTAAGCTGCAGTTGCCATTTCGAGTACCACTGTGCTACATTGTTAAGCTCCGAGCTGATACAACTTTGAATATTGCTCAGCTCATGTGGAGAAAATGAGTATACCACCTTAAGATCGTCTGCAAACAAAAGGGACTTACCCACACTAAAACACTCACAAATATCATTAATAAAAACTAAAAAGAGCCATATTATCAGTTCTTGGTTTTCCTCATTATCATTTCCACTATAATATTTTGATTTCTTCACTATTCATCATGTTCACTTTATTTCATTCTGCTATTGTATTATGATAAATTAAGCCAATGCATATTTATGTCAAACACCACGATAATCATGACTGATTGATTATACTAATTTTTCATTTGTTTTCTGTTTGTTTTTTGTTTTTGTTTTTTTTCAATCAATAAACCAAGAAATCGTCCACAAATGTTACAACTTACTCGACTTGTATCTGATTTTTTATTACCAAAAATTCGTGATAGTTTTATGCGTCAATTTGCTATTATATCAGCACTTGAAGAAGTTGAAGATGAAACTATTGAAGAAATGTTAACAACAATAACTAAATCACAAAAAATAAAAGAACATAATCAATTAAGTATAAATTCATTTTGTATAAATTATTCTAATATTAATTCAAATTTTAATCATTATAATGAATTAACAAAACAATCATTACCTAATCATACAGATATTGAAACATTAAAAACTATTAAACGTAAAGTTCATGGATTACATGGTGAAGAGAAATTTCGTGCAATTATTTATCTTTTAAAGTAAGTAATAATAATTTGAAAAAAATTCCAATATTGTAATTTAGAACAACATATATATAAGTGAACAATATTGTTTTCAATTGGATCCTCATCAGGCTATACTTTAATATACAGTAATTTCAACAGTTGAGATCATGAGTCAATGGAAGCTAGACCACCATCAGTGCTTGAAGTCATTAACTTCTAGTCTAAGCCATGTTGGTAGATACAGACTACTTGGTTGGGGTCCGCGTGACTATCGTAACCAATGGTTGGAGACTCTAGGTGACATGGATCAGAATCGATCACAATCGGTCACTTTATCCTTATATACAGCCTTTCTTTTATATACTGCCACCACTAAATTAACTACTTCTATGAATCCGGTGTTCATCTTATTGTGCTAACGAGGTATGGCAACTTGGACCGATGCCTGATCCTACGTTGTAGCTGACTAACTGACTGAGACCACCATGTAAAACCTGGAAGCACTAGACGGCCGTTTCGTTCTGTTGATTCATGATCTTAACTATTGAAATTACTATCATATCCACAAGAGCCCTTCTGATATTAAATAAGTAATCTCAATCATCTAGAAGAAATGAGCAGTATTGAACCTAGTGTTAGTGATTAAATTATTGGAATATAGTACGGATATATTTTCCCTTCTAATCATAAAAATGTAATTGTGAATAACTTGTCACATCAGTTGCTTTAATGGTTATGCTATTTCTAAGCAAATATATTAGTATATATACTGGGGAATAGATCAACCGTGAAAAGTAAGAAAAAAGTGAATAAACAATATTGAAGCCATACTTCAGTCGTTTTTAAAAGCTGGATACATTAGTCCAATCGGTCAACTAGGATCTGTTTCTGGTTTAAATAAATAGATGTTACTTCTGAACAGTATTGACTCCGCCTGTAGCTCCTCCGGGGGCTACTGTCGGTCCCAAGCCCGGGTAAAGAAGGGAGGTTGAGCATGGGTTAGCGACCCCATCCCGTAGAAAACCAACTCGCTAAAAAACACTATCCGGAAAAAAACGCTGAACAGTATTCATTCCGAATCTTTCTAATCCATCTGTTGAATTATTTAGGTGAATTTAGATTTCTTTAATAGGATAGTTTAATTATAAAGTACTAATTGACTTATAAGACAATATTATCAGTACAAGGTTTATGAGGAAATCTATAGTTTGTACACTTTTGACTAAGCGTTTATTCTTTGGAGAGTGAGTTTGACCGCTTATCATTTTTCGAGTTAGTTGATATATTAGGTACATTTAAGTATTTTCATAGTCGAAAGCATGAGTCAAATATAGCTAGGCCACCAGGGAAAATCTGGAATCACTGGAAGGTCGTTTCACCCTATTGTTGGACTCCTCAACAGTGCTCATCACGACCCCACCTCGCGAGATTCGAACCCAGGACCTACAAGTCTCGCGCCAGAGCACTTAACCCATAGACAGATTTTCCCTTGTGGTCTAGCTTCAATTGACTCATGCTTTCAACTATGAAAATACTGTCTCCACAAAACCCCTTCTGATAATAATATTTTAGTATGTTTATTGAATCCCAAGTAATTTAGGTGCTAGGCAGTATGACTAATTTGTATAAATGACCCAATTCAACTTTGGTACTCATAAGAGTTTTAGAACAACATATATAAGCGAACAATATTGTTTTCGATTAGATCCTCATCAGGCTTTACTCTAATATACAGTAATATTTATATGCATATACGAAATTATTAAACCAATCAAAGCAGTTTATGAGTCAATGATAACAGTGGAATAGATTACATAATCAAAATTAATAATAAGTAGAAAGTACAAATTGGTAATGTAATGACAGGTGTACTAGTTGTGATAAGAATAATAAAAGGCTTGAATCAATATAAGAACTCTCGTCTAAATTAGAACGAATAGTTTCACAGTATTTGAGCGCCGAGTTGAAGTAAGACATTAAATAGGAATAATATATTTGTAAAATCTCAGCGAATGAATTTTTTAAATTAAATCCAACGTTTCGCCTGGCAATCTGGTCCAAGCTTTTTCAAGGAATCAATGTTACATAATAGTAAAATAGGTCAATGATTAGAAAAAAGAATATAGACACTGAAATAACATTCATAGAAATTATAGGATTACGTAATAAGAAGTGTTTAGATAATTGGACGGTGAAGCGAATATTAGAAAAATTATAAGTAAATAATTGATAAGGGGGGTGAAGAAAAATAAACGAAGAAAGAGTATGGAAAATAAGATTATTTATTAAGGTCAAGGGAGGGATAAGGGTGTTACAAATTTCTTATGAACACAAAGACTTGGGTTGTTGGATCGAATTCCTATAGCTTCTGCTATGTGTAGGAGACGAGATCGAACCCCATAAGGAAAAGTAGTAGGAATACGATAAATTACTTTAAAAGACTGGTTTCTGTCAACTTCATGACCGCTATCAATCAAGTGTGAAAGAATCGAGCTCCATATCGACTTGACCATACCTTTTCCTAACCACGAAGGGAGGTGTTCACTAACTCTTTGGTTCAATTGTCTAAGTAATAATAAACAATTCATATTGATTATCTTAATTTTATATTACAGTTGGTTGATTTACTTGAATTTAATCAACATGATAGATAGATTACGATTTAGACTATAATAGATTTGAAATATATGGAATTAATTAATACTCAATGATCAACCAAATGTAAATAAATTGACGAGACTAAATTATATGGACGACCTTTGAACGAATCTTAAATAATGACCTTGAGAAAGGTTATAGCCAGTCAGTAATCAGTAAGCGTAGAGTAAAAAATATATTACACAAAGCCAAATAATTAAAGTTGATACAATTCTTTTATATGGTCCAAAAACTTGTCATGGTTAGAAAAAGATTCAAAGGTTCCAAAATCGTGATGTATAAGGTATAGGAATTTATCCATATGGCTCCATAATAGTTAGTTCTGTGAGGCATGATTAAGTCACAAAACCCCCTCAGCCTCGACCAGATAGTTTCAATATTGTTTGTGTGTACTCCAGTTGTGTAAGTTTATCATTTTTATTATGGATATGTCCCTATAATACTCATACAACTGAACAGCCGAAGCTTCAGTAACATATGCGATTATTGCAGCCAATGTTATTGGTGCTTTTATTACATAGGTGGCGGCATTTATAATAAGCCTTAGTCTCGATCCGGATCTACCAATAAAGGTTCATATTCTAGCAGAGGTCTTCCTTCAACATATATTACATCGTAGGACAACATCACGGTAGTCTGCACAAGGTCTACAAGTCATTAATTACTTGTGATTACAAATACAGGAACTTCATAGTAATTTCATTTGTTGTAGCCGCTTAATTGTCAAGTCTTCTCCAAAATTCTCTGTGAACCGATCGTACATGAGCATGAGCTGAAATAAGCGCCATGACCTTGAAATCCCTCAAACGCTTCTGATTGGCTCGTCCTTAAATTAGAGTCTCGCCAATAAATCTCAACACTACAGGAGATAGATCGATACCGAAATAGCTGAGCGGTAACTTCTCTGATCGTAAAACTTAGTGAGCCACCAGGAATCATCGGCTCCCTCAATATAACAGGTACACCTTGATGATAGCGTCAAATCTTATGAAATCTAGGTCCATAGATTCCTGAGGACTACATCCAATTACAACTTTACAATCCAATAACTTTTACATGTGACCTCACAACTCAAAGTACCTTAATTTGGAAAACCCACTACAATTAGTTAATAGATTCTTACATTTGTTTCAATTGTTTTCTATAAAATAATTCACTTTAAATCATTTTTGTCATATCAACTAAATAATACCAAAAAATGATTGGAACTGTTATGATGCATTATTACTCCTAACATTGTAGATTTGAGTACCTCTCCTAAGTCATTGAAAATTTACGATCCATGTCCATACATTAAAAAAGAAAAGATAAGATCTAGTTACGAAAGAGTAAATAAACAAAACTCACTATAATGCATATTATGGACTAATGTAGAGTAATATGTTTACATATTTCTCCAGGAACGGTTTGTAAACTTGACTTTTCAAAACGGATACATTTATTTCGTACAAGTCATCATTACGTAACACTGAAAGTTATTCTCATTTGAAATAATATTATTTCACTCGGTTAATTTGTTTTTCTCATTTCTTTAGTGAATCAAATAAAACACGTTTATTGACTATTGAAAAAACTTCAAACATTGGAAATAGATCTTTGTTATCAACTCAACATCAAATTCGATTAGACAGAAGGTAAAGTTCAGAGTTAGAAATGGTTTGAATAATCTTTCCTGGTTAGCGTATTATTCATTGAGTCAGTTTTCTACGGGATGGGGAGGCTAACCTCCATGCCCAAACCTCCTCCTTTGTCCGGGCTTCGGACCAGCAGCAACCCTCGGAAGGGCTACAGGCGGAGTTAAAGTTCAGAGTATTCACAGTTTAAATCTGTCTTCATTTACATTTGGTCTCATGAATAGTTTAATGTGTTTATGAATAAAAATTATAATCACCAACATGGAGACATCTGTTCCCAAGATCATTTATCTTATAAATGATATTTTTTATTTAAAGACAAAATAGATTATGTAAACTTGGATAGTGAACATCTGTATTCAACTGTATAGTCCATACAGAAAACTTTAAGTTTTAGACTTTATATTACTGTAAATATTTTTGAAGTACTCAAGTCTCAACTAACAGTACTCTAATCTTTTTACTTATTTGCTTATTCCTGTTACCCTTCGTAGAAGAGCATATGCCTCCCATCAGCATTCTACATTCAACTCTGTCCTGGACAATCCTTTCCAGTTGTTTCCAGTTCCTATTTATCCTTTTGATGTCTGCTCAAAAGGATCTAGATAAATATTGTTCTGTTGAGTATTTGTTATTTTTAAATTCAGTTATTTTCTTTTTTACTAACCTGTTAATTAAGACTTTAATTTGAAAAGTTGAATATCTTTTAATTTATCTTTCAACATCGGATAAATTGCCTAAACTAGCCACTTCTTTCTGTATCTATCAATTCAACTGCTCCTGTGGAGCAAGTTATATAGGCAGATGTTCTAGGAATTTGTATACTCGGGCTCGTGAGCACCTCTCAGTGTGGTTAAGCAAAGGTGTAGTCAGAAAGGTTAACAGCTCTATTTTAACCCACTTAGTTCAGATGGAACATAGAGTCAACATCGAGTAATCTTTCACAAAAATATATCGTGTTTACAGCAGTCTACCTAATTCCGTCAGACTGAGAATACCGCAGAAGACTGAGGCAATTGCTATTCCGATCAAAAAGTCAGAGCTTTACATTCAAAAGAAATATGTCCAGCCACTCCTTTTACCTTGGCCAACTTCATGGTCAACTTGTTATTAATCAATTTTATAATATAGTGTGACATTAATTTGATTAATAATTAATAACAATTGTTTTTTCAAAGGATGTTCCTCCTTGAATATTTGAAATTCTCTTGATAATTAGTTTATTAGGGAGGTAGAGCTACTGAAAATTAGTAATATAAACAACGTTTTGGAAACATTATTTAGCTAACTTTCCTATTTTAAGACTTTTGTGTATTCAGATTACGAAACAGTTTACTTATGATTCGCTTGGTCAATATTTTAAAATCTTTTTTGGGTCTTCTTCAAGTCGATCATAGATCAATGATTAAAGATTTAACTTGGTAATGTTATACCAAAAATATGGTCATTTTAGTGGACATTGATTGATTCTACTTTCCTGTTATAATAAAAGGAATTTTCAGTACCCTTTATACCGTCTACGCCTAAGAACGTTTAACTGTTGAATTCTGTCCAAGTAATTCAATTCCCTACCACTCGACAAACGATCCAAAGGACATTAAACTTTATTTAACAATAAACCGAAATAAAGTCAAAGTGATACACCCTTTTTATGGTGAGAGTATGCAAGTCATAATATTCAAAGATTAGAGTCGAGAGGCATGAAATCCCTTTTGTTTGAATTTGATATGGTCAAAATCAAGATTGAATAACGGTCCAGTACTGTGTATTTGTCACTGTTCCGCAGGTTTATAATACCTTATCATGAAACTATCCGAATGATTTATATACTATATGTATATTTCAAAACAATCATGGTTTTTTAAACATATTTTGCCATTTTAGCTGTTTTTAAATATATCTTGAAGCTACTTATTATTTTTTAAGTAGACACAAGATTATGACATAAAGATTTCTTCCATTTACAAATTTATGATATAAACTGATAGTTTTTTGTACACCATAATACTATTCCATCTTCATATATTGTAGAAGTACAAGAAACAGAGTTGGAAATCCAGTCGGGACAAATAAATCATTTAGAGCTAATGGAGAAGTTAGGGGAGGAAATCCCTCAGTAACACCAGCTCACAATGCTGAAACACAAACAACTGGGAATAGAACAAGTCATGATGATATCAAACTATTACAACAAAAAGCTCAACTTGCAGAACTTAAAAGGTGAGATAATCGTATCTCATCTCCATGTTTTATTGGCTATTAGCTAAATAAATAATAGTATTAACTGACTGATAAATAAGAATTAAAATTATCAAATGGTAGAGAAGATTTTTAGTTCATATGAGTGATTTTGGTGAAGCTCGTGTTCTCTGGACCAAGAGGTTTATTCACGAAGCTTCCAATATTCTCCTTCACAATATCGTTAGCAAAAGGCTTTAGATAGAAGTCTTCTTCAATATGAAGCTTATGTCGTTGATACTGTCCAGAAGAACTTTAGTGGCCCGATATCCAACTCCAGTTATATTGTTTGATAATGCTGCCAATCCTCGTATATAACTATCAACTTAAGTCACATTAGTGAATAAAGGAATTAAATAAGTCAGAGACGTAAATGGATTTTGAATATGTATATTTCGTTCACTCATTGGCGTGGACAAATAATCAGTGAAACGAAGAGAAGGAAGTGAAGAAGAGAGAGCGAAGAAAAAAAAGAAATAACGCGTAGTGGAGAGGCAGAGTGAGCCAACTCGATTTAATTGAGCTTGACTAGATATTCGTAGTCAAAGGAAAACAACTTAGAGACGCGTGATAGACACGGTAAGTAATTACCATACACATGATTATATAAAAACAGTTATGGTTATTAAGCGAATAAGTGATAGGGTAAAAATGTGGCTTGAGAAGAATGGATAGATAGATATATCCAGAGGCTAGGCTAACTCATATGGGCTTGATATAGTACCAGCCTCTACAGTAAAATGAAAGCTTCATAGTTATCTCGCCTGCTTCATGATAAGAAACTTTATCAAATTCATCTAGTACCATGTTAGTCATACTTCTAATATTTTATTATATTTCTTCTAAGTAGAATAGTTTGCAGGTAACATTTGTCATTCTACACTACTGTAAAAAATTCATTTTCTTCATATGTTGAATATTCGATGTTGCCTGATTTGAGTATTGTCTCTTTTCCTGGTCATATAAGCCTGGTTTGAAACTTTTTATTGATATCGCTTAGGCAAACTGAAGAAAAGCTGGATTATTTTATCTGCTGAAAATTTTGAAGGATTTCGAAATATCAATTATATTCCCGGTATCTACTAAACACCGGGCTATTGTACCGTTTAGAGCTGTTGCACTTTTTAGTTTCCAATTTTTTGGAAAGTGCTAAAATTACAACAACTCAACTGCCTGATTTTACTGATGATTGATTCTTATTTATTCTTTTTGATTGTCTTGGACTGTTGTTGTTCGTTCAGTAAGCCTTCTTACGAGCAACCTCACAGTTAAAGGGTGGTACTTTTGCTATTCTAGATTGATTTCTGTACACAGTACCGTATATTGGTAAAACTTAGAACTTTCGTGCTTATTCCTTGGATTTCAAGTTATTGAATTATGATCACTGAAGGTTCCGTGCATCCATTTCTACATGTCGTACACATAGTTCCTTATATCATTTTGGAGTGAGCAAAAACAACGATTCAGGCAGTATAGCGTAAAAAGAATAGCATGAATTTATATTATTTTGTTTGATTCTCGTCAGCTGCTTACAACCTGTGATATTTAAAACTCATTTTGTAATTACGACTTTTAAATATTACACGTTATAAACAACTTATGAGAATCGAACGAAATGAATTCATGCTATTTTACTAGCATCTTTGTTCTTGCTTTCATTTCTATATTGTTTGAATATCAGCATATACATGATGTAAGAGGGTGACAATTTCTTATTCTAACTAGTTTTTAGTCGAGTTAAGATGGCCTAGATTCAAGATAGTCATTTCCTCATCATGAACTGTAACCTATCAATGTTTAACTCAGGTTGTTTCAGCACAGAGAAGTGAATTATCTAGACATCCTCATAGCTGACCAGTTATTTTTACTGAAGTAGTTCTTGCATAGTGAAAATAGTTTCAGTGAAGAATCATATCACGAAGTAAACTCGTCATTTGTATTACCAGTACAGTTTTGGAAAATAAGATTGACATAAATTAACATCGCCAAGTTATTAATCTTGTACTGAACGAGAACACAAGTGGCGACAATCGAATGTACTTGAATACAAAATCACAGAACAACTTAGTAAAATCTGAAAATCATATAGTAAATACGTAATTTGCAAAATATCAATCAGTTGTCTCAAACTTGACTGTCCTTTTGTAGATATTAGTCAGATCTCAGACTTCATTGTTCTTTTGTTTCCATAGCAATCGTTCTTTGTTCTCGTTCTCTTTCTTCGATCTTTTTAAACTTTTACCTCCAGCTATTTCACTTTCTGTTGATGATAAATACAACTTATATCTGTCGACATCAATAGAGAACACCACAGTCCGACGTCAACTTTTAAATTTAATCAACAATAATCATAATCAAATTTTCATAGTTGAAATCATTAGTCGATTGAAGCTAGACCACAATGGAAAACCTGAAAGCACTATTGCGGGACTGCTCAGCAGTGCGCATCCACTATCCCGTCTCGCGAGATTCGAACTCAGGACCTACTAGTCTCGCGCCAGAGCGCTTAACCGGTAGACAACTGAGCCGGCATCCAACAGTGTTGATGTCTAACTTAAACCAATCCACGAAGTTTGAGCAACCGCTCATCAATTTTCTACAGTGAGTTGTTATCTCACAACAGACCTGGTTGAACTCCACTTGTCACTGCTTCTCACTAGAACTCCAGGACATATATCTTGAAGTCAGTCATTTGTGAGCATATGATTATAATCAGAAAAGGTTTTGTGGAGATTTCATTATTTTCATAGTTGAGAAAACGTCTACATCATGAAATCATTTTGTTCATTGAAAGTCAGTTACCATATGTGAATCGTTCAACTCACTGCAGTAAATTTCTAAAGATACATTAATATAGTGATAGGCACTTACGAAAAAAGAAAAACAACCAAAAGATTGATCCATTACTGAAAACAATCTTTTTTTGGTCATGATGTAGTAAATGAGAACACGGGTGGGGACAATCGAACATACTTAAGCACAAATTACAGACTATCTCACTAAATTTCACTAAATTCTGATAACCATACATTCAATAGATAATTTGCAAAATAACAATCAATTGTCTCAATCTTCACTGTTCCTTCTCTAAATATCAGTCCATCTTCTCTGATTTCATTGTTCATACATTTTCGTACCCATTTTGCTTCATTCCTGTTCGTTCCTTATCGATCTTCTGTCAAAATACATTCAATGTCTGATCATTACCATATACTACTTATATGGATATAAGTAGACCATACCACAAAGACACATGAGAAGTATTGATCACCTTCATTTATTCAATAACAATAATTTGAATATTGATTTGATTATTTTACTTTTTAATTAATAATTTATATTAGAACACAACAAGAAGTTGAACTTAGAGAAAATCATCCATTTTTTGATCGACCATTATTTGTTCTTGGACGTGAAAATCGTTTTCGGCGATTATGTTTAGTACTTGTTGAAGCAAGACATAAAGCAAATGATTCAATGGATTCAACAGATAATGGAAATTTTATACAGTAAGTTAGTGTTATTGTTTTTTTAATGAAATTTTCACTATTAGAAGAAAACCTTTATATGTTTTTGTGAAAAGATACTCGGTTCCAAATGTAAACCGAGAAATTTTAATTAACTAGTTATGTGACTTGTAGTGCCGTGTTTTGCTGACCGTTCACCTTGATAACCGTTATAATAACAATCTTAATGGTGCGTAAAATCAGAAGGCAAAGAGAAGCGGCAACTACAGTTTTATTAACAAATGATGCAGGCCAGAAAGTTATAAGCACATTAGTAAATATCAGTAGGCGAAGTAAAAATGACATACATTGGAGATGGCAGATAAGTCATCTCAATAGAGCGAAGCGAAAATAATGTACACTGGAGATGGCGGGTAAGCTAACTTATTTTTACCAAGCGTTAATCAATATTTATAGTCAGACAATAATAAATGACAGACATATGATTAGTAGTATAAGGTATGTACACACATCTACGCTAATAAAAAAAGGGTCAAGGTTAATAAGTGACTGGTTAACAAGGTGAAAATAGGACTCATAATGGATAGGTGAATTGACTTGTTCAGAAGTTAGAATAAAGTATATGAGCTTAACATAGCAACCGGTACTACAGACTCGATCGTTTTCTACACACAGCCAAGAAGTCACATTCTAGAACGAAGCAGTCATCTAGTGTCAGCAGGTTTATGAAGGTTATCTGAAAAATGTTAAATCGTGATATGAACTATGTTCAAATATGGCAATCTCCATAAACTTGGTCGTTTAAGTAGTATAAAAAAGATGCTATTTTCACACTGTATTAGTGTAGACGTCAGTCACCGAAGTGAAGTGGTGGTAGCAAAATAAATTTCTAGACTGTTAATTATTATTTTTTTAATGTTTGTGAAATTTTACAGTTCTGTTTTTGCTTGAGAGGTTTGACTTTGACAATGGGTAAAGTGGTTGTGAGTCTCATGAAGAGCATCAATACACTCAAGATTATGAAGATCCTAGAGCAAGGTTTAGGTCGATCAGGATTTCTAACCAATTACCATCAAATATTACATAATTTACAAAAATTAAAAATGTAAATCGTTCGATGTAAATCAACTTGTCTAGTTGTTCTTACTTGTACTACGACATGTGTATACACACCACTAATAGAGTAAGTCTAGTAAGTAAGTATCACAATGCAATCGAATGAATATTGTGTAGTTAAAGGTAATCTGTAAATAAAGAATTTCATCTATTGCTTGAATTTAAGAAAATGTTCAACCAATAGGCTGATAATGTTGATAGCATATCGTTTTCAAATAATATAAACTTAAAAGCAACCTTACCTCGCAGCTTTTCTTTTCTATGTAATTTCTTTTAGTAAATTTCTTGGATTAGTTACATATTTGGATTGGATAGCTATATTTGTAACAACATTATCATGTGCATCAATGTCTTTAGAAACACCACATTTTAGATTAATGAATACACCAGAAGTTCAAGTAAGTCATTTGTAATATCATTTATATTATTAATTTTAGTATCATTATGTTTCTACCTTTACAGTTTACAGTACTAAGATCACGAATTGATAAAGTTAGACGACCATTAAAAACCTAGCAACACTGGACAATCGTTTTATACGAGACTCCTCAGTTTGAATGTGTTAGGCTTGTGGATGATACTCACCGAAGACAATGAAAGATGGTCACGCATTGTTTTGGACTGACTCAAGTTAGGTTTGTATACCGACGGATCCCGGCTCAATCGTTTAAACACAAGTCCTGAATTTGATTTCATGTATTGAGGTTATACATGCGCGGTTGTACTGAGTAGACCAAACTAGAACGTAGCCGCCGTCTAGTCCTCTTGGATCTCTAACAGTTTTTTGACTTAGGTTGACCAGTGCTTTTATTAGGACTTCATTATCTTTACAACCCCACACCGTCAGTTAACAAAATATATACTAACTTAGTAACTGCTTTAGTTACTTGATCAATCGGTTTTAATGAACTACTAGATGTTCAACCTTGAGACTAAATGGCCAAAGTTCAGACAAATGGTCACAGGTTCACTCTTCAACGCTTGATAGAAGAGACCAAATATATTGTTTAACAGGAATTTTTAAGGAAAAAAAACTAGTGATACAATGCTAATATACCATATTTTAATCAAAAGTTAATACCAACAGGTTTATCTAATTATTTTATTCATTACGTGATATGTGGGCGAGAATGACAACAACTGGTTGCTTTGCTGAGTCAAACATTAAATAGGATGACAGGTGTTATATGTGTTATATATATTCCCCTATCCTTATTATTATGGATTGACTGTTCCTTGTTGTTGGATTGTGTCAGATTTTGGTGTGGAAATATATTGAAGTTCTAGTCAGGCTATTCTCGTGTTCTTGATCTCAGTCGTGTTGAAGTCCTGTAGAATATACACTGGTAGGGATTCTAGTGTAGATATTCGTCTAAGGTAAATTAACGTTCCACATACGTGTAAAAAGTGAAAGGACTGTTATAACGAGAAACCCTATCGTTAAAACAAGTATTCTAAAGTTTACAACATCACCTTTTAATTATCAGTATTATCAAAGACTATGATATAACTAAAATGTTAATCATTATCAATCAAAAGGCGAGCTTCAGAATGATTTGATGATGGCTGATGCTAATATGTTAGATTATTAAAGCGGGGAAGATGATTCGTTTAATTATTTGTATTCCAATGCAGTTTACTTACTTTTCAAAGTGTCTCTCTCTCTAACTGACGTCAGTTTATAATGAAATAAAGTTTGGGGTTGTAAAAGATCATTACATAAGACGAAATGTGTGTGTGTATCATTCAATCGTCTTAATTATTTCACTGTATTATTGAATTTTTTTCTTACAGATATGTGAATATATATTTTTCGTTGTCATGACATTAGAAATGACCTTGAAAATTTTTGCTAATGGACTGATATTTACACCTAATGCACTTTTAAAAGATTTTGGTGGATTCCTAGATTTATTTATTTATATAGTAAGTGATTATTAATGTAGATTTTTTTTTCTTATTCCCATGTGCAAGACGATTTAACGGAATGTATCATTTCCCTTCACTTCAGAGGTCTAAACATTTTTTTAAAGACACCGTCATCATACTACTAAATACATTTTAGTAGTTAAAAATATAGTCAATAAATATTTTTAATCATTTTGGTATCGTATTAAAATCTTATCGTTGATGGTTAGGACTGAGATTGATCAATCTCTTAATGGCATATGTGCATCCTGTGTGTATTGTTTCAATATTGTGTTAAGACGCAAGCATTATAAGCAAATATGGATAGTGGCTGGTAGTGGAATCCAGGACGTGGTTTTAACTCTCGGTGTGATTATCAAATCTGGGATACAGATACAACTAGCAGATAAGTCTTAATTAGGACGAAACGCACGTGCTGGTTTTCACTACTAGCAACCATCCAACTAATATTTCGTTATATTATTACTATACATTCAAATAGGGTCAACAGAATTTTTAGATAAATTAACTAACATAACTTGTGAATCGGACATCTATTATTATTTCACCTAATACTGTGAGCTATAATCTTGATGACTGAAAATTCATCTCAAACGAACGTTATGCTCGACAAAATTCAATGAAATTAATTTATGTCCAGGATCAAATTACCATGTAGCATTAATTTTATCAAAAGAATAAGAAATAATTTCTTAGTGCTGAGTCTTCTACGGTATGTAATTCCTTTAAATTAAGGGAAGAAATCCTAACATCAACGATTACTCGCAAGATTTGATATTAAAAGAGGAGAAGCTGGTTTCTAAGGGGATTAATTATCAATGAAAAACATGTTGAACGATATCTGGATACTCACAAAATGATATATTCCCAAAATTTACGAATATAGACTCGTAAAATATCGAATAACAGTAGTTTAAAAAAACAATCTGAAGGAAGGAATTATTTCAGAATTCATGGATAAGATCAAATCTGTAGAATAATTTGTTTCAAATAACTAAGCATGAACTTTTCGGTTAAAACAAAAGAATCCTCACATAGCAATGTACATAATGAAACTGAATAGCTTTAGTATATCTAAGTGCAATTATAATTAGATCAATTCTATAAAATTTACAGATGATAGAATAAATCCACCGATGAAGTGATTCATTTGCACCACCAATCTCAAAACAAAGTCTATAAAAACTGTTGAATGTACTGAGACTACTTGTGAAAATTAAGTAGTATGAAAACATGAAATGATTAGTTGAGGGTTCTACTTGTCAGTCGTTTATGCATTCATAGAAGACACCCAATATTAACCACTTTTTGTAACTCACCAATAACTTTGAATAAGAAGACAACAAAACATAACTGTATTTAAGTTATTCTAATATTTTAACAGCTAATGGCTCTTAATTTGTTCCATAAATTTAGATCAACTACTTAAAAATAAATACATCAAGAAAGAAGTTTACAACATATATAAATTCTGTTTGGTAGGTTTGGTAATCATATTAGTTAATAGGAGGTATTTGAGACCTGAAGGTTGTGAGTTTTAATGTTGAGATTATCATGATTGAGCATTGTCTGAACGTTTCATTCTAAGACAAACAAACCATCTGATATCACTGGTATTCAGTGGTACACCAACTGAAGTTAAACCTTGATGAATATCATATACAAAAGATTTTATTACATTGTCGGATTTCTGTCTAACGTAAAATTCACAGGAAAACGACTACTTGAAACAGGCTTTTAGTCATTAGATCTAAGTTTTGAACTATCTTCACTCACCACAAGACTCGAAGGTTCTGGATTCTATACTTCTTGAGTTCGTGGATAGAAAATGCTAAAGATTCCCACACTGTGACCAAACAGCTATCCATTATCTTACAATGTTCTATAATCTTCCGTTATATCGATTGTATGTAAGTGTGTGTATTTGCCCAGTTGATATATACGATTAATTGTGTATGTGCGTACGTGCCCTGTTTGATATATATATAAACGTACTGATTCTCGCCAATCAGATAGCAGTGATTTTATTGATCGGATCCAATGATACACGAAAGCCGTATGAGCAGTCTTGAGTACTTATCTGTCCTGCATTCTGCCTAGCCCAAACAGTTAAATCCAGAACACCAATAACAGCCTCTGCAATATGGATCACTATTTTCAAACATAATTGGTTTATATATCATTCAAACTTTCCACATCGTATCATAAAATAGAAAATAACATTTGTACAAGATTTCGTCAAATGTGGCTGTGAATAGGGGGGGGAAAGTAATCAGTAGGCTGATGATAACTCAAGAATGGTATAATAATAGTTCATAGGTCAAAATAAAGCTCACAATGAAATAAACATGAATATGAATAATTTAGTTACTTAACAATTATACAATAGGAAATATACATATCCCATTGGTTCATAAATAGTCCACAAAAGTTACCAGTCATAATCCTCTTAGGGATATAACACTTCTAGCTCAGATTAGTCCATAAAGTAACTTTGGATATATTAAAAAATCTAGAAGAACTAATCAATCATTTGAATTTGTTTATATCGTACAGTACTAATATATATATATTGATTAATGATCCTTGAAACTATGTCAGTACATAATGAAAACCTGCTTTCAACTCTTAAAAGATCTTCAATTTTATATATTCAGCTTGTTAAACAATGAATATAACAACAACTTTTATCAATTAGATTTCTTTTATTTATTTACCTTTTAAAAGTTTCCTTCCATTCATTAATTAGTTTCTTTTCAATTGATTTATGTATCTACAGTTGTTGTTGTTTCCTTTTTGTATTAGTTGTTAGTGTCAACTATTTAATCACTATATAAAGAAATCAACTGTATAGTGAATAGTGGGGGGGGGTAAAAAAATAATATAAGATTATCTTAGTAACGAATGAGTACAGTAAATAAGTATTTGACCTAATTATATGACTTGATGAGTACCATTCTACATATATATAAATGTTTACAACCAGTTTTTTTTTGTGTGTGTATATATACAACAATAATAGTGTGGTGTATGCTACTGATGAGGATAGATAAATAAATAGTATATATTAGGTATGGGTAGTAGACTTCTTACTGATAGTGTAGTGTGGGTTACTGATGTCCACATAAGTAGTGTATGGTGGTGGTCGAGCATTGAATGTATCTCAGTAGAAAATCAATAAGGAGAGAACGGGAACAGCACGCGATTAGTACGAAAATGCATGAACAATTATAATCGAAGACTATGAACGGATATTTGCAGAAGGTACAGTCCAAATTGAGACAATTGATTGTTATTTTGCAAATTAACTGTTCACTATATGGTTTTCATATTTTAATGAGATATTCTGTAATGTTGTGCTAATATACATTCGATTGTCCCCAATTGTGTATTGTTCGCTACAATAGAAGTGAAAGTTAATCGGTAAGCAATTGAAACAACAACAGAATTAAAGGAATAATAGTGTAGGTAAAGGGCAACTCATAGGAAATATACAAATAATTTTCATATTTTATGAAATTTGTTTACTATTGCAGTTATTTTCTATTCCCTTAATTCTATTACTTATTTCTTGACTTTATTTATGATTATCAAAATATAGATCAGTTTGATTTTTGTCAGTTATATGTTACGTGTTGATGTAATTGGTCCAGGATCTGCTGGTCATTTACTTATGGTATTAAGATGTCTTCGACCATTAAGAATATTTTGTTTAGTTCCACAAATGCGTCGAGTTGTTTATGAACTTGTAAGAGGATTCAGAGAAATTCTTATGGTAAGTTACAGTTGAATGTGCTGAAGTAAGTCGAACAGTGATCATATTTCTTTTTAATGGGGTTTACTAAACCAACTTTGAACATCGATTTTCTTGAAGTTTCTTCTCAATATAAAGTGATGAAAGAGAACTAGGAAGGCTGTTCACTTGGAAAGATATCATAACTAAAATTATAAAGTAACGTATTGGTTAGGAATCTCTCTATTTAATTAAATACATAAACTTGGACATATTACCATCAATAACGATCTTATTCATTGTTATATCGGATCCTAGAAATTACATTAATTAGTTCAAGAATAAAATAAATAATGATGGTAGTTTAAACGTCGTTTTTATCACTGATTAATATCAGTTAATGACATTGAAAAGCAGAATATATATGTAAATCCAATAAAGACTAACTTCAATCTGGGTCCCCCAAAAGTTGTAGTTGGAAGTAATGACAGGAGGAATCCGACAAGATCGAAAATATGGCAGTCGTCGCCAATGTTAATGAATGGCCATTGCAGGAGTTATCACCAAAAAATCACCCCATTTTGATTACATATGGAAAGTAGAGAACATTTTGAAAGTGTTTTATACTGATAGAAGACTCCTCAGTAGTATGATACAGATATTATTATACACTATCGAAGTTAGTACCTGTGGATTTATTGTGTTTGCAGAGTTTATTTAATGGGAAAGATATGATAAAAATAATAATTTGTAAAGTTATTTATAATCTGAATGTTGGTATAAAATTTAACCGAAACCCTGAAGTAATATTCGTAAGTTCCCTGTAAATTAATGGACCAATGTACCTTTCACGCTTCATGATTACTTTTAGTATAAATCTTGACCAGATAATCTGTCAGTTCAAGGGATAAGTGAATGAAAGGCAGTCACTTGATTTTCTACTGAAGGACTTATATAGCTTGCATTTAATAAGCCTCTATCTAAGTTTAATTCATTCACCCTACTTTTTGAACTCATAGTATAATGTCTATTTTACGTGCATCGAACTGACCAATATCGACAAATTCAAAGCATCATTTACTGAGTTGATAATTATAAATAGTCATCTTATATTCATCAGACATAACTGTTACTAAAGGTTGTAATCCCACGTTATTCATCTGTGCATTCATAGGAAATGCACTACATATCAGTTGCGATTGATCAGTTAAAAATCTATAGACTTGGGGTGATTAATATTGTACAAGTTACTAGAACTCATATCATTCAATATCATCATAAGAAGTGTTGTGGTGTATACTACTTATGTCTGTCGATATAAGTAGTATGTAACACTGTTCAAAAGGGTAATGTCTGCCAGAAGAAGGTTAAAAAGATCGAACTGATGTGAATATATATGTGATTTAAAAACAAATATTGTTGTTATCGTCTTTTTTTTTTCTTTTCTGTAGGTTTCTGTTCTATTAGTTGTATTCATGTTTATATTTGCTGTATATGGTGTACATTTATTCGGTGGACGTTTAGCTATATGTAATGATAGAAGTATCATGACTAAAGTAAGTCATAAATTAGTTAGAATATAGTAAATATAGATATTTTTTGAATAGTTTATCTATCCTATGAATGTACTCTTTACACTAAATGTGTGGGACTAAAATTTATGAATGACTCTAAAGTGACTTCGAGATACTTCACCTACTTATCCGCGGTAAAACAGAGTAGCAAGTCATTACGAAGAATTAAGATTAAGATTCGGAGTTAGAATTTAGGGCTATGAAGTAAAGTTATGTCGGGATATTAGTTACCTGGTCATTGTTAGTCTTCATAAATCAACACCGTGGTAAGTAAAAGTAGAACTAGAATATTTTAAATGTTCAGAGAAAATACATTTTATTCATCAGACCAGTTCCATCTTCTCTTTACATTACCAAACGGAACGATTTAGCACGATTTCATCCTTAGAAAGTTATAATAAAAGAACTTAAATAGTTCAGGTGTTTGAATCTCTTCAAGTATGTTTATTCAGTGCCTTGATCTTACTATTCTATCAGTCTTGTTATAATGAAATGGAAAGCTAGTTTCGGCTCTAGAAAGTTCTAATCGATCATACTCAAAGCATCTAAGTAAACAAACCTCACAAATCTCTTTAGTTAATTTTTCATATAGATTAAAGCACTGATAATTGTATGGTACATACATAAACTATTCCATCTATTAAATTCATTCAGTATTGTTCGTTTGAATCTTCGCATTGATGTTTAGGACTGTAACTGGTCAGTCTCTAATTGGTATATGTGCATACTGTGCGTATTGCCTCGATATAGCCTTATTTCATAATCATTTTAAGCAAAGATGGATAGTGGCTTGCAGTGGAATTCAGTTTGACGCGTGTTTCGTCCTATTTCGGACTCGTCAGCTGGATGTACCTGAATCTCAGAGTTGATGTAAACTTTATTTTTCGAATACATTAATTTACTATTCAGACATAAGTAGTATAAATTTAACAGTAAAATTAATAATGATTATTCCAAATAACAACCAAATTCAAAAAAAGAGATTTGATACAGCTTTCATATTTTGAATAAAGCATTATAGTAAAAATTAAGACTCTCATATCGACCTAAATGGGAATCTTGAGCAAGAAGGGCCCCTTGTGTCAATAGGTACTAATCAAATCCAGTAATGAACCTTTACAAAGAGTTTGCTTTAGTTTTCCCAATCTCTCTGTCATAATAAACTTATTTTTTGTAATTAACTGTTTTCTAGTTGAGTGAGTCACAAGTACAAGGTACGAATGTGTCCAACTTTTGTTTTATTTACTGACAACTGATCTATAATTATTTTAACTCACCAGCAAAAACAATTGAATACTTATAGAGTTATAACATCTATAAGCTATGTTTTAAAGAAGTTAAACAAAATGATTCATTTTAGAAAATTAATTCTCAGAATAAAGCTAATTGTAGCCTGCATCAACATGTAACCTTATTTAAATGGTTATTTGAAATTAGGAAGCACTGAGAAGTCGTTTCGTTGCAGTACAAGATTCATCAGCTGTACGAATCCATGATTCCATCGGGAATCAATCTAAATATGGCATGTGTTACTTATACGGAAAGATAAAAATAGTATTTACCAAGAGTTGAAAGTATAATTCTTACGGACAGAAGAAAAAATCAAAAGGCGAAGAAGAAGAAGAAGAAAAAAACCAGTCAAAATCGCAACATTTCGCTAGAAGCTTTGGTTCATATGGTGTGAGTTGAAATTTCCCCACTTCAATTGCAGATGGACACTTTTGTAGAATGTCGTACTAGGAAGATCCTTGCTTTCTATGTTTATCAAACTAAGGTCACTTCATAATGTAAAATATGAAAATTCAATCATATCTATAAATAGTCCATACTACTGCAGATTACTTTTTGACTTCACCATTAACATTTTCTCCTTTGTTGACTTCATAAGATTGTGAACATTGAGCAAACTGATAAAGCAATGAAAACTTTATGGCGGATGCCCATGATGATGAGAATGAGTTATTTGATCTATTGATCAAATGAAAGGGAAAATATAAATTACCGATTAGTCTACATATATCCTGATTAACTATACTCATATAACTTTATAGGCTAAAAAAGTCAATTCGAAGGAATCTTTTGAACACAAAAGCTAAATTTTCATGTTAGAAGGTTATGTCTAAATATCTATGTCAGATAAGTCAAGATAATTGAAGTAACCATAGTGAATCCAGATGTACTGAATAGTAGTTCATTTGAGCTAGAAAGCTTCAAGAACCTAAGGAATATAAGCTTCATTGTCTTAGAACAATAGTCTACAGTTTTCTAGAACCAATACCTAATTTTAAAAATACGTATTGAGGATTAGAGAGAAGAAATGTATTTCACTTATTTTTAGAAAAGCATTAATAGCAGCTCACATACAATTGAGTTTGTTTACATCTAATTTGGCTAAGCCTTTTTGTTAACTTATTTAACGGACAGTCATTCACACAACAACATCAACCTATCTATACTATTGTACCTTTATTATGTACGCTTGAGCATTGCTTATTGCCTACGCATTTATTCATTCTGCTAGCCCTACCATTAATCGCTTAATTGATTCGATGATTCATGCATTTTGATCTGTATACATATATGTACATCTTAATCCTTGTCACTGTATTGTACTGTACTCGCTTACTCGCTGACTCGGTTGATTGATCTCTCGCTCATTCGACTCTTACGCTCACTCACTTGCTTTACGGCACTACTCTTTCATGCTTGCTTAACGTACCTGTTATTTTAAATATCTGTATATAGTCCAATAATAAACGCAATCAACCCTTTTGTATTCGCCTTCCAATTTATACACCGTCGGGGGCGTTATCGAGTAACGGTTATCAGGACGAACAATATTACGAAGTTTAAGGGATAATATTAAATATCGACCACCATATATTATTAATTATTCATTTATATATACCTATGTTTAGGAAAAATGTGTTGGACGTTTTATGCGTGAATTAGCTTCAACCAAATTAAAAAGTGTTAAAGGTGAATCAATTAAAATACTTGTACCAAGAGTATGGGCTAATCCAAGAAATTTCAATTTTGATAATATTGGTAATGCCATATTAGCATTATTTGAAGTATTATCACTTGAAGGTTGGGTTGAAATAAGAGATGTTATTAAAGAACGTATTGGTCCAGTAAGTTGATTCAATTATGTATATGTATCATATTCAGAAAAAAAATTTTATTTTAAAAATCTGTTGAGTGTTCGCTAGTCGGGATTACCAATATATTGCAGTAGCTTAAATCTGATTTTTTTTTGATCGTATGAATGATTGTTTGTTGTCAAAATATACGTACTATCAATTCTCGTATGTAATAAATAACTTTATTCCGCGTTGGTGAACAACGGAGTTAAATACGTCAAATACGAGAATGGATTTAGGATATCTATATATTTTCTACAGTCATTGAGCTGGCCAGGGAATCAGAGCGATGAAGTGAACAGAAGAGAGGGAAGCAAAATGACGTGCGCTATGGAGATGGCGAGGAAGCCAACTCGAGAGAGCGAAACAAAAATAATGCGTATCGAGGTGAACTATTAATAAAACACAGCACTACATATTGGTGAACCCGACGTGATACAAACACGCAACAGAATTGGTGGTCTCGTCAAACGAACACGGAACAGAATTGACAACCTCGACGTGCGAACATAATTTGCGATCCCTAGTTACGAACGCGAAGCTAAATTGGTAACCTCAACGTACGGACTCCACGACAGATCTATGCAGATTTTCTAAAAGGATAACTCTTTGAAAGACTACCGGAATGTGTAATGTAATGTCTTGATCAATGTACATTCGTAGCCATGACTTCAGGTTATTATAGAAAGGTGAAAGTTTTCGAAACATTAGAACTTACTAAGTAGATTATACAATCTATTTTAATTATACTGTTCAATACATCAATCTTAGTACCAAGGAATGATAAAACAAAATTATAGATCAGTGGGGGTTTTGTGGAGAATTCAGTATTTTCATATTTGAAATCATGAGTCAATTGAAGCTAGACTACCATGGAAAACCTGGAAGCACTGAACGGCCATTCTTTAAGTTCTAGTGGGAAGCAGTGACCAGTGGAGTTCTACCATGTCTGTTGTAGAGATATCAACTCACTGAAGACAATTGGTGAACGGTTGCTCGAAATTGTGGATTGGTTGAAGTTAGACCTTAACACCGTTTAACCCCATCCGTCTCTGTGGCCTATCGGTTAAGGGCTCCGGCTAGAGACTAATAGGCACTTTGTTTGAATCTCGCAAGTGCGGGATCGTGGATGCGCATTGCTGAGGAGTCCCGTAATGGGATGAGTTGGACATCCAGTGCTTCCAGGTTTTCCATGTTGTTCTAGCTTCAATTGACTCATGATTTCAACTATGAAAAAACAAAATTATCTAGTCTTATTAAGCTTCAGATGATAAAAACGAGACCATAATAGTATGTTATTAATATCATCAGATGTGTTCAGAATAAATTCATTTGAGTTCTTTATTTCAACGATTGATTTATCAATGTTCTTGATAACTGGATTAAATATGAAACATGAATATAATAGGCAAAGATTTACTTAGTAGGGAGTTTTGTGAACACCTTAGTAATTTTATATAAGTTAGATATTAACACCGTTGGATGCCAGCCAGCGCAGTGGTCTAGTGGTTAAGTGCTCGCGTGCAAGACTGTTAGGTCCGGGGTTCAGATCTCGCAAGATGGGATCGTGGATGCGCACTGCTGAGGAGTCCCACGATAAGACGAAACGACCGTCCAGTTCTTCCAGTTTCCCATGGTGGTCTAGCTTCAACTGACTCATGATCTCAACTACTAAAATTACTATAATATCCACAAAAAGCCTTTCGAATATGATTAATGTCATTTATTATTGATGAATTATAATGAATACAAAAGAAATTACATATATCACACCATAGTTCATCATCACATTTTTTTCCAAATGTTCCCATATAAATAATTAGTTAGATATTGCGAAATAGCTTATTCACATCAGAATTCAACCTTATGATCTCAAGATTTGAAATTTATCACAAGAGTAGGAATTTTCCAATTTATACATATGTTCAATGTCCCTGTTTCTCAATAATTTTCTAACTAATACCAGTTATATAATATACCCTTATGGGCGAGGGTAATCTTGCACTGGTTTTCAGGTGAACCAGACACCATCCAGACTTTCACGAGGCAATCCAAACAGTACAGCTCAATCCCGCTGGATAGGAGAGCCAGACACTACCCAGGCTTAGCCCAAGCAGTACAGCTCAACCCCGCCCTACAGGAGAACCAGACACTGTAAAGGCTTCAACGTTACAATCCGAACAGCTCGGCCCAATCCTGTGGCGCAACCACTCAGGTACCAAACACCCTGGTGGATTCCATCCAACTAATACCAGTAATACAAAAAAATCACCGAAAAAACTTCATATTGTGTTACTACTTATATTGAAAAGAGATAAGTAGTATATAAAAGACTGAAAAGATCGAATTGAAAGGAATAGAAGTATTAACAGAGATTAATCATACTAACGATAGGAATGAGGAAATGATGAAATTTGTAAGAGACAACTGATAGAAGATGTAAAAAAAATGATGTATTCAACATACGGTTTTTATATTTATCAAGACAGTAAGTTGGTTGTCCCCACCAAGTTTCCGTTCGCCATATACATATACATACATATAATTTACTTTCTAATTTGTTATTATGATGGTTTCATTCTTTTTTTCTGTTGATTACATGAATAGAATTAATTGAATAGACTAGGTATACATTCAATTAAATTTAATTCTTCTGTTTACTAATTACATTGTGATTAGATGATTCGTTTATATGAATTTAATTTAAAGATAATTATTATGATGATGCATGAATAGAGCCAAGAAAAAGTATTGAGAATTATGGAATCCTAATTTGAAACTGATTAGCAGTATTCAATCTATTCATACAATCGAACCCTACTATTTCCAAATCTCATCATAAGTGTAACTTTTATCAGTATGTGATTTGTGTTCACAATTGATTGATCACTGGGTGGTGATCAATGTCATGTGTGTCAAGTCCTTCTTAGTGCTGATCGAATGCTAACGATCAAGTTGCAGTGTGGCCACTAGTCTAGGCGGCTCGACACTGCATGCACTATGTTAAGATAAGATGGTGGTTGGAGGTGGTCAACAGGAAATCCTGGATCCAGGTTTCGTGCTACTTGGCACTCGTCAGCAAGTTGTACATGTAATCTTGAGGGAAATGATGCTCCCTGACAAATTTGATCCCGTGTCACTCAGCTTCACAGTCAGAGACGTTACCACTGAGCTACTCGGGCCGCGACCGTCCTCCTGTAGGACTGAGATGTAATCACAATTGATTGATCACTGGGTGGTGATCAATGTCATGCGTGTCAAGTCTTTCTTAGTGCTGATAGAATGTTATCGCTGCCCGAATAACTCAGTGATAACGTCTTTGACTGTGAAGCTGAGTGACACGGAATCGAATCCATCAGAGAGCACCAGTTCCCTCAAGATTACAGGTACAACTTGCTGATGATTACCAAGTAGCACGAAACCCGGATCCACGGTTTCCTGTTGACCACCTCCAACCACCATGTTATGTGATTTGTCTAATTGATAGTATACATTTTCCAACTTTAGTCATGTTGCCAGGGTTAGAGATCAGGTCAAGGTAGAAAACATTCAAAATGAACATACAAATAATAACCACATAAATATAGACAACAAACACTTGAACTACCGATCAGTAGGTCAAGCTGTCATCCAGTTGTAAGGAAATTCTATTTGCCAATTTTTCCTTTGGAAGTGAACGCTGATAATGTTGTCTAGAAAGATGTTTATAATTTAGTGATAAAACCACGTACTACAAACAACGTTTTTAGAATAACCATAAGTTAATGATTAATAATTACCAATCTTTAACTTTCCCATTATATGATTTAATTGTCACTATATGTCACGTATACTGTCATGATTTTGCACTGATACCGAATCTCAAAGCTCAGTCATATAGTTGTCAAGTGTTCACTAGTATTCAGTGACTCTTTATAGAAATATCAAACTGAACTGTTAATTTAATTTAACTTATTTATTTGACGTTTCTGCTTTTTTTTTTCTCTTTTCCCTTTTTCACAGCGACATGTTATTTACATACACTTATTCGTTTTTATTGGTTGTCTTATTGGTTTAACCTTATTCGTAGGGGTGGTTATTGCAAATTACAGTGAAAATAAGGTAATTGTTCATTTCTACTATATTAGTGTATTATTTTTAAAAAAAAATTAAAATATAAAGCATTTACAATGTATCTCTACCCTTCCACCACACATTCTAACCACAACTAGATATTTAAAAAAATGGTTCTGTTCATTGACTGACTTAAATGTGTACAATATTCATTTCATAAGTAGGGGAGGCGGCTTACGTGTAGGTCATAGATTAAATTTTTTTTAACCAGCTGACAGAATATTTCATAAAAGAAATTTGTTTCTAGACCAAACAGGAAACATAAACACGTTCAAAATTGAGATACTAGACAAAGTAATTGTTTTGTTTTTTTTGATGTTATCCAAAATACAAACAATTCAAGGCATGGTTACTATTGCTAGATGACACAATATTAACGGAAACAATGTTTGTTGGATATTCCCATTGATGTTTAGGACTGTAATTGAACAGTCTCTTATTGGAATATGTGCATAGTATGCGTATTGCCTCGATATTCTTTTCATTCACATGTATTATAAGCAAAGATGAATAGTGGCTAGCAGTGGAATCCAGGACATTCGTTTCGTCTTATTTGGGACTTGTCAGCTGGATGTACCTGCATCTCAGAATTGATATTCATTCTAAGACACGAACCTAGTACCTTTTGCTTCAAGGACAATTTAAGGCAAATAAATCAGTCAAGATTGATGAAACATTATAAAGAGGTTTTGTAAAAAATACAATTACACAGAACTTCATAACTCCCAAATAAATATATAATTTTCCTTTCGAAGAAAACTTTCGGTAACATAGCATGCACAAACGATTGCAATTGATCATCTTTGCTTATAATGCATGTGAATTAATGCTTTATCGAGGCAATACGCATAGTATGCACATACGCCAATAAGAGACTGTTCCATTGCAGTCCTAAAATATCAATGGGAAGATTTAAACAAGTAATACTAAGTGAGTTTAAACTTCATCCTATTGCACAAGCAAATGACTATCAGGACTCAGTCGCCGAATGGATAGCACAATGGTGTTTGAAGCGAAAGGTACTGGGTTCAAGTCCTAGAATAAACATGAAATCTGAGATGTAGGTACATCCATTTGACGAGTCCTAAATAGGACGAAACGCGCATCAAACTGGATTCCACTGCTAATCACTATCAATCTTTGTTTACAATTACAAATATAGTTTTAATATATTGTTATTTTCCTTTTTTTAAAAAAACGTTTTTTTTTTAATTTTTTCTAAAATAAAATTAAAACAATCTGTCAAAAAAAGTAATTTTTTTTCCCTTTATTTCCTCATCCCAATACACAATTGATAATGATCAGACAGAATTGACATTGTCAATATGCTGGGATAAAACAAAAAAAATTATAAAAAAAAAATATAATTCCTAAACAAAATTCAATTTATTACTTTTAGATTGTATTTTCATTCCGAATTATATTTTAATATTAAACTTGTTATGACAATTGGACTTGTCAATATTACACATATCTATGTGTTTATGTTTTGTGTATTCATGCCCAGTAGTGAAGTATTAATGATAGAAAATATCATTTGACAAAGAATAGATGTCAGAGGTGGGAGGCTATTTGTGTGGATATTATAAAAAATGCTAATGGTTGAGATCATGAATTAAATGGAGCTAGATCATCATGAAGAACCTGGAAGCACTGAACGGGTGTTTCGTTCTATTGTGGGACTCCTGAGAAGTGTGCATCCACGATCCCGCCTCGTGAGATTCAAAATACTGACCTATCACTTCCGCGTGCGAACACTTAACCTCAAGACCACTGACCCGGCCGACATCCAATGGTGTTAAAGTTTAACTTCAACAGATCCACGAAATTAAACGACATATCCATGATTGTCATCAGTGAGTTACTATCTCAAAACAGACCTGGTTGAACTCCACTGGTTCATGTAGATAGAAAACTTGAATTATAGATTGTGTTCTAGTTTAGGCTTTGCTGAGTAAAGTGTGAAACTTAGTTGATAACCAGTCAGATATTGTTTTCATATCAGCCGCCAAATGATTTTATAAATGAGAAATATGCAACCGATCTCATTTTACAATAATGATCAATCATCTTTATTTTAATTTCAAAGTTCAAATAGAGTTGAGCTAATTTTAGACTAAATGACATGGTAACTTACATCTGGTTCACATTTGAAAAACTTGTTACAAACTAACGGATTAACTCAAATTATTGAAACAGATTTAATTAATGCTATTTCAGTTATTCTAAACATTTAATTTATTCTAATTTGAAACATTAAAACAAACTTTTTTTTTTAGGGTACAGCATTGCTTACTGTTGATCAACGTAGATGGTTAGATTTGAAAGGGCGTATAAGATTAACTCAACCTTTACAAATTCCCCCACGTCCAAGTAAGCTATTTCATTAAGATATTCATTTATTTTTTTTCAAATATCTTTGTTATTAGTTTATTCATGTTTTTTGTAAATCATTATCAACTCTATTACTATGAGTAAACTATTAATTAATAAAGCATTGAAGTGTATTTACTAATATACAACCACAAGTGCATTTTAAATTTCAAAGGAACGCTGATTAAGTCACAGTAAGATCAAAATTAATGAAGTTGGGATACCATGAGTTATTGTATCTCAGATAACTACGTTATCTACTCCAGTCAATACTTTTCCATTAACTCATTACCAAATAAATAATTATAGACTTGGCTTTAAGTTATAACTTCAATGTGAAAGGTACGGATACCTCCCCTCCGGTTAGAAAAATCAAATTAGGTAAGATAGGATTTGAACTTGTCAATTAGTGGCTGAAAATCGGACACAACTTTTTGAGTAGGTTACAAAACTGTAATCTTTTAATTAAGTGAAGTGGTGTCATATTGATTGAGAGCGTTCTTGCCCAGTTGTTATATATGACGTCATGAAACCGCCAATTAGAGAGTAGTGAATTTATCGATCGAATTAATGGTACACAAAAGCCGTATGAGCAGAATAAAGTACCTATCAGTCCTGCTATCTACCTAGCCCAGCCAGTTAAGTTCAGAACATCAATAATAGCCTCTGCAATATCAATCATTATTCTCAAACATACTGGGTTTATATCCCAATCAAACTGACCACATTGTACCATGAAATAGAAAATAACATTTGTACAAGATTTGGCCAAATGTGGCTGTGAATAGGGGGGGGAAAGTAATCAGTAGGCTGATGATAACTCAAGAATGGTATAATAATAGTTCATAGGTCAAAATAAAGCTCACAATGAAAGGAACATGAATATGAATAGTTTAGTTACTTAACAATTATACAATAGGAAATATACATATCCCATTGGTTCATAAATAGTCCACAAAAGTTACCAGTCATAATTCTCTTCGGGATATAACAAGTGATTAAACTAATAATCCAGTTTTCTTTATATTAACTAATCAATTATTTGAATACAAGAAGAACTAGATGAATTTTCCATGATAGTGTACAACTTATCGGAAGTGAGCACATATTTCCCCAGAAGGAAAGGTTCCAGAAATTCAATTTATTGTGATTTCCAACTGCTGACTATATTATACAAACTGGTGACCGAAAATTCCTATTTTAAATTTCTTAGGTGACATTCAATGTTAATTATATTGTATGTGTTATTGAATCATCTTGTCAAAATTATTCTGAACATCATCATTCATAACTGAACAAAGAACAGAATGAGAATATAAGAAGCTTTATTACTTCTACATATTATGATGTTATACAGCATATCTATTTTTAAAAAAATTTCAAGAGTTACATATCGTAACACACTCAATTTTTTATGATTGTCAAGTACTTAGAGCAAAACTCTTAGAGACTGAATTCGAATACCTCTACACCATATTTACAAGAAAACATTCATATAACTGTAGTGAACAAAACATGACTGGGGAAAATCGAATGTATTTAAACAAGAATTACAGACTATTTCACTAAATTCTAATAACTATACAATGAACAGTGAATTTGCAGATAAACAATCAATTGTCTCAATCTTAACTGTTCCTTCTGTAAATATCAGTTCATCTTCTCTAGTTCCATTGTTCATTCATTTTCCTACCAACTGCTTTTCATTTCAGTTCTTTCCTTATCGTTCTTCTGCCAAAATACATTCTATGTCTTACCATCACCTTATACTACTTATATGGAAATAAGTAGACCACACTACATAACCACTTTATTCTGACTACCTAAATATCCAAATGGACTCTTCTAAAATCTACTCAATGTCAATCATCTTCATGCATTAACTAACTACTTGAATAAGTCCATCCACCAATGATCAATATTCAGTATTACATAACTTGTGTCAATATTTATATTAATAGTAATACCAATATAATTGTAATAGGACAGGGACTAAGTCAGTAGATTGCATACTGATACTATAAAAACTTGAGTTAACTAGAAAAAGTTATATTTTCTCTGATAATGAAACCTAAAGTCAACCAATATCTGATATTCTATTCATTGGAATATCATGAATAATCTACTCAATGCTCAATTAATTTGAAATTAACAAGTCAAACATTATTATCTTCTCTAACTTGAGGATAACTTTTATCAGTCACTTCCTATACTTGAAGAGTCAATGAAGAATGAGAACTGTGTAATGACACACAAACATAACTGCACACTGAATCTAGCCTGTAACCTTGAGATCTATTGGGGAGTACGATTATATTCAGCCACTGAGTCAATGTCCATCGGGACATAATTTCTAAATTTATTTAATTTTTGAGATGGTTACATTATCATTCAATTTCATTAAGGATTGATATCCTTAGTCTTTAGATAATACCCTTCTGTCAAAACTTAAATGACGTTTCAATAGTGGTCAGTTAAGATTGCAGTATTTAGTGATTTAAATGAACTTTCAAATGTGGATCTTTCATTTTCAATTCAATTCCCATTATATCATTAAGACTAATGAAAAATGAACTCCATCCATTATGAAGTCTTACGTCTACACTGTCAATAAGAACATAACCAGAGTAAAACTGTTGTTTTTATGCTTTCAATATACATTCAGCTAATTCCAGTTTATAATCAAGAGTAGTATTTGTGTAGGGACGGCTCATTCGTAAACTCTAGGAAGCTTCAAGAAGCCCAGAAAGAGCCGAAGACATTCCATCCAACCACTGTTAGGGGAATATTCTAGAATGTCGAAGTGTAGCTTCCCCATATAATGGATAAGAATGACCCCCTATGTGCCTGTTGGTTGTCTGAAATGATGATTTATTCTCATTCAAAAAACTATAAATACGTTAGATTTCTGTACTATATTTTGACACTGTTTTGGGGAATAAAAGTTCCTACTTGCTAGTCTTCTGTTTTCTCTATTGAGAGGTTGCGGGTTCTATCGTTCAAGTAGTCTAGTAGTACGCAGCATAGTAAGAATCAAGGCTCTAGATATAATAATTTACTATACTAAAATGAAACATGAAATGTTTTCCAGTACTATAGATCTTCCTTTACTTGCTTTTATACTATTTGTTTTTCTTTTAAAAAAAATAGAACTTCATCAAGAACCTGGTCTAACAAGAAATATAGTCAATCCAAAGTCAAATAATTTAGAAAAGAAAAGTTTAAAATTTCGTTGTTTCATCTATGATATAACTCAGCATATTTTATTTAAACGTGCTTCAGCAACTCTTGTTGTTGCTAATTGTTTTCTGCTATTCTTTCCAGTAAGTAATACTGTTGTATTTTTTATAGTTTAATTAAACAGCGAAACTATAATTTATAGATGAATCAATAAAATTAAAGTTCCCAGAACTTGAATATCAGCGCGAAATCCGTCCATTCATACGGTGAAATAGAGTTTTGGCATTCTAAAGGGATGTCAATTAGTGGTGAAAACTCTTTGATCTAATTCCTATTCCTAACTTCTAATTTTAAATCCTAATTATGATTTCTCCTTTGACCCTAGTTTAATAGTCGAATCTTCTCAAGATCACTTTAGCATTACTCAAAAATCATCGATCAGTTTTAGACTTATCAATGAAACTTTTTAAGTAATTGGTAAGCAAAGATGGATAGTGTCTGGGAGTGGAATCCACGACGCGCGACACTTCGTCCTATTTGGTACTCGTCAGCTGGATGTACCTGCATCTCAGAGTTGATATTCACTCGGAGACTCGAACCCAGTACATATCGCTTCAAACGCCATTACGTTATCCACCCGGCCACTGAGTACTGATAGCCACTTGGATGTGCAATAGAGTGAAGTTTAAACTCACTTAGTATTACTTGTTTGAATCTTCCCATTGATGTTTAGGACTACAACTGATCAGTCTCTTATTGGCATATATGCATACTGTACGTATTGTATCGATATAGCCTAAATTCACAAGCATGGTAAGCAAAGATGGATAGTGGTTACCAGTGGAATCCAGTTTGACCCGAGTTTCGTCCTATTTCAGTAATTTGTTACGATAATTTATATCAGAAACTGATCTCAGCTAACAAAACATTGAAAACCCAATTGAAGTGGGTGGGTATTTCGTTTTATTCTAACTAATGGGTGATGTTGAGAAAAGTTGCTGAAGATCTAGTAGAAAGCTATAAACAACCAATTTCACTGATATTGACTGAAATTAGGAATATGTAGTATATAACACTACCCTCGTGATTTAAATGTTTTGTTTACCATGAGTCCGAAAATTTCTAAACCTATCCCGTGCTTGATACTTGACGTACATTATTGACAAGCCTTATACTAAAATGAAACAACTTCACTGTATTGTCTCACTTTCAGTGTTTATCTTACTATAGTTCGAACAGCCAAATGAATGAATAAGTTTCACTCGCTAATATCCAATACGTACCATCTTTAATACCAATAGTTCGTCCACAAATAATAATGGTAGGATTAAACTATACTGCCGACCTTTGAAAGAATCTTAAATGACGTTGAGAAATATTAGCCAATCAGAAGACAGTTTGTATACAGTAAAAATTTATTATACAAAACCAAAGAATTAAAGTGGAAACACTTCTTTTACATGAGTCGAAAACTTCTGAAGGTCAGATATAAGTTCAGAAGTTCTAAAATCATGGTGCATATGGTACAGGAGCACATCCATATGGCTTCATAGTAGTCGACCTCTGAAACCATGGTAAGGTCTCAAAAATCCCTTTAGCCTCGACCACACAGCTTCAATAATGTTAGTATATTGGTATGGTTTACGATTTAGGGTTAGAGTTAAGGTTTCGGGTTAAGGGTGAGACAATAATTTATGAATGACCTTTGAGCGACGCTAGAATGACTCTGAGAGTGTCAAATAATAACTAAGACCAAATGAGGGTTATAAACCTGTAAGAAGAATTCAAATTATGATTTACAGTTCATGGTTAAGGCTAGGAATTATACTTGGGTTTTTCATCACGAACTGACATCAGTTATAATGCCAAAAATCTATTTATCCAAATGGGTAATTGAATTTCGCGCCAAAATCTTATGATAACATCTCTTGTAGACGCTGAATTATCACGTCTTCCCTAAAATCCGCTGTAAAGCGATCGTACGTAAGCATCAGGTACCGAACCTAGCGCCGTGACCTTGAAAACTCGCGAAAGCTTCTGATTGGTTCGGCATTATAGTTTAATACTACCATAATAATCTTTTTCAAACCTTTCCAAATCTAGTACATTCATAATGTTGTTATTTATTTGATTATTTCAACCATGATTGATTGCTGATATTACTAATTTTTTTTGTTCTCATTTTCAAACTTGACAGATTTTCAATTATTTGAAAAAGAAAAAAAAATTTAATAAAAAACTTTCTCCCCATCCCCCTCCATTTTTTTGTCTTTGATAATGGTAACATTGTTGTGTAGATTTATTATTATTTTCTTTTTATATACCTAATTCAAATGTCAATTTCATATTAGATTAGGGATTACAAAAGGTAATACAATCGAAATGATTGAATTTTTACTATGAAAAAAACCACATCTCTAAATTTTAACATTGTATTTTCATAGAAGTCATAGCAACTATCCTATACACATTTGGTGTTGTTTACTTATATCTTACCATTGTTAGTTAGCACTGCGATTCATCAGTCTCTTGTTGGTATATGTGCATCCTGTCTCTATATATTGTCTGAAGTCATAAGCAGTCCTAAATAACAATGGGTAGATACAAGTAAAAAACACCAATTGCATTTAAACTTCACCCGATTGCACAAGCAGGTGGCTATCAGGACTCATTAACTGAGTGGATAACGCAATGGCGCTTAAAGCGAAAGGTACTGGGTTTGATTCCCATAGTGAACATCAACTCTGAGATGCAAGAACATCCAGTTGACGAGTCTCAAAAGGAACGAAACGCGCGTCCTGGATTCCACTGCAAGCCACCATCCATCTTTGCTTACAATACTCGTGAAATAAAGCTATATCGAGGCGATACGCACAGTATGCACATATGCCAATAACAGACTAACCAGTTGCAATCCTAAACATCAATGGGAAGATTCAAGAAAACAATACTGAGTGAATTTAAACTTCACACCATTTCTCAAGCAGGTGGCTATCAGGACTCATTAGCTGAGTGGATAACGCGATGGCGTTTGAAGCGAAAGGTACTGGGTTCGATTGCCAGAATGAACATCAACTCTGAGATGTAGGTACATCCAGCTGACGAGTCAGAGATAGGACAAAACGCGCGTCCTGGATTCCACTGCTAGCCACTATCCATCTTTATCGTGCACCTGATTTCGATTGGGGTTAATTTTGGTTAAGCCCTTTTATTAACTTACTTAACAGATATTTTCATTTGGATAGTAACAATTAGCATATATCTTTGTACTGTTATGATCAACAGAGCACATGACAGACTCTAGCCGAAACTTTGATTGATTAAATATCATTCTATGACTCAAATCCTATTATTAGGTTTTGCTTTGTGTTGTAGCGCCCTTATACAATTTGACTATAACTTTGCCTATGTAGTTGCTCACGCTTACTCTCTGATGCTTACTCATGTGCTTGTAGCTTTTTGGTCTGCGTCATTTGATAATAAACTATAGTTGCAGCTTCTCTTTGCCTTATGATTTCATACACCAATAAGATTTGTATTCTAATGGTCATCGAGGTGCACTACAAATTTTCATTCGTTGTTATTAATTCCTTAATTCTTTCGTTATTCTCGAGTATATTGTTCCAATCTGTTAATAATAAAACTAATGTTATGTATGTGAAACTATAGTTTGTGGACAACATTTGAATAACACCGAAGTAACTTTGAGAATGTTCACCTAATAACTGGAACTCACTGAAGAATTAGAATTGTGATTTACAGTTGATGGTTAACGTTAGGAGTTAGATTTAAGAGTTTCTCTAGCCAGAATCTCAAAGCGTTATTTAGTCAAATGGATGAATAAATTTCTCGCCAATATCCAAGATGTACTGTCTTTAATTCCATTAGTTCGTCCACAAATTATAGTCTCATTAAAATTTGAATTTCTGATTTATCTTAAGGCACTTCATCAGAGTAAAAATTAATCAAATAACCGGATTAAATTGTAAACAGAAGCAGGGCAGAATATTAAGTTCAATCAAAACCAATTCTAGTCTGATTATGTCAATATCATGTGAATCCTTAGGTCACGGTGATTCTGTATGAAAAATTGTTGTTTTTATTTATGTGTATGATTGTTGGGTATGAAAAATGTGTAATTTGTAACATGAAGAATTAAGACTCCTCAGCAGTGCACATCCACGATCCCGCCAGCTCAGTGGTCTGTTGGCTAAGTGCTCGTGCGCGAGGCTAATAGATCCTGGGTTCGAATCTCGCGACGCAGGACCGTGGATGTGCACTTCTGAGGAGTCTCACAATAAAACGAAAAGGCCGCCCAGTGCTTCCAGGTTTTCCTTGGTGGTCTAGCTTCATCTGACTCATGATCTCAACTATATAAAGTTACTAAAATCTCCGCAAAACTCCGTTCTGATAATGAAGAATTGGGGTTAAAATTTGAGAATGAGTGTAGATTATGTTGACAAATAATACAGTTAATAGTGGATGTTTGGATAAATAATCCATGTTGAATGAAGATTCAGATCTTTTTTACTATTGAGGACAAAGAGATCTAATATTATATGGAAGGCTTTAGTCACTCGCCTTTCTTTCTAGCTGGAAATATCTTCCTGCATTATTTTAATATTTTGAATAGTCATTTAGTGGTTACTGAAAATAGCGCCATACGCTACAAGAATATTAGATCTTTCTATGTAGCTTGACTGTTTCTTGACATGAGTCAAATTTTCATTATACAATTCTTCAACATAGAAGGCATCACAAAAGACACAGCCTAATATGAAAACAAAATTTACTCAGATGTAAACAGGATCTTTGATGTAATTCAAGCGAAAGCATTTCTAAGAATGTTGGTCGTTCTACAGAACGCTTTAATTCTGTATGTTTTCAAGATGTATTGTAATTCCTTTGCCATATCGCGACTACTACTGTAGTAATCCAAGATATTTGATTAGAATTTGTATTTCACAATAGATCATTTGGCTTTAATATATATTTTGATATATTCCTTTATCGATTGGACGAAGTTTCCTTTGAGAAATTGCATATTCATTCATAGTTGAAATCATGAGTCAATTGAAACTAGACCGCCATGGAAAACCTGGAAACACAGAACTGGTAGGTCCTGGGTTCGAATCTCGCGAGTGCGGAATCGTGGATGCACACTGCTCAGAAGTCCCATAATAGGACGAAACGGCCTTCCAGTGCTTCCAGGTTTTTCATGGTGGACTCATGATTTCAACTATGAAAATACTAAATTCTCTCCACAAAACCCCTTCTAATATATATTCATTCATTTAACACAATTTGGTCTATTTATTTATTACATATTATATTTGGGATATTTCAGTAAACTATCTAATATATTCTAACCGGTATTATATCTTCGTTTTTATTCTATTTATTAGTTTAATGAATTAGGTACTGAAAGATCCAGTTGGGTTAAACCAAGATATCAAATTCAAGTTTCATTAGGTATTATATTTACCTTATTCTTTTGTATTGAATGTTTATTAAAAATTATTGCATTAAAATTTGGAGGTTATTGGCAATCGAAACGAAATCGTTTTGATATGCTTGTTGCTGTACTTGGTGTAACATGGATTATTTTACATTTTATATTACGACCAATTCCTGTAAGTGTTAAATAATCTTGTATGTTTTATTTATTTATTTTATTTAGTTGAACATATAAACATTGGTGCAAATGGGCATTAAATACATATGCGCTACACAATAACAATGAAGCCAGTACTAGTTATTATTGATTTGAGTAAGAGCTGTGATGCTGACCGCGTACTCAAACCGGAGAAGGTGGTTTTCTTAGGGAGCCACAATCGGAGCCTTTGACTTGGAGGTTTAATCCACAAGGCTGTAGAGCAATCTTAAGAGATGGTAGCCGGTGACCAATAATAGGTTCATATATCGTTATTTTTCATAGTATCCTGTAACCCATGTGCACCAATGGTTTGAAATCAGAGTTTTTCAACCCTCTTAAGTGTACCCTTCTTAGCCATCAACCCAGTTAAAGCGCTGGACATTCACTTTTCGTTCTCCCAATGTCTTAAAGAACACCCCCAACGAGTGAACGCAGTGAATAGGACTTCCCTGTCAGTGGATGTTTAAACATGGTCATGTGGGATTGTTTCGAGAGGGAGAGCTGACTCTTCACACCCTAAACCGTACCAAGGCATTGGAGGACAATCAAGGGTTTAAAATTATTAACAAATTACTGGTTTAGTTTTTATTGCACACTCTAACAGGGACTCATAATGGCAGACAATATTTTATTTAAAAATTATACCCCGTTTCCAGAAGTTAAAATAAATCGCTAAATTAATCTTTCACCATTTATTAGGTATTGACTTTATAATTCATTCACAAACCCATACATATCAGTGTAGGCCTTTGTTTGAGTGCTAATTGCAGAACAAAATGTTTCTTAGCTCAGTCTGTATGTATAAACATAATAAGATGTAACATTGTAAGTTTTATGTTTAATAAATAGCAACGTTTTCTAATAACACTTAACATTATTGGCAATGATGGATAGTGGCTAGCAGTGGAATCCACGACGCGTGTTTCGTTCTATTTGGGACTCGTCAACTGGATGTACCTGCATCTCAGAGTTGATATCCACTCTGGGATTCGAACCCCAGTACCTTTCGCTTCAAACTCCATCGTGTCATTCACTCAGCTACTGAGTTCTTATAGCCACCTGCTTGTGCAATGGGGTGAAGTTTAAATTCACTTAGTATTGTACAGGTACAGGTACATCCGGTTGACGAGTCCCAAGTAGGACGAAACGCGCGTCCTGAATTACACTGCTAGCCACCATCCATCCTTGTTTATAATGCTTTTGAATTAAGGCTATATCGAGACTGACCAGTTGCTGTCCTGAACATCAAATTGAACTTATCATTATTATTTCCAGTCATCTAATTATTTATTCACAATATTCTCTTAGTTGTTCTTTTCTTTTTGTTTCTTTAAAAAGGAAAAACATATGATAAGTAATAATTTCGGTTGGTTTGTTTTAATGTTGAGATTTTTCACAATTGCTGGAAGGCATGTAAGTTAATGTAACGTGTAAAATTATTTCAGTAGTGTTTATTCATTTTATATATTAATTAAAATGAAAACAAACTTTCATAGTTGCAAGCGTGAGTCATTTGAAACTAGACCACCAAGGAAAGCCTGGAAGCACTGAACGGCCGTTTCGTTCTATTATGGGACTCCTCAATGGCAGTGCATATCCACGATCCCGCCTCGCGAGATTCTTCTTTGAGGTAACAACTCACTGAAGACAGTTGGTGAACGGTTGCTCAAACTTCGTGGATTGGTTAAAGTGAGACAATAACACTGTTGGATGCCGGCTCAGTGATCTATCGGTTAAGTGCTCTGGCGCGAGACTGGTAGGTCGTGGGTTCAAATCTCGCGAGGCGGGATTGTCGGTGCGCACTGATGAGGAGTCCCACATTAGGACGAAATGGCCATCCAGTGCTTCCATGTTTTCCTTGATGGTCTAGCTTCAATTGACTCACGCTTGCAACTATGAAAATATTAAATCACCACAAAACCCCTACTGATAAAAACAAACTTCTCGCATGTTGTAACAATATTTCTTAATTTTAACATTTTTTCTTTTTTCGGGGAAGAAAGAATTCTCATGATGGATTTGATTATAACTAAAATACACCCCCCAAAAATCAATTTTCTCATCTGACACGATATCGTTTGATGTAAATAATTTTTGAGTTTAACTAATATTTTTTTAGAAGGGGTGTTTTGTGGAGATTTATTATTTGCATAGTTGAAAGCATGACTCAGTGATCTATCGGTTAAGTGCTCTGGTGCGAGACTGGTAGCTCGTGGGTTCGAATCTCGCGAGGCAGGATTGTCGATGCGCACTGATGAGGAGTCCCACATTAGGACGAAACGGCCGACTAGTGCTTCCATGTTTTCCATGGTTGTCTAGCTTCAATTGACTCATGCTTTCAATTAATATTTTTTATTCATATATACTACAATTTGTGATCAGGGTACAGTGAATTATGTTACTCATAGGGTACATCATCAATAAATACTTGACAGGGAAAAATCAAAGGAAATTTTCCTATATATAGCTAATACATTTGGTTACAATACGATTAGACCTATAACGCTTCTGGCGAGTTTATATTACGTTACGATTTAGGAGTGACTCAAATAGTCTCATGTTGAAACGGGGACTAAAATCAGCCATAAACAGGACATTCTATGAACCTCAACTTCTTATTATTGAAAAGACAAGATCTATGTTGCACCAAAAACCTAAACAACACATAAGCGATTGTGTCCCATTGTGTATACCAGTTTACATGTATGTGCGCTAACATGTACATAGGGAGAAGCAATCGTGATCTGCAATCAAGGGTGACGGAACACATACCTAAATGGCTGCAGAAACAAATGGATTCCAATGGTCAAATAAGATCACAGGATATACAAATATCTTCCTCCGTTGCGTAACATTTGGTTGAAACTGGTCATAAGGTTGACATCAAGTCACAATTTGTAGTGTTGTACAAAAGCCTTCAAGGACGTATACTAAGGTTTATTGAAGCCTTGGGTATATGGAAGTTTGACCCCCCTTTATGTGTTCAAAAACAATTAGTTCTTACCCTTTAACTATCCTGATTATACTGATTTATCATCCAGAGTGGTCATCACATTGTTTTTGTGTACTTTATATGTTACGGCTTACCTTTAACCTGTCTAGTTGACCTTTTGGTTTTCATATAAAAATGTCTTAACAATTATATCTGTGATCAGATTGTTCCAAATGTATTACGCAAATATCTCACATAATTGTGATAAACTTCGTCTTCCCATTGCATTGTCGAAATATAGCTCATAGCTTGTCTTGATTATATCAAATTGAATTGAATTGCGTTATTACTATCTGTGGGTGGATCATTTTTCTTTGACCTATTTCGGCTTCCGATTCCCAACGTAGTTTGTTTTTTGGTCTTCCTTTTCCATTCAAGATTCCAAACACAAACCTACTTCAGTCATAGTTTGAAATGCACAAAGTTTTGTGACAAGGAATTCCCAACAAAATAAACAAGCGTTTTTCCATCTTTCTTTCAACAGTTCATCAAATAAAAACCATTCAGTTTTAATACCAATGTCAGAATTAAAGAGATATTTAAACCCAGTTAACTAATAGTGTTCATAAAACAGCTAGACCCTTTCATACATTTCTGTAATATGATGAGAAGACGGAGTTGATCTAAATGATGTGATATACTTAAGTCAAACATTTTAAACAATGTAGTTGCATGCATACTCATCAACATACTTATTTGTATAAAATTATTAAAAGTCAATTAAACATACGTAAATGCTGTATAAAGTGGCAAGTTAGAAAAAAAAAAGGAAAGGATATTAAAAGAATCAGACTTCTACTCGATGTTTATACTGATGATGTCGTTCAGAAGGATGATGAAAGCTCCACGATCAAACCATTCAGCTCAATGAATAACATTCCATCAAAATAAGTTATTAAGTTATAAAACAGATTAAGGATTATCAAGGTAGATTCAAAGTTACAGGAAGATGGCTTCTTCAAACTTACAAATGTAAAGATAACATTACATATACAAACTTTCCAATGCTATTTTAAGGTTAATCATAGAATGTATTTTAACTATGTGTTTGACTATTGATGATAATAGTTTTCTACTTCCTAATTTTGTAAGGGTATCTAAAGTTAAATTACCTTAATGACGTTTAGGTACACGTTTTTTGTATCATACAATAACATCATCTAATGATTGTATGAAATTTTTTGTATTTTTATAGGCATCATAACCAAAGTTTACCTTCATAATTTCAAATCAATTGAGCATTGGATAGATTGATATAAAGTTGATAATATACTTGTAATATAACAATGAATAGAAAAATTTTTCGATGTTTCGTGACTCGATGTGAGCCAGAGAATTAATTACTTACTTACACCTGTTACTCCCAATGGAGCATAGGCCACTGACTAATATTCTTCAACCCACTCTGTTCTGGGCCTTCCTTTCTAGTTCTATCCACTTTTTGTTCATTCTTCTCATGTCTGTCTCCATTACATGGCGTAATGTGTTCTTTGGCTTTCCTTTACTAATTTGGCTTTCAGGACTCCATTTGAGGGCTTGTCTTGTGACGCAGTTGGGTGATTTCCTCAAAGTATGTCCTATACACCTCCAGTGCTTCATCCTAATTTCTTCCTCCGCTGGATGGAATCTGGTTTTTTCTTTCCCATAGTGTCTGGCCAACGGATCCGAAGTATCTTACGTAGACAACTGTAATAAACACCTGTATCTTCTGGATGATGGCTTTCGTAGTTCTCTACATTTCCGTCTCATACAGTAGAACTGTCTTGACATTTGTATTGAAAATTCTAATCTTGATGTTGGTTGACAATTGTTTTAGTTTCCATATGTTCTTCAGTTGTAAATATGCTGCTCTTGTGTTGCCGATCCTCGCCTTCACATCTGCATCTGATCCTTTGTTTATATTGAGACCTACTGCTGTTGAAGCTGCTGCTACACTGGTCGTTTTCTCCTGCATTTGTTGTCGCGTTTGTGATAGCAGATCGAGATCATCTGTGAAGTCTAAATCGTTCAGTTGTATCATGCCTGTCCACTGTATCCTGTGCTTACTACTCATTAAGTTATTACAAATATATTATTAATTCTTGTAATTGTTTTCATGACATAATTATAGCATTATTCTATTCTGTTTTGTTTTTTTTTATTCGATCTTCTTTATTACAGGTTACATTAAAAATGTTAATGTTAACTGTTGTTATGTCAATGTATAAATCATTATTTATTATAATGAGTATGTTTTTATTAATGATGGTTTATGCATTAGCTGGTGTTATATTATTTGGTTCTGTTAAATATGGTGATAATCTTGGTCGTCATGCAAATTTTCATAATACATTTAGAGCTACAGCATTATTAACAAGAATTGTAACAGGTAATATATTGATTTTTATTTTCTTTTTTTTAAAAAAAAATCTAAAATCTAAGAACTTTCGTCTAAATTAGAGTGTATAGTATAAGGACGGCTCGTTGGTAAACTCTAGAAAGCGTTAAGAAGCCCAGAAAGAGCCGCAGACATTCCATCCAATCACTGTTAGGGGAATATTCTAGAATGTCGAAGTGTAACTTCCCCATTTAATGGATAAGAATGACCCCCTATGTGCCTGTTGGTTGTCTGAAATGATGATTTATTCTCAGTCAAAAAACTATAAATACGTGAGATTTTTGTACTATATTTAGGCACTGTTTTGGGAAATAAAAGTTCCTACTTGCTAGTCTTCTGTTTTCTCTCTTGTGACGTTGCGGGTTCTATCGTTCAAGTAGTCTAGTAGTACGCAGCATAGTAAGAATCAAAGCTCTAGATATCACATTTAGTTTCACAGTAGTAGGACGCTGAGTTTATGTAAGATACATTAAATGAGAAGAATATGTTTTTGTAAAACCTCAGCGAAGTGAAATTGAAGTAAATCCAACGTTTTAATTGGCAATCTGGTGCAAGCTTTTTCAACGAAATATTTCCTTGATGAATATGATTTTGCAGAAGGGATTTGGTGGAGATTTTAGTAATTTTATAGAGTTGAGATCATGAGTCAATTGAAGCTAAACTACCATGGAAAACCTGGAAGCACTGGAAGGCCGTTTAGTCCTATTGTGGAACTCCTCAGCAGTGAGCATCCACAATTCTGCTTCGCAAGATTTGAACCCAGGACCTACCAGTCTCACGCCAGAGCACTTAGTCAGTCTGTTGGGAGATATCAACTCACTGATGACATTGGTAAATGGTTGCTCAACTTCGTGGATTGGTTGAAGTTAGACATTAACACCGTTGGATGCAGGTCGACTCAATGGTTTATCGATTAAGTGCTCTGGCGCGAGAATGATAGGTCATGGGTTCGAATCTCGCGAGGCAAGGTTATCTAGAGAATTATATTGTGGTGTATGCTAATTATATTGACATAAGTAGTATATGACGCTAGTCATGAATATAATGTCTGGCAGCAGAAGGTCAAGAAGATGGAGGAGAAAAGGATGGAAACAAAAAGTAATTTGTTTGAAGATTTAGGAACAATGAAGTTTGAGACGATTGATTAACATTTGCAAAAGGAATATTCAAGTTCAAAGGAATAGATTGATATTTTCCAAATGAAGTATTCACTGTATGGTTTTTAGATGTTCTGTAATTTTGCATTCAAATACATTCAATTGTCCCCACTTGTGTTCGCCTTCACTACAATAAAAAAAAAACCGAAATTGTTGAATAAAAGTTTGGCTTTTGAATGAAACTTTTCAGCTTTACCCTATCGTGTTTATCCACATGTGACTGTATTCAAGAGCTTCAACCTTGACACAGTAAACTGAGTCATGGAACTGTTTTCAAATTACCCTCAATATTTTGTTATTTAATTGTAAATATAAGGCTAAAATCTAATCACAGTAATGAAGTGGAATAATCAGAAATGAAACTAGATAACAGTTATATGACTTCAGTAGGAGATGGTGGAGAAGATTTGTAGCTCACGTGGGTGATTTTGATGTTGGTTTGTTCTCTGAGCTGGATGGTTTGGTCGTGCACTCGTGGAGAAAATATAGTTGTTCTCGAGTGGAAGCTTGCCTTTTGGCGAAATCTTCCCATTTTCGAACAACGAGAAGCGTACTACGCTCGTACGAGCGAACATAAAAAAAAAGATTTCAGTAGGAATTAAAACAATAATCGATTGAATGGTGTCGTGCTTTCTAAAATACCTAACAAGACTCAAATTCACCATAGAATAAACTTTTTTAAAATTTGTATTGTTATAAGCTTTCAAACTTTATAGGAGTTTATAGAACAGATGTATTGTGGCTAGTGGTACCATATGGTACTAATCAGCTGAATATGCCTGAATTCTGGTGTTGATGTTGAGACATTGAGACTCGTACCCGATATCTTCCGCTACTAACCCTAACGCATTACACACTCAGCTATTGAGTCTAGGTAGCCACTTTCTATACAACGGATATGATTTTATTTGTAAAGATTTATATTTTCCGGTCAGTAGACTGGTAGTTCTGTTTTTTAATTTTTGTTTCACAATCGATTCCATATATATACGTTATCATTTTAATGACAAGTCTGAAGTCAGGAAGTCAGTGAGTCAGTTTTACTTTATTTAATACAAGTAGAGTCAATCCAAAATAACAACAAAAAAGAACATAATTTACCTAATTAGATTATAGAAATGAATAAATAGGCTGAAAATATATAGTAATATCCAATAAAAAGATACTGCTGAAGAGTCCCACAATAGGACGAAACGGCCGTCAAGCAGTACTTCCAGGTTCTCTTTGGTGGTCTAGCTTCCACTGACTTATGCTTTCAACTATGACAATACTTTCTGTGATTATAATTCATTAATGAACTTTTGTTTAATTTTAATTTTTTTTATAAGGTGAAGATTGGAATAAAATTATGCATGATTGTATGATACAACCACCCTTTTGTCGAATGCATACAACATTTTGGGAAACAGATTGTGGAAATTTTAGAGCTGCATTAATATATTTTTGTTCATTCTATGTTATTATTACATATGTTATGTTAAATGTACTTGTCGGTAAGTGAACCTATTCATCATCATCATCATCATCATCATCATCATCATCATCATCATCATCATCATCATCATCATCATCATCATCATCATCATCATCATCATCATCATCATCATCATCATCATCATCATCATCATCATCATCATCATCATCATCATCATCATCATCATCATCATCATCATCATCATCATCATCATCATCATCATCATCATCATCATCATCATCATCATCATCATTATTATTATTATTATTATTATTATTATTATTATTATTATTGTTATTATTATTATTATTGATTGTATGAAATATCATAATGAAGTTATCGTCAATAAATCGATCAATTTTAGATCTTTCTTGTGATGTAGTGCCGCGCTTCGCTAATAGTTCACCTCGATAAAAGTTAGTTGGCTTCTCCGCCATCTCCATTACGCATTATTTTCGCGAAGCACAGCACTACAGTAAGCCTGGAAGAACTGGATGACTGTTTCGTTCTAGTATGGGACTCCTCAGCAGTGTACATCTACAATCTAACACACAGACTAACCAGTGCTTTCAGGTTCACATTGGTGATCTAACATTGATCAATTCATGGTCTCAATCAAAAACTTAACAATCTCTACAACCCCAAACTAATATCGTAAAAGACGTTGGAAGGAAGAGCCCAGATATATTTCACATTCTAAATCATGATATTCACTTGATCCAAGCTAATTGAACGAACAGTTAGATTTTCAATCCAATTGTTTTTTTAAGGTTGTCAGTATTCATATGGACATTATACAGATTTAAATCAATTTATGTTACTCCATTTCCTAACGACAAAAGAAAAGAAAGTTAAAAATCTAACGAATGAAAACCTTATGAATGAGTAAGAAGTAAATATCTTAGTTGTAGTAGTTTATCATAGGAAATGAAAGTTAAGTTTCTTAAATTGGTTAGATCAACCATTTATCTGTTAACAATTAAGGCTAAGTTACCTTTCATGTTACTAAGGTTAAGTAAATTCTAGTCAATAAATTCCGAAATCGACTTTAGAACTATTTAATTGATATCAGTATCAAGGTTGAACTTGATAGATTCAAATAAATTGAGCATTAGGTAGAAAGTTAATAATAAATATATAGTTTTGTTATATATAGAAGAATTGTTTATCTGATGTTTCGTGACTTAATGTAAGCCACTTCCTCGAAGAAAACAAATAACCGACTTCGATTATTAACGTTCAATTTTGAAGAGAATATCTTTGTAAATTCCTTAGAACAATTATGTTTGACAGCGAATCTTTTACGTCGGTATACAGCAAGAAACTTTTGAGATGTTTGAGAATTCTGACTTACTCTAGTGGTGCACATAGATTTATATAGTTATATGATATAATAATAAAACTGTTGATCGCTAGCGTCGACTCGTCGACAAGTGTACATGCAACTTACGTGGAAGTTATATATACACAAAAATAAAACTATTCACTCAATAAAGGAAAAGTTTTTTTATCATATATCTTTTGATTTTACTTTGGAAGTCGACTGCGAAAACCGACAAGTCTATAAGCCTTGTACAAATCTATTACATAACTGTTTGTCAGCTAGATTCTTAATCGAATTTTATCGGCGTTATGTAGGCTATGTCTCAAATCTGAGACACAATTATCAATTGTTTAGCTCGCAGTAAGAAGCCTTAAATTAATTGTTTCATTATGGATTAGGCGTCTTTTATGAGTACTGATAAGAAAACAATACAACAGTTCAAATGGCTTTTACATATTCTCTGTCTAGTATGTAATAAGCATTGTAGAATCTAACACAAATTTGTTTTAGTCCAATGAAAAAGAAATTCACAGAAGGAAGTTAGAAACCTAGGGGCATTAGATGGCCGTTTCGTCCTATCATGGGACTCCTCAGCAATACGGGGATTGAGTCCCGTGGATACACATTCCTAAGGAGTTCCTTAATAGGACGAAATGACTGTCCAATGCTTCCAAGTTGTCCAAGTGATGGCCTTACTTAGATCGACTCATGAATTTCAGTGTTAAAATTGTTACAATATCCACAAATTCCTATTTTGACTTTTTTTAAAGTTTAATAATAATATTTATATATAGTTGAGATCATGAGTCAAATGAAGCTAGACCACCATGGAAAACCTGGAAGCACTAGACGACCGTTTTGTTCTATTATGGGACTTCTCAGCATTGCGCATCCCAGATCCTGCCTCGCGGGATTCGAACCCAGAACCTACCAGTCTAACTTCAATTGATTCGTAATTTCAACTATATATAAAAATTACTAAATATCTTCACCAACAACCCCTTTTTTATAATAATAATTCACTATTTGTCATTAATGCTACACAATACAATTCATGTCTTATTGGCTTTTACAAGAAAGGGATTTTCTTTTGAAAATTCTCGTTTTTCTTCCTACTTTCTTTTAGCAATTATCATGGAGAATTTCTCATTATTTTATTCAAACGATGAAGATGCTATAATGAGTTATAATGATATACGTAATTTTCAATTAGCATGGAATATCATTGATGTGAATAGAAAAGTAAGACTATTTAAGTAGTGGTAATAATGATGATAATAGTGTATTTTTTGTGTGCAAAACTATAAGCTTAGTTCGTGTTATATATTGAGTAAGAGTATGTACTTACTAGTAATGAATTTTGTAAGGTGACCAGTAAAGTTTAGTCATATCCGGTGTGACTTACTTACAAACTATTGAAATCGGTAGGGATTAGTTGAAGTCAGAAATATAAAGCATTGAATATTGGGTCAGCAGTCTAAAGTTTAAGTGTTTGTAACGAGACTTGAATATCTTAGATTCCATTCACACTTTAGTCATGAGTACTCATTGCTGAAGAACCTCATACTAAGACTTAACGGCTGTCCCTTGCTTCCTGATTTTGAATTCTTGTCTAATTATTGATTTATGTGCTACCGTAATCGACAGCCTTTTCCGCTGTCATCGCTAAATCTTCCACATATTTACGTTTGTCGGTTCTGATGCTCCTCTTCACTTGCTTGTTTGCCTCTGTGTATTCGGCTTGTGCCTTGGCTTTTTCCGATCAGCCGAACAAGAGCGGAAAAAGCCAAGGCACAAGCCGAATACACAGAGGCAAACAAGCAAGTGAAGAGGAGCATCAGAACCGACAAACGTAAATATGTGGAAGATTTAGCGATGACAGCGGAAAAGGCTGCAAGAGAGGGAAACATGAGACAACTGTATGATACAACAAAGAAACTTGCTGGAAATTACGGTCAACCAGAAAGACCAGTGAAAAACAAGGAAGGCAAAGTAATCAACGATATTGAAGAACAACGAAACAGGTGGGTAGAACACTTCAAGGAACTCTTGAATCGACCAGCTCCACTGAACCCACCCAACATCGAAGCAGCACCCACAGACCTCCCAATCGATATTGGCCCACCAACAATTGAAGAGATCAGCATGGCCATTAGACAAATCAAGAGCGGCAAAGCAGCGGAACCAGACAACATCCCGGCAGAGGAACTGAAATCAAATGTAGCAGCAACTGCGAAGATACTCCACATCCTCTTCAGTAAGATTTGGGACGAAGAACAAGTACCAACAGACTGGAAAAAAGGACTTCTGATCAAAATATCAAAGAAAGGTGATCTTAGCAAGTGCGACAACTACAGGGGCATCACTCTCCTCTCAATACCAGGGAAAGTCTTCAACAGGGTATTGTTAAACAGGATGAAGGATTCCGTGGACGCCCAACTTCGAGATCAACAAGTTGGATTTCGTAAGGATAGATCATGCACAGATCAAATCGCAACTCTACGTATCATTGTGGAACAATCGATTGAATGGAATTCATCACTCTACATCAACTTCATCGACTACGAGAAGGCATTCGATAGCGTGGACAGGACGACACTATGGAAGCTTCTTCGACACTACGGCGTGCCTGAGAAGATAGTCAATATAATACGGAACTCCTATGATGGACTAAACTGCCAAGTTGTCCACGGAGGACAACTCACCGACTCGTTTCAAGTAAAGACCGGTATTAGGCAAGGTTGCTTACTCTCACCGTTTCTCTTTCTCCTGGTCATCGACTGGATCATGAAGACTTCAACGACTGGAGGAAAGCACGGGATACGGTGGACAGGCAGGATGAAACTTGACGATCTAGACTTCGCGGATGATTTGGCTCTTCTATCACAAACGCAACAACAAATGCAGGAGAAAACGTCCAGTGTAGCAGCAGCCTCAGCAGCAGTAGGTCTCAATATAAACAAAGGGAAAAGCAAGACTCTCCGATACAATACAATATGCACCAATCAAATTACACTTGACGGAGAAGCTTTGGAGGATGTGGAAACCTTTACATATCTGGGCAACATCATTGATGAACACGGAGGATCAGATGCAGATGTGAGGACGCGGATCGGCAAAGCAAGAGCAGCATACTTACAACTGAAAAACATCTGGAGCTCAAAACAATTGTCAACCAACACCAAGGTTAGAATTTTCAATACAAATGTCAAGACAGTTCTATTGTATGGGGCGGAGACTCGGAGAACTACGAAAGCCATTATCCAGAAAATACAAGTGTTTATTAACAGTTGTCTACGTAAGATACTTCGGATCCGATAGTCAGACACTATCAGCAACAAGTTACTGTGGGAGATAACAAACCAGATTCCAGCGGAGGAAGAAATCAGGAAGAAGCGCTGGAAGTGGATTGGGCACACTTTGAGGAAATCACCTGATTGCGTCACAAGACAAGCCCTCAAATGGAGTCCTGAAAGCCAAATTAGTAAAGGAAAGCCAAAGAACACATTACGCCATGTAATGGAGACAGACATGAGAAGAATGAACAAGAACTGGATAGAACTAGAAAAGAAGGCCCAGGACAGAGTGGGTTGGAGAATGCTGGTCGGCTGTCTATGCTCCATTGGGAGTAACAGGCGTAAGTAATTAAGTAAGTAATCGACAGATATAATTAGTAAACATCGTTAATCAGAAATGAGATTCCTGGAGGCAGAAGGTTACGAAGATCGAAGAAAGAGAACGAGAACAAAACACTTAGTCCTTATGTTATATTTCGAACTTAGATTCTTAGTATGTCGCGTAATACTTGAGCACTCGAACTCTAGAACCTCCCATGTCGCTTAATCAGAAGGCAGAAGACAAGTAGAAGTAATGTTATTCCAAACACGTTCAATTATAATACAAAACTGTCAGGTATTTATAGTTTTTTGTAGAAACGAAATCATCATAATAGTTATCCAATTTACATATAAAGGGTTATTAGCATTGTACAATAGGAAAGCTACATGTAGTGATCCTAGAATGTTCTTCCAAAAGCTGATTGGATGGAATATGTTCGGTTCCTACTGAATTTCTTAGAGCTTCTTCAACTTCACCTGTGGACTGTCCTCACACCTTGTGTAATAGAATTTGATACAATCAAATTCTATAAAGTATATATCATTGTTACATAGTTTGTTTCAAGTAATAAGGTTGATATCTTTTCTAGTTTTAATAGTGGTTATAAAATGATGTTCTACTGATACTTCATATGGTTTTCAAATTGTATGTCACTACAAATTACTATCTCTCATGTTTTACTTGCTTAGAGGTTAACTTAATACGTGTAAATATGATGCGATAGTCAGAATTGACTGATCACTGGGTGGTGATGAATGTCATGCGTGTCAAGTCCTTCTTGCGATATTTTTATCAAACCTATCATCATCTAAGGTTATCATATAGATTAGGCGAGACGGATGCCTTAGAAATATTGCTCGCATCTGCTGGGATCACTGGGTAAGTAATAGGGAGGTTAGACACAGGGTATTAGGGAATGACGGTAAATCAGTTGATAAGGTTGTAAATCTTCACCGACTGAGATGGTTGGGTCACGTGTTGTTACGTATGCCTGAACACCGATTACCACAACGCAATATGCTCACTAGTATTGGGGATGGTTGGAAGAAAGTTAGGGGTGGCTAAACAAAAATATGGCATTAGTGTTTGAAGTCATTAATTTTTAATCTGAGCCATGTTGGTAGATGCTGACTACTTGGTTATGGTCTGCGTGACTATGGTAACCAATGGTTGGAAACTTCAGGTGACATGGCTCAGGATCGATCACAATGGCGTAGGTGTATACACTCTTAAAATAGCTTCATAACTTTCTTCCTTCCTATACCATATCCTTATATACAACCTATCTTTTATATACTACCACCACTAAATTAACTACTTCTATGAATCCGGTGTTGATCTTGTTGCCCTAATGAACTTATGGCAACTTGGACCGATGCATAAATGTGCCTGGTTCTACGTTGTAGCTAACTGACTTTTCAAAAATTATATATCAGTTATCAATGTGATTATAATTAAAATTAGCTTTATTCAATATTATATTTTTGATATAATATAAAATTCTCATCACAAATTATTTCAACAAGTTTCCATTTCTTAATTCTTGGTCGATTCTGGCGATAAGTATTGAGTGATCGCCACTTGGAAGTTAGCAATGAAGTCAATCGACATCTAATTAATGTACATTCTTCTCCCTGCATATTTCCAGCAACCACGATATCTCTGACTAGGCCTTTTGTAACCTTCACAGCGAGAGGTTGTACACTTTTCAGAAACGCACCTGATTAGGTTGTGAGATTATTATTCATAAATCCATAAAGATCGTTAATTTGAGACGATTTGCAGAAGCATTCCAATTACTTGCTTTTGATTTACTGGCTGACGTAAGAACAACATGAGCTGGTATTTTCACTAAGAATTACTTCATAAACCGAAACGTAGTATGTAGTAGTAAAAAATTAGTATATAGTATACTGGATTTAATCTCAGATTCCTAATACCTTTAGTTGTATAGCAACGATCTTACACTGCAATGATGTAATTTCTCAAAAGTAGACCATAGTATTAATCTTTAACTACACTAGTTTCACTTTTGTATCTTGTCCTGCAAATGGAACATTTCGAACCATTGCTAATGAACTGTTTAAAATCAAATGACTTTAAATAATCTGTTTCTCTACTTCAAAACAACATCCATATACTAAAAGATATGGGACAATCGAATGTATTTAAGCATAAACTACAGACTATCACACTAAATTCTGATAACCATAAAGTAAACAGTTAATTTGCAAATAAAAATCAATTGTCTCAATCTTCACTGTTCCTTCTGAAAATATCAGTCCATCTTTTCTGTTCTCATTGTTCATACATTTTCATACCGATTGCTCTTCATTCCTGTTCTTTCCTTATCGATCTTCTGCCAAAATACATTCAATGTCTGATCATCACCATATACTACTTATGTGGATATAAGTAGACCATACCACACCTTTAATGGCATAAAGACGATCTTACACTGCAATGATGTAATTTCTCAAAAGTATACCATAGTATCAATCTTTAACTACACTAGTTTCACTTTTGTATCTTGTCCTGCAAATCGAACATTTAGGAAACTGTTCCTGAGATTCAAACCATGTACATAATATACATGAAATCTGAAGTTATAATATGATCTTTCTACCCTATTGAATCAATACAAATGAATAAAATAGATTTATTTCCATTACCAATATCTACCCAGTAACATTTTGGTGATATCCAACGTTGATTACAACTATAGTTTAAATGTATTGTAAAACAAAATTCTCAATCCTGATAAGTACTACTGAAATACTTATGAACAATCTACTTATTAATATGAATATATATATAAATTAGTTATCAAGTGGCTTTCAATTATATTGTTTCTTACATTGCTACCTCATTTTCTGTGCTCCTTTCTGTTTTTCTCATTTCTATTCAAATATTAATTAGGGTGTTGTCAAAGCTTATTATGTACGATTTCTATTACGTCTTATACCACGTGAACGAGTTGGTTTTGATTTAGCTAAAAAGAAAGATCAACAATTATTTAAAGAAATGTGTTATGAAGTAGAAACCCTACGTGGTGGTCGTGATAAAGATGTTAGTTTCCATGATGTTTTAATGTAAGTATATACTTGAGAATATGAAAATTTTTACATATATATATATATATATATATATATATATATATATATATATATTTATAATGGTATAATTCAGTAGTATAATAAAGTGTATATTGTAATTGTTTACACTTAGATTTATAAGGTGATCTATTTTACAATGTTAAATCAGTTAGATTTGTGCATAACTTAATGTCAATTCATTAGTTGAAAGCGTGAGTCGATTGATGTTAGACCACCAAGTTAAACCTAGAAACACTAGACGACCGTTTTCGTCATCAACTTCGTGGATTGATTAAAGTTAGACATTACTACAATCGGATGCCGACTCAGTGATTTATCGGTTAATTGGTAAGTTCTGGGTTCGATTCTCGCGAGGTGAGGTCGTGGATGCGCATTGCTGAGGAGTCCCGTAATAGAAAGAAACGGCCGTCGAATATTTCCAGATTTTCCTTGGTGGTTTAGTTTCCATTGACTTATGCTTTCAACTATGCAAATACTAAATCTTCACAAAAACGTCTTCTGATTCATAGTTGTTATTTTTTTGCTTTAGGTGTTTAATGTCGATTTTTTTCTTTTTCTTTTTTCTTTCTAATCACGAAAACTTTAATTTAATTCAATAAAAAAATACTTAAACATTAATTGAAAACCTTAATTAGAAAAAAAACAAGTGAGAATATGTTTTAGTAATTGATTTCAATAAATAAAATTTTTATAAATACATTCAGTATTGTTTGTTTGAATCTTCCCATCGATTTGTTAGGACTGCAACTGGTCAGTCTCTAATTGGCATATGTGGCATACTGTGCGTATTGCCTAAATATTGTCTTAATTCACAATCATTGTAAGCAAAGAAGGATAGTGGCTTGCAGTGGAATCCAGTTTGACGCACGTTTCGTCCTATTTCGGACTCGTTAGCTGGATGTACGTGTATCTCAGAGTTGATGTTCACTCAGGGACTCGAACCCAGTACCCTGCCTCCAAACGCCATCGCGTTATCCAATACGCACAGTATGCACATATGCCAATTAGAAAATGACCAGTTGCAGTCCTAACAAATCGATGGGAAGATTCAAACAAACAATACTGAATGAATTTAAACTTCACACCATCGCACAAGCAAGTGGCCGAATAGATAACGCGATGGCGTTTGAAGCGAGGGTACTGGGTTCGAGTCCAAGAGTGAACATCAACTCTGAGATGCAGGTACATCCAGCTGACGAGTCCGAGATAGGACGAAACGCGCGTCCTGGATTCCACTGCTAGCCACTATCCATCTCTGCTTACCATGCTTGTGAAAGTTACAAATTCTTTATTTCATTTAATTTAAAGCAACTTATTTAGGGTAATAATAAGTATTTGTAATTTTGTGTCGTTTTAACTGAGGACTAAAATTGGTCAATCTCCGTTGACATATATAAATCATAAACACAGTGCTTTGAGATTTTCACTTAGTTACAAGTTTTAGAAAAAAAGATTTGGCAAGAAGTGAAATCCAATACTCTCGTCGTTGTTATATCGTGAACTTAGATTCTTAGTGTATCGCGTAATACCCGAACACTCGAACGTCAGAACACTCTGAAGTCGCAAAATGAGAAGACAAGTGTAAGAAATGTTCCAAACAGTGTCAAATGTAGTACAAAATCTTATGTATTTATAGCCAATAGGCACATAGAGGGGGGGCTTCTTATTCATCCAATAGGGAAGCTACACGTCGACATTCCAGAAAGTCCCTCTAGCGGTGATTGGATGGAATGTCTTCAGCTCTTTCTGGGCTTCTTGAGGTTTCCTTGAGTTTGCTAACAAGCCATTCTTATAGTTTTGTTCAAGTTAGGATTCGTTAAACTTAACTATCTAAATTCAATATTATTGTTCAAAGTAAATTAAAAGAAATAGGAAATTAAAATCCCTTACTAAAGCTTTTACAACGATTGAAAAATCCACTGTCTGTTTGAAATGAGTAGCTCGGTTTATAATGCATTGGTATATTAATCCAATCACACTACATTCAATTCCTAGTTTGGAGGTCAACATCGTAACTCAAGCAAATGCAACTGTTAAGTTTCAAATAGGACTAACTTTGTACTAGTAGATTTTATGGCGAGACAATTATTTATGGACGACCTTTGAACGAATCCTTAGCGACCTTGAGAAATATTAAACAACCAATAAACAGTCAGCACAGAGTAAAAATATTTCATGCGAAACCAAATAATTAAAGTGAATACACTTCTTTTATATGGTCCAAAAACTTGTTAAGGTTAGAAAAGGGTTCAAAGGTTCCAATAGCGTAATGCATAAGGTATAGGAACTTATCCATATGGCTCCATAATAGTTGGTTCTGTGAGCCATGACAAGGTCACAAAAGCCCTCCCAGCCTCGACCATATAGCTTCATTATTGTTTGTGTGTACTCCGGTTGTATAAGTTTATCATTTTTATTATGGATATGTCCCTACAATACTCATACCACTGAACAGTCGAAGCTTCAGTAACATCTACGATTATTCCAGTCAATGTTACTGGTGCTTTTATCATACAGTTCGCTGCAATTATTATAATATGCGTTAGTCCCAATCTGGAGCGAGCAATAAAGGTTCCTATTCTAGCAAACGTCCTCCTTCAACATATATTGCATCGAAAGACAACGTCACGGTAGTCTGCACAAGGTCTACAGGACATTTAATTACCGCAATTACAAACAGAAGAAATTCTTAATAGTCTCATTTGTTGTAGCCGCTTAATTATCATGTCTTCTCTAAAATCCTCTGTTGAACCAATGGTACATGAGCATCAGACGCTAAAATTGGCGCCGTGACCTTGAAATCCCTCAAAGGCTTCTGATTGGCTCGTCCATAAATTATAGTCTCACCGATTTTATTACTAACATTTTGAATAAAAATTTCAACCCACTTTAAGTATTCATTACAAATATTCTACCATTTAAAATATTTTTAAAAGAAAACATAAATTTATAGACAATACTACTTAAACAATCTACTTAATCAAATTTTCTTTGCTTCACCTATTCATTTAATCATATGCTTCATTGAATATAAAAACACAACTATAAAGATATAGATATATATAGAAGTAAGGAATAAATTCATAAAGTAATATAATCAAAGTTAATTGAACAACCTTAAATGGGATATTAGGTAGGCTAGCAGTAACATGGAACATATAAAGTCTTAGGGAAGACTTAACTCAGAGAAACTCAAATTGACTTTACTCAACTGAGTATATAACTATAGATCTATGTAGTAGGAAACAAATTAACACCATACATACCCACATTGTTTAAATTAGATTTACTCACCTCCAAGTGCTTTGTTTATCTCATATATACATATATATATATGATGTATAAAGGGAAAGTCACTAAGACAGCTTTGAATGAAGAGGTGATAAATGAAAATAAATGAATAATCCTAATAATAATGGTATTAACCAATAATACTACTATTAATAATAGTGTTTGTATTGATTATAATTGTAGGAGGGGGGAGAGGAATTTGATTCCATCAACTTAGAAACAATAAAATTTCGGTTTCTTTTTGTTTATTTTCTTTCTTTTTTTAAAATTTTTTGTTTCTATTTTGTAAGGACTAATCAAAAAAGAAAAAAAAAAGAAATTACTCTTCACTTTTATTGAATGTAAAACTCTTGAAATGGGATAGAGAAAAAAATAGAACGTTTAAAATTAACTTAATTTATTATTGACCTATTCAATTAATATATAGTTTATTCGATGTATTTATGAAGTTATATTTGGTTTGGTGAACTTACCACTTTTATCAGAAGGGGGTATCATGGAGATTTTTAGTAATATTATATAGTTGAGATCATGGGTTAATTGAACCTAGATCACCATGGAAAACCTGGAAGCACTGGACGACCGTTCCGTCCTATTGTTGGACTCCTCAGCAGTGCGCATTCACGATGTCACCTCACGAGATTCTAACACAGGACCTACCAATTTCACGAGGCGCACTACTGAGTCCCACAAAAGGATGAAACGGCCATCCAGTGCTTCCAGGTTTTCCATGGTAATCTAGCCTCAATTGACTCAATATTTCATCTATAAAATTACTACTATTAAATTGTTAGTTTAATTAGGACAAAAAGAAATTACCAGAGTTTAATTTCAAACAAAGATGTATAGTGTCTAGCAGTGGAATCCAAGACTCATGTTTCGTCCGAATTGGTCGTCCCATGATACCCTCATATCTGGTGTTATTCATTCTGACCTTGATGTTTATGTCTTCTATAAGGATGGTCAGAACCCTCACTGAGCACTTATCTATGATCACTTGTAGCCTCTCCTAAAACCGATCTTTATGGTATTTGTTATCATCATTAGTAGATGCGTTACGCTGGACAACACTGATTGTGCGTTCCTTCTTTGTTTTGAAAGATGCTTTGATGATCCTGGATAATGCGAGACTTTCATTCTATGAATGCTTTCCGTGCTTCTTTGGATAGTATCGGTACGACTCTGTGTGTGTTGGATACATTTTTTTCTTCATGACCAGAGCACAGCAACATCTCCCGAACCTAATCTTTACTGTTCAGCTTCGGCCCAATGGGTTCCGCTGATTCTGAGAACTATCAAGTTGTATCTCATTGTTTTGGTAGCTATCTGATTGGTCCTCTAAGTCTCCAGAAATTCCATGTACCTATAAAAAGTGTCGCTCTGGTTGTTAGAAGGGGTATCGGACTCATGGCCCCTCAAAAATCTCAGCTTTTACCATGAAATGTCATAATTCTTTTAAATGGAAATCCTTTAACTTCCAGGGCAAATTACAAATGAATTAAATGATTTACTATGATTAGTGTGTTTTTAGCAAGACTGTTTTCTACATGGTGGGGGTTGCTGAATCCATGCCCAACTCTCCCCCTTTACTCAAGCTCAGAACCGGAAGTGAACTTACAAGGGCAACAGTAGGAGTTATCTAAACAACAAACAGTAAAAATATAATGTATTTTCGCTCACTAAAGCACTGAACGAAACAATATATATTTTTCTCTTTCTCTCTCAATATCTTTTAAAAGGGTTTTAGCTTATAGAACTGTTGATATTACTAAAACTTTACAATTAGAAGAACTTATAGCTCGAGAAGAGTTAGAATATGCAATTGAAGAAGAAGTGGCTCGACAAACTATTGCAGCATGGATTGAACGATGTATTTTTAGAAATAGACAGGTAATTGTTTACTTTTCTGAGCATTTTCTTGCCAATATTAAATATCAATTATGTTGTATTGTACCGAGACATTTATCTTTATAGTTAGAGTAGATAAATCTTATGACACGATCATTGTGATCATGGAAATCAGGAAGTATAACCACTAGCTCTATGTAACTGCTATGCCAAATAAAAACATTTGTTAGCGCTTTATTGTGATTAAACTTTAGGCTATTGATCTGTTCCACAGTATTTGTCAACACTTTTCTAGATGAAACCTTGGTGGTACTTTTATATATGCCTATACATGGTTAATTAGTTTCCTCATTAATAGGTTAATTACAGATTTATATATGTGAGTAAACACTTATCCAGCCCTATTTGATTCTTAATATTTCATCAGCTAGTATCAGAGCTTGATGGAAATTATCTATAAAGCATATAAACCTTCCCTTTAGAATCTTAAATACATATAAGGAAATATATATTAATAAAATATCAAAAGCAAACAATTCCTCATGAACATTAACGAATTACGGGGACGGTAAATTTCCAAGTTAACTACAATTTCCTTTCATGGTTAACCATATCGACTAATCTTATGTAGTCAACCTTTGAAAACCAAGAAATACTGGGGAGTTCTTTCGTTTTGATATAAGACTTTACGTTCATTTAACAGTTTAGTTATTAGGTTACTGTTTTCGACTAACTAAGAATTCTTATTGTTCAGTAATCCCGTGACAGGACAATTTATCTCTCCATCATTTCATGATTTCCATTCGTTATCTTACGAAGCTCAGTTCATGATGTATACAAGAAAATTCAGTTATTTACACGAAGAGCTTACACATTTCCATTTGTCTGTTGAAATCATCAACTTTGTGAGTTTACTAACATATCTATTAATCATCCAATTTCTAACTTGCGGAATAACACGATGCACTTTCCTAGTTCATATGTGTTTCAACAAACTAATGATGTCTGTTCATGGTACAACAACAGTGACGATTATTTTCTGCATAAATAGTTATTAACTTTTGAACCACCGAATAGGCTAATAATCTTAGTTTAGACCTCATCAATAATGAATGCCAACTGTTTCATATAGGATATAATTTAAAACCAATGCCATAATGACAGTTTTTAACTGAGTTAAAATCTGGTGATATACATCTCAAACTTAATATAACTTGAAATTAAGTGGACTTTACATCAAATATGATCGTAAAGTCAATGGTTCATCCTTGGATGTGTAATGAAGTCTAATGTATCTCATCTATCGAGTACAAATTTATGTACTCAAGTTTTAGCTACACTGTCCAAATGGCTGTTTACTACAATACTGTTTACTTCACACGAAGCTCGGTTGTTGTCTGAGAATAGTACTTGTTAATACTTAGCCAAAAGCTTTAATCAGTAATCTACTGATACACCAAACACGACAGGTCACAGCTCTTAAGCGGAACATCATAAAACCCTATTCCAGTCTAGTCCTCTAATATATATAAACAGTTAGTAGTGCAACAGATATTGACAGTGGCTCTGGATTGCTGTCATGAGACAACACATACCCTGACTCGAAATTATAAAGATAATCTACATGTCATAAGGCCTAATAGTCCATGATTTAATTCTCAATCTGGCAGTTATATGGGTATTCCTAAAGATCCCTAAAACACGACATGATAACTGCTTAATAGTTTTTAGTAAATTTTAAGTCGTAATAAATGATTGATGTAAGCTATATATATATATATATGACATGATACGATGATGATGATGATGATGATGTAATTTTCATTTCTGTTTTAAAAATAAAACACATTAGAAACATGGTCAACTGAAATTTAAAATGCATTCCAATATTGAACGTCAAATAAGTACAACATTAGATGACAATGATGATTTCAACAAGAAAAGTGATTTGATAATGAATAAAAGTGTACGTATTAAAAATCAATCATCAAACATCAGTAAATCTACATCATCGCCATCACCATCATCACTTATAACAATCACAGTGAAAGATAATAATGGAAAATCTATGGAAAATCCAATGGAAGCAAGTAATGAAAGAGCAAATAAAATATTAGCTCCACAATTGAAAATGAATAAGTTAACGATAATCACTACGACCACTACTACTACTATTACTACTACTACAGTAAATACTACTAATATTACTAAATCAGTAAATATATCTTCAAAACCTACAATGATAACTATTCATCCTAACATGACAACAACCACTGTAGTTATGAATTCAAATATTGTTAAAAATAAAGAAATACCTTTTCAACATCCTAATGAGCATACTACATTCTTAGTACAAAATGATTCTGACGATACTATACCGATAGCTACGAATATCGATGGAAAGACTTTCTTTAAAGCTGATGATGATCAAAGTTTCATCAATGAAGAAGAATATAATACTGATTATCATCAACCATTATTATTAGATGATAAACTCGATAAGAAATTATGCAATTCTATTGATAGTGGAAATATTCATCATAATCATCCATATCAATCACAACGTAAATCTATTTCTGGTAGATCAAGCCTAAGTAAAATGAATCATACTATTACAACTCCAACATTTGTTGATACATGTTTAATGAATGAGAATGCAACCAAATTATATCCAACTAAAGTCAATCCAGAAATATCTACATCAATGGTAGAAGGTAAAAAGTCGATACAATCAATGGAACCTTATAAAGTAACCATTATTGAGAATCTGATAGGATTAGATGTGGAACAACATCAACATGAACAACAACAGCACCTTTTACAGCATCCTCCATTATCACCTAACAAAATTACATCACAAACTACTCGTATCAAACCAACTGTATTATCAACAATTAAATCTTTATCAACATATAATAAGTCAAGACAAAGTATCATTCAGAAATTATCTAAACTACCGGATGTTGTCGAAGATTCCGATGAACAAGGTGAGAAACGTTTAGTTTATAGTTGTACTACTGATAATAATCATGATAAATGTAATCAAACAATGGAAATGCATAATTTGAAAGGTAGTTCAATTGAAAGAAAAGATTCTAATCATTTTGATATTGATAATAATGATTTTCTAAATACTGACTATACTACTACTACTACTACTACTACTAACCTTACTGTTATTAGTAGTAGTAGTAACAATAAAATTCAAGTAAAAACAAATGATACTTCACCTATACACAACGTAATAATACCATTAGAAAATGATATTATCAGTAATGACAATCAATTAGTTGATCTTAAATATAAATATCATTATGACATAGATTATAGTAAACATATAAATGATTCATGTGATGATGTGAAAAAATGGTGGCGTAGTCAACTTTATCCAAATTTACAAACACAACAACATCAAGTTAAACAATCATGGATACAATCTAATATTCATCATAGTAATTCAGTTACTTCTATGAATACTCTCCCTACTCCACCTCCACCTCCTCCTCTTTCCACAACGGTAATGAATGATGAAATTCTTACAATATTAAATAGTCCTAAAACTAAACAACAAAGAGGACATAAAAATCAGCCTAGAATTATATCATCATTAGCTAGTAAACGACGTTCAGGTGTAGCTGCTGTCATTTCACGTCGTCCATATCAACAAACAAAAGTAAATAATCTATTTGATGTTACTATTGATGAATATACAAATGATCATGTTGACAATAGTAGTATTAGTAGTAGTAGTACTACTACTAATACTACTATTCATAATAACAATCGTCCTATGACGACAAGTAAAAGTAATCGTATGAATACAAAAAGAAGTCATTTATTACAGTAACATTATTGCATAATATTATACTTATTGTTTATAATAATCTGATTTATAATAATAACTTACTTATGTACTTACCTACGTCTGTCAACCTTCGTGAAGGAGCATCAACCGTACATCAGCATTTATAATAATAAACAATGATCAATATCACATTCCTAATGTTGTCATGTTTTGTTCATTGTTTTTAATTGATTTATCAGTTTGTCTGCTTTTGTTGTTGTCATTTGTTTTCTTACATAATAATGATAGTAATGATGAAACCTTCTATTAATGAACTTAGTTTTGTAAAATGCAAAGAGTTTCATACCTTGTTTTGATGTTTTGAGAGTAATTCTATAATAATAATAAATTCAATTAGTATTGTTTGTTTGAATCTTCCCACTGATGTTTAGGACTGTAACTGGTCAGTCTCTTATTGGCATATATCCATACTGTGTGTATTGCCACGACATAACCTAAATTCACAAGCACTGCAAGCAAAGATGGATAATGGTTAGCTGTGGAATTCAGTTTGACGTGCGTTTCATTTTATTTAGGACTCGTCAGCTGGATGTACCTGCATCTGAGAGTTGATGTTCACTCTGGGACTCGAACCTAGTACCTTTCGCTTCAAACGCCAATAATAGTAATAATAGAGAGTTTATGCATCTACATTCTGTGTACTTCATCATTCTATATATATATATATATATACTTTGTATAATAGTAAATATTTAGAGTATAGTTCATGTTACTTACTTACTGACTTATTTACGCCCATCATTCCTCGTGGAAGAGCGAAGGTCACTGACCAGTACTCTTCATCGAATTCATAAGACAGTAGAATCAATAATAATGAGTAACAATATAGATAAGTTATATGTACTAAGAGTAAGTATAGTTTACTAAACTATTAACTCTAAAAATATATCTTACAATTGAAATCCGAATGAATTTAAACAACAGGGTTATAAAAAAGTTTTATTCTTTAGTTAAAGTACTTACAGAAATCAAAGGGTATATATTTAAATATGTCAATGACGTTCAGTCAGTCAGTCAGCTGCAACATAAGACCAGGCACATTTATGCATCGGTCCAAGTTGCCATACCTCATTAGCACGACACGATGAACACCAGATTCATAGAAGTAGTTAATTTAGTGATGGTAGTGTATAAAAGAAAAGTTGTATATAAGGATATAGTATAGGAAGGAAGAAAGTTATGAAGCCATTTTAATCTGAAGGTTTAAGGGAAGATAAAGAGTGTATACACCTATGTCATTGTGATCGATCCTGAGCCATGTCACCTAGAGTCTCCAACTATTGGTTACGATAGTCTCGCAGACCCTAACCAAATAGTCTGCATCTGCGAACATGGCTCAGAATAGAAGTTAGCAAAGGTAAAGATGTCAATTGTTTATGGCAATTATAACTTGAATACCCCATAAATATTAATTGGCTAGGAGAAAGTTTTGATATTTATTATTATTATTATCAGCTTAATTCAGTGTTGTATTCTGTGTACAATAAAGAATTCACAGCATAAAGTATTTCAACAAGTTCTAGTTTCTTACTTCTTGGTCGATCCTGATGATAAATATTGAGTGTTTATCAATTAGATGTTAACAGTGCAATAAATTGACATTTAAATAATATTCATTCATTCTTTCAGTGAGTATTATCAGTAACCACAATGTCTCTGAATAAGCCTTTTGTAATTTACACAACGAAAGGTTGTACACTTTTAAGAAACGCACAAAATTACATAAGTTGTTGAAATATCCAGATGGCAGGAACAGGTAGCCCAGATATTCAAACAGGCCGATATACCAGTTTTGAGAGAATAGTTAAAAAATTATTGATATCTGTAAATTGTGTCCGTTACCATTACGAATAAGCTGTTTAGTATCATTATAAGGTCTTTGAGCAATGCACATTAATGACTTTACTAAGGATAAAATCTGAGACCTCAATGTCTTGAGTCAAACTCATAGCTATTGGAATCACTTGGTCGAACTTCAGTAATGAAATCATAGCTTCAATAAATCTGTGTATGATGGTCATTTAATGTCTTTGGTGAAAACTGCTTCACTCTTGACATATCCGAACTTCATCAATTATAATGTGACACTAGAATTTCAAGAACATGTTGAGAGAATTCTTTAGTTAGCTGACTGTTATAACTCAGTTGAAATAAGTTTCGTGGAAATTGATTTTTCTGTAGATTACATTTGTCACTGATTGAACTTTCCACAAATACCTTTCAATCGTTTAAAGATCCTCATCATATTAAAAGACTAATATTTGAACGAAGAATATTCTTTTCGATAAATTCTCTTCGGTTTCTACAATTATATATATCCAAATTAATAATCCGAAAAATGACCAGGTTAAAGGCAAAGTGCATCGTTCAAAGCATGGAAATTTACGATTGTCAAACCAAATAGAATGAAACTCTTAATGTTAATATACTCATATGGAAAGTTAACGTGAATCTGTATATGTGTTAAGTGAAAATTTAAGATCCATGATCAGAATAAATATGGATCAGATAGGATGGAATAAGTGTGATAGTGCAATTACAATTCGATCAAATGGAAGATTAAATAGTGTGAAAACTTAGTAAGATGTAATAAGGAGGGATGAATGCTCCTATAAGATGGTGAGTATTCATGATTAGCCAATATGGTTTGGTTACACAACAAGTAACGATTATACTTAGATTAAGTTGGTTGAACTTTGGAACTTTGACAATTGAAATTGTGAAAACAAAGTTGTTTTTTTTTCTTCAAAAAACATAACTTTGTTAAGAAGTATGGTTCTTTTGTCAGAATCCTAGGACTTACTCATCTGCAGAAATTCATAATCTCAATTGAAGGTGTCTGTTCTCGCCTTTTTTAAATTTCCAAGATAACTGAACAGTGGAAAATTAAATTTTTTATTAGTCAAAGTTTTGTCAAATTTTGTCGTGATTCTTATGAACTGATGAATAACAATGCTATTTATATTCTATTCGATAAGACAAGCTCAAATGAATAGTCTATTTTAATCTCTATATGTCATTTGATATTTGAGAAATAATAACAGTTCACAAATAAATAAGTAAATTTGTAATATCCCAATGAGTAGAAAAATTAGATTTTCTGACGTTTCGTGACTCAGTGTAAGCCACTTCTTCAGAGGATAAAAAAACAACACATAATTAAAGTATATTAAGAAACAATGAACACTTTTCGAAATACTTTAGTTCGATTAAAAGAAAAGATACCATTCATGTCAACACAGAACTGCGTCTACAAATTAGGTTGTGTCGACTGTGATGCCTTCTATATAGGAGAGTTATCTCACGAAATCATGACTCGCTCTAAACAGCATATTAGGTACACAAAGAAACCTCCTAATAATCTTGTAGAACTAGATAGACTTCTAATTAAATCGGCATTAGCGGTTCGTGCCATTTTCAATAATCATCAAATTGATTTCAGAAACATCAAAATATTACAGAAAGGTTTTTTCCAATCACAAAGAAAGAAGAGTAGCTGAAGCTTTCCATATAATGCTTAATCCCACTGCCCTCAATAGAAAGGAAGGCCTTACCATACATCCTACTTGGACTATCTATCCTAGTCAACCAGTCTAATATTATTCACACCATTACATTACAAATTAACTCTATCCTTTGTCACTATATAGGTCACATATTTTTCATCATTTACAGTGAACACATACAAACAAAATTACATACATGTCACTTATGAATTACCTTGACCGCAATGAAATGACGTGACAGTGATTTATTCAGACCTGTTTTTGATTGATCACCTAATTAATCTTAGATTGTTCCGTTGTACCATTTAAACTTGGATTAATGTTAATTTGGTTATTTATTCTCTGAAGAAGTGGCTTACACTGAGTCACGAAACGTCAGAAAATCTAACTTTTCTACGCATTGGGATATTGCTAAATATATTTTCCTTATTTATAATAATCTACCTCAATGCTCAATTTATTCAAAATTATCAAATCAAAACTTGGTAATGATATCTAATAACAGTTCACGTCTAAGATATCATGAGAAATAATTCATTAACATAAAAAAACAATCAGCTTCCAAACAGCATTTGTTATATCTGGGTGAAGACATAAGTACGAGTAACTTCCAGGACTTATAGATGGACTATTATTCTATATATATTCCTATTGTTTAACTATTGAGTAATCAAATTGTGTATATCTATATTCATCTTATTATAAGCTTCATTTTGACTTATGGATTATTATTATACGAATTACTGTCCCTAAATTATACTCAGTTTATTGATTATGGTATCCCGCGTTCACAGACACATTTGACTTGATCTTGTAAAATCATTATTTTCTATTTCATGGTATGATGCGGTCTGTCTGTCTGGTTTATAAACCAAGTATACTTGAAATAAATGATTCGCATAGATTTGCATAGCGGAAGCTGTAATTGGTGTTCTGAACTCAACTGAAAGGGCTAGGCGAATAAAAAAGCGAGGAGGACGCTATGCTGCTCATACCGGTCGAACGACATCCTTTTGTGGCACAGTCGTATTTCGATTGGTGGATAAATTACGTGATAAAAGGTCGGGCATAAAATCATTACAGTATTGATTTTATATTTTCATGGTTGGAAAGCATTTCACCATTTATATTCATAGTTATTTTAAGTTTTCTTCAATTTCTCTATTACCAAGTAATGATTTATTCACATTGATTGATCATGGGCTAATGATTATCGTGTTTTTAAAGTCTTTGGTGGTAATCAAATGACTAATATCAAGATAGAGTGTCAGTATTATTCTAGGTGACTCAAAATTGCAGTCCCATCTGCTGAGTGCTGTGTAGTTAAAGGTAAATTAGGGGAAACGCGCTAGACTATCGATGTATGCTAATTGATAGATTTTTTCCAAAGCTACACACTGGCTAAAAGTCAAATGCCGTAATCAAACATCTTCAAAATAAACTAGAAGTTATCAGAAAGGGGGTTTTATCAAAATAGTAATAATTTAATAGATGAATTCATAAGTCAATTTAAGCTAGATGTTAGATGTTGGTTTAGTGATCTTTGGGTTAAACGTTCGAACACACGATCGATGGTCCTGGATCCGAGTACAGCGTGCAGGATCGTGGATGCGCATTAATGAAAAGTTCCATACTAGGACGAAACGGCCGTCTATTACTTCCAGGTTTTCATTAGTGGTCTAACTTACATCAACTCATGAATTCAACTATTCACCTAGAAATCACTTGAAAATTACTTGGCAAAGTTTTATATTCTCAATGTAGCTTCTTTCTATTTAAGAAAAAGAAGAAAAAAAACCCACTGAAAATTGATCCTCAAAACGAATTTCATGTAAAACTTTCTA